GGATATACAACATTTAATCATGACTGCATTGTTATTTACACGTTCTTGTGAAACAGGTGTAATAAAATATAGAAACCGAATACAAAGCGATCAACGTCTTCGGCCAATTGGAGCGGATAGCTTACTAATTTAATAGCAATTGACCGCTCGTCAGATGACTAGTGGAGGGTAAAAAGTGTGAATACATGCAACGTTGCCTTCACGGTTCGAATGTCCAATGTTTTCAATCGTTTGGGTAATCAGCATTCGGGCCTCACTCGTTTTTCTGTGCTATCGCAATTGATGAACTATAAAAGATTTTTTTGGTCCCGATGCAAATATATTTCCACAACATGTTTCCTCACAAAATAAGAAAATGGAAATTATCGGTACTTTTAAGCGGAAACTTGTTGATCTTACTTTTTGTGATAATTATATATCGAGGGGTTTACTTCTTCGAATATTAGCTTTATCTATATAAATTAAAAATCGATTACATATTGAATAAAAATTTACGACTCGGGCAGGACTCAAACCGACAACTACAACGTTCCTTGCTGTTGCTCTGTCATCATGTGCATGTGTCCGTAGACAGTAAATTGTAACCCGAACTAAATTGTAATATTTCTACCACGTATGCATTTTATAACCAAAATTCTACTTATATATTCTATATATAGTATTGGACGAACAAATCCAAAAATGTGTTCGTTAGACTGAGTATATATTAATTATTGTATCCCTTTTACTTTCTGTCCTATTTTGTACTATTCTATCTTCTATCAGTATTATGGCATAATCTTAGTAAATGTAGAATAAAAATAACCAAATAACTATTGGTCAGACAACATCACCTTTTCAATATACAAAGCACTTTTTGTAATCAATGCGTTTGTAAGCTTGGTTTTTTGCTTCATATCATTGGAACGTGACTGAATTTAAGTTATTATTAGCATCTCTAAAATAAAACGCCATAAACGAAACGCCAGAACAGCAAAATTGTTCTATCGAAAGAGACAAACATACGGATCAAGAAGACAGGCAATCTGGGATTAAAAAAAGATATAACATTTATCCATTAGTTTTAAAAAGTTAACATCATTTCTATCTAAAAATCTAGTATGTTTTAGATTATAATCATATTCTAATCTAAAAATGTATGTTGACATAAATTTTGACATATTACAATTTGATGACAAAAATGTTAATATCTAGAATTTTTAGAGTATCATGTTTTCGTTATCCTCTTTTAATTGAATTAAGTCCAGATACAAAAAAAGATTAGCCAATAGATTACCATTTAATACAAAATACATGTTACATTAATGATTACAATCGCTTGTTTTCGATGAAATGGACGTGACGTGAAAACTTATATACTACTTACTAGCAACCCACCCCGGCTTTGCTCGGGTGCAATGCTGATACTAAATACACTACAGAAAAACTGTTAATGTAGTATATAAAAAACCTTCCTTTTGAATCACAAAATTCCGTTGCGGAGTTTTAAAGATTTAAGCGTACATAGGGACAGAAAACGCGACTTAGTTTTATACTATGTAGTGATGTCTGTTTTATACTATGTAGTTATGTCGTGAAAAGCCTAAAAAATATTAAATGGTGATTTTAAAACATTCTTGGGGAATTTAGAGAACTACTCTCAGGTCCGAATATCCAAAGCCAAAAAAGGTCGACAGCGCGTGTCTGTATAGGCCGGGATAATTCACCTACCATCAACTGAACTCTATGCTTGTCTGTCCTCAATAAATAAGTCCTGTCATAAAAAAGAAGTTCTTGGATACCTATGTCCTACAAACAATACTCCAAATAAGTTTCAATATATTTTTATTAATAAGACAGTCTAAAGTGCGCGTTGACAGTCAGCACAGAGCATGTCATGTATTTATAGAGATTCAACAATTGGACACAATAGTGATATCATATCATGGCACTGGCCATCTGTGTTGATTGTACGAAGCCGGAGGTCACTTATCCCGACCTCTCATTGAAGCACATGTTTCACATACAAACACCTAATTGATGCAAATAAATTCATTTTACTATACACACAGTAGTTACTTGGTCGGTACGCTTAAAATTTTTATTTTATTAAAGGAGGTTTAATTGAAATAGTTTCGAATAATTATACTAATCTAAGATTGAGAGTGACATCTGCATCAATTACATTTAGTTCTGGCATAATACTTTAACTCTTTTTGTATTTTTACTTAAACGGCCTTACGTGAATATTCTAGAGCTGAAGAGCTTGTTTATCTGAACGCACTAATCTCAGGAACTACTGGTTCGAATTGAAAAATTATTTCTTTTTGGTTGGTTTAGTACTTGTCGAGGGAGGCTGTAGGCTATAAAACATCATGCTACTACCAATAGGAGCTAAAAAACAATGAACAATGTGAAAAAAAACGGGGAAAATTATTAATCTTCGTGGGTTTCCGTTGTGTGTGCGAAAACGATTTTAAACTTTAAACGATGTAAAAAAATGTCTGTCATAGTATTTGTCTATCTTTTAGGATTAAAATAACTATTGTAAGTGGACGAAGTCGCGGCCACAGCCAGTTATAAATAAATGCGTTTCTTAAGGCATATTTAAGCGTACAGTTCATTGTCACACGTTAATAAGAGCGGCCTTGATGTATTTTCTTACAATAGGTCTCAGTTCCCACTCTCAGTTTCGTTTGCTAAGATAAAAACCATTTGTTATATCATTCCTCTATAGACGCATATATCACTACTTATTTTTGCTATTAAAAAATCTTTAAAAGCAAAAGAAACACGTTTTTGCAATTACGTGTCAAGTATGTAAAAACAATCTCGATGAAAAGAAGTTCTACAGCCTGTAACGCATGTCTCGTAACGCTATGCAGTTAATTCAGGCATTTTTAGGTGTTTCTGATTTATGCTCTCTTTGGCTCGCCAAACGATTTTCTGGTCACTATGTGTTGCTTGATTACATTGCAGTGCATCGTCTTCAGGCACTAGACGCGGTACCAAGGTTCCGTGGTCAGGGCGGAACATACCACGACGTGTCCAACAAAGTTAGCGCACGGTAAAAATATTAAACTGTGCGTTAAAAATAATCGATATCTCGATGTTGCTACAAGCGAATCGAATCGATTTGAAATCGATATTAATCCCACTACGGCTATTACTGGTTACTCAACTGGGAATTAAGATAATGGGTAGATAATATTAGCTGTCGAGATTATATAAAACTGTGAAATCAAAACTAAAACAACAGGCGTGAAGAAAGGTGTCTAATAATAGATATCTTTTAAATAAAACACTTTAACGGTTTAAAACGCGATATATTAGTTAATCGTCTCCCCGTGACCACGCTGCTCCAAAGCATCCGAAACGTTGGGCCGAAGTTAAAAATTATTTTCAAATAAGTTTAATCGCGTTTTAAGCCGTTAAAGTGTTTTATTTAAATGCGTACTACTCGCGTAAACTATAGACAGTATTTAATAGATCTCTTTAAATTTTTCGTAAATCGTTTGTGTCTGACAAATTTAAACCAATGAAGGACATACCCTAATAATTATACAAAAATAATTGAAGTACGTAGCTTTTTTAAGATGACAAACGCTATGTGCGCTTTGCTTAATAACACATGATGTTGAATGTCGGTTTTAAGGCGTTCCGGTTATACAATTTTAGCACAAGTAAACTGAGAAATATTTGGTGATTGACCGAAAATCAAACTCGCGACCAGACAAACAAAATGGCCGCTAACATCAGCTCTATACAAAAATATGATACTAGATCGCGGAGGATTAATATTGAATATTCAATATTGGAAACAATGTTAGCTTTACAAAAAATAATAATTATAAAGTAGGCAACTATTAGAACAATATCTAATAATTTATAAACAATTAGAAGCCAGAACGCGTAGAAATCAACAACTGCTTGGCAATTAATTATATCTGGAAAATGTAATTCTTGCTAACAGCATACATATTCATGTTAGTAATTAGGTAACACATTTCTATGCATTGCTAAATAAACGTTTAATACAGTAACATCGCGATATTTAAATTTCACCAAATATGGAATGACAAGTGTTTATTATGCATGTACACGCCAATAATACGTTCACTATATCAACACTTATTGCGTCTAACCCAGAAATTTCTACTATTGTGTAAGGATCAACAATAGTATTACAGTACAGTCTGTTCGTTCACGTATCACCAATTTTCGTCCACCACCTGCTGACTCGGCCCTTTCAAGGGAACATCATGCCTAGTAGCAGATACACTATGTTTTTGTACTAAAATCTAGACTTTACCGGTGTACTTTTAAATGATGTATAAAGATTTTGGTGCACGAAAAAAACCACCCAACGAAAGTTGCAAACAAGGCACAAGGCCAACAAATTACCAAACCTGTGGGAACAATATAGTATTAAGCTGCTGGAAACCATCCGTCGGGGCATAGTTTATAAGATGTTTAACTATACAAATATTTCGGGTAAAAACCGTTAATAGTGATTTATATAAAAATACTTGATATCGAAACGTTCACGCATATTTTGATTCGCAATTCTGTAAATATTGGAATTTAAGCAGCTTATTATCCAGTTGACCTCGGCTGCCTTGACCGCATCGGAGAGCGGTAAAAAGCGATATTTCCGCACCATCCGCTTCATCTTTGCCAATTCAAGATCTTGCAAAATAATCATCATTATACAAAAGACCGATTGGACCATAACGCTATCAAGGATAATTTACTGTAAACTATAAGATTTAATCTTGAAGAGCAATCGTTGTGAATAAGATTGGTCTTAATTCGATTTAGAGTTTTTGTACGATCGTCTGTAAGAAGGTTATACTCCTAAATTTGGATATTCACCTTTCTACGTTTTGGACATCGATGACCGTAGGAAATACCAATTCCTACCAGGCATTTTTTTCCCGGATTTCACCAGATCTTTATTCGAAAAAAATATGCTGCTATATTAAGATTTCAATGAGAAGCAGCATCCGTAATCATACAGCATGTCGGTGCACCAGTTAACCGGTAACGGTGCATCCAAGACGCGGAACAGTGGCCGTTCTGCTGCAATGACTTGGCGTGTGGTACTGGTGCGGTAGAATTTTCCTTACGAATTTCAACGAATGAAATCTAGCAGAGGAAGTTTTTCCAAAGAATAATAATTCTATGTGAATAAATTGCAAACGTTTTAATATTAAGTCTGAGGTCCGAGGTTTGCGTCGTGGAAAAACATGATAAATTATATTGACGTGAAGGACACAGCCATCTTTTCTTGCAGACACATTTTCTTAAATGTGTCTGCAATGTTCTCTACGTAGAGAATGTGGGTAGTACTTTGAATACTTCTCAGAGTATTAGGTTTATTTCCCAGGAAAATTAGGCAGGTAGGTTGAAATTTACTTATGTAAATCTATATGTTATATAGCTGAAGTGTGTGTGTTTGCTGATCTCAGAATTCTTCGAAATTAAAAAAAAAATTTATGTTGATTGGTCCATCTATCGAGGAAGGCTTGAGACTATATAACATTACACTGTAACCAATAGCAACGAAGAAACAGTAGAAAATATGTAGATATTCATCTTTGAAGGCAGACGTTGCGCGTGCTACGATGTATTAAATGATCTAAAAATAGATCACCGGTGATCACATATTGATAGTCTAACTTTTTAGATTAAATTAAGTAATCAAATTTGGTCGCGATTATTTATTACCAATTATTTTTTAGAGTCGTATCAACATAATAATATTGTTCTTGCATCAACAAAACAACGTTTACAGGCTCATCAAGTGCATAATATACACAATAGTGTATCCTAATCCTACTTTCCATTATCCCTTAACATTTTTTATAATCGTTTTTGTATCCAATGTTATCAGTTAACTTAACAGTATGCCACATACCTTTGTATCTTCACAATTGTGGCTTTCTATAGTTTACGCGAGTAGTACACATTCAAATAAAACACTTTAACGGTTTTAAACCGCGATGTATTAGTTACCAATAGAATAGAAGATAACTAATATATCGCGTTTTAAACCGTTCAAGTGTTTTATTTAAATTGTGGCTGTTGGAGTCAAAGCATTGTGTTTTGGAAACCAATTATGCTTTCGAAATATTTCATTAGCATCGTAACGAGACTAGCGAAGTTACACAAGGCAATTTTTTTACCATGAATACTGCTGTGATCTTTAAAATACATAGAACTGCGTTGTGCAAGCAGTTCTGATAGTAGGGTTCCGTTCCAAAAAGGTAAAAATGGACGTCAATTAGGTACTATGACTTCGTTCTGTCTGTCACCGTATCTCAAGAGTTGCCATAGATAGAACTTGAATTTTGAATTCCACGTTGCCGCAATAATATCAATTTATACATATTTACAAAAAGAAGAAAGGAAGAAACGAGGAATTAAATAAGCAATGGTTTCCAGGCAACTCTGAAGGTAAGAAAAGAAATATGGAAAACTAATACTATATACTTAGTAATGCACCTAGATCCTCTTCGTGGGAATCCGGCTCACACTTAGCCGCTATTATAAATAGTCTCGTGATCGTGAACAGTTTTTGTACTTATTTGTGCGTTTAGGCAACAAATGGGGTACAAAACATAAAGTTCAATTAATATGAGTGGCTCATTACTTCATTAAGATACTAAGAACTTTAGCCTATTATTCGTCACTGGGCTAAACGATATGGTAAACCTATACACAATACATTTTGCAATGTGTAAAACTTTAAATATATACCTATTTATATTTGTGTAAACGGAAAAGGGATCATCAAGATTGTACGGGTGTTCATACATTCCTAGAACTGCGTAAGATTCCCTGGATGCCATACAAATTAGCTGCGAAGGAAATGAAAAAACTCGTTAGGAATTTAAGATAGTGGCAGATTCCAGTCCCATAAGTCCTAAGGATTCGACAGTATGTAAACATGAAGATAATATCCAAACACGAGTTAATTAATTAATAAGTTAAATAAGAAATAATAATTACTTCCTAGATAATTAATGATGACAAAAAATATTGAAATAAATAATTATCGACTTCTATGCGTAATTAGTCATTTGTAAACAAATGCTTCAAAGTTTATTACTATTATACTAAAACACTTCTTGCATTTGCAAATGCTTAACAGCATTTTTTACTACGGAAGCAAAAAGCTAAGCTCGTAATATATTTTATTTATACATATAAATATTACGTTACGCATTATAGTTACACAGTACTATCTATATTTTAATCTATACTAATTATAAAGCAGAAGAGTTTGTTTGTTTGAACGCGCTTATCTCAGGAATTAGGTACTGATTTCAATTGAAAAATTATTTTCTTTTTCTACGTGGGCAAAGTCGCGGGCACAAGTAGGTCTCTATAAATATACGAATTCTCATGTAGGTATCAAAGTAACAACCAACTTGCAAGTATTTCTCGGTCAAGCAAGCATTACTATCACAGAATTCTACGTTTTATGATTCCTTTATTCAGTAGATTGATTTGGACTGGAATTTTTATTAGTGACGATTGGTGTTGGAAGGAGAGATATAATTCTTAATAGCAGGAAGATACACTTTAAAATTCACTAACAGTCACTAAACCTGCGTTCGCTAAGAATTTATAGAATATAATGGGCATGGGACAAACACACTTCTGTGTCCGTTTCAGTGATCAAGTTTATTTACAGGCAGATAGTCTGGACGTCTGTGACCTTACCCGACCGAAACAATTAATTGTTAAATACTGTCTATAGTTTAGTATATAGTCTTTAGTAATTGCTCCTCAGGGTTAGAACTAAAGACGTAATTCAGATAATATTTTTTTATTAACTATTGTATAATTTACGCGAATAGTACCTACACATTCAAATGAAATATGTTTAACGGCGAAATAGCTAATTTATTTCTTGTTTATTTTAACTACGGTCGGTTATTTAGTGTTCTATACCTTTCTATTATAATATTTCTTAAATTTTTACCGTTTCATTGTTTAAGATGAATCTGTTCCAATAAACTCTGTCGCTGTTCCTAAAATAAAACCACTTTCGAATAATACTATTCTGATATTCAGGGTCAGAAGACTTAGATCAATCCAGTTATTTCACGACCTCTGATTCAGTAGCCTACATTAATACAAACAAAGACAAGAAATTATAAACTAGAATTTCTTGTATCGAAATTATAGATGCAAGACACTAAAAATAATTATTTTATTAATGTTAAAAAGTTAGTTAAGCAAGATAACTATTAATGTTTCTTATAAACAGAATTATACTTTTTAATTGATTATTTTCGAGTATAATGAAATGTACCATATAATTTAGCTACATCTCTCTTGGACCTTTAGTATAGTTTAACTATTCAAGTCCTAGTCGCGCTCGAAACGCGCACAGAAAACTCGTTTTAAGTCTTCATAAGATCTAATAGTAAATACAACACAATGACAAAAGTAAATAATAATTTACCTGTGTCCTTAATATCCGGGTTAGCACAAAATCACGTTTTCACTAGCTCACAGCAAGGCACAATAAAAAGTTGATACACCACTTCGTAATTGTTGCGTTTATAACACACACATGCGTCCTCTGTGCTGTTGTCTCGCCGACTGAACGCGGAGTTGCTGTTGAGGTACAAAATTCTTCTGTTGCTACAGAGTTGAGTGTGTTTGTGGTCGCCGCAACAGATCTCAACGAAGAATCTATTGAGATAATAGCAGTGACGCCTGGTGTGATGAAGGACGATTAGTTGGAATATAAGGGTATTCCAACTAATTGTCCTTCTCGGGGTTATATTGTGTATATTATATTATAATTAATATGGGGGGTTATAAATTATCTTAAGTGATCTATTCATTTATAATTTACTATGTTTATACTATACTTTGGGACAACTCTATAGTTTGTGTATCAATATTATTATAAATTAATATATTATGAATTAATAACCACTTTATTATTTTTCACATGTTATTGCACATGAGGGTATAAAAGGGTAGGAAATTATAAATGTATTTAGATTTAAAATTCGATGATATTTGAGAAACGATAGTTGAATTGGTTAGAGCAGCAGCACAACCACGAAGACTGTGAACGCCAGTTAAAGTTCCGTGTCGTCAATTTTATCAATTTAAATAGATTTTTAATTTATATAACGACTTTCGTTTAGTTGTTTATACTCATTTGATCGGTTTTCGTTTGCGAACTATAGGGAACACTAAGTGGACAGTCAAAGGAACATTATTTGTCCACTTTACCGAAGGATTAATGCAGTTTTAATAGTCTTCAACTGTCACAATTGTCGGGAACATTAGACAACAAATATTAGTCGCAACAGATCTAACAAAGAATCCATTGAGATAATGGCGGCAGCCTCTGCAGTTTAGAAAACGAACCGTAGGACACGGTCCATAGCACGAAATGTTTGCACGGCACCGTCGTCGCATGCGCAGGTCTGTTTTAAGAGATTTCTAAGACATTCAAGCGTCGCATGAATGGTTACATGTCTCCGAATAACACGTTGGCGTGTTTTATTGGTACGAAGTCACTTTCCAGGGTAATAGCATCATTATGTCCCCCTACTGGAGGCAAAGGAATGCGAGAACGTAAAATAAAAGCACAATTTACTTTTTAAATAATTTATGTAAATGTCAATCGTATACAGCACGGAGAAACGAGACCGTTTACTACATCGTAAAATTAGCAGGTAACTATAGCAATTTACAGGAAATCAGGTACGGAATAGATAAAAAGTAGGAATGTTTAAGGCCGCTATGCTGCAAGCAATATGCGGCCAGCTTTACATCGTGCAATGGTAATTATTAAATAAGATAATCTAGGATAAAGAAGTTTACTATGATTTGTGGTCTAACATAACACCTTGTTACTCCACGAATAGACAATCAAGAAAAATAAACTTAATAAGGTTTTCGCGGCCATCTGAGTGATGACAAACCAAATCCAAAAACACATATTTCCGAGACATATTTATTTTGCATCAACAGAGTTTATCTAAAACGATAAGTTATTTACGATTAATAACGCATCTATATCTTGCCAACTTGTTTCAAAACTAAATTAAATGTATTACGGGATTACAGATTTGATTAACGGATAATAATTTATCATAATTCATTTATCTGTAATGTTTGTTAGTCACTTTACGATTCGTCTAGGAACTTAAGCAAACTGTTCCAATGTAAAATACATTCTTCTTTATTTGTACTACGAGTATGATTAATAAATACGCTTAATTTCAACACAATTAAAAACTAATATTATTCTACAGAAAATAAATATTATTAGCTACAAAACACTTAACTAAAGAAATCCTTTATAATTAATTTAATAATATGTTGTCTACAAAAGCTTGATGTAATTTTGCATTTACTCGCATCTCAGCATGGATATTGTTAATTTGCAGGTTTTAAATTGTTACGCCTTTTTTCTCGTCTTTCTCTTTTGCTAATCTAGTAGTTATATTATTCGTTAATTTTATACAATAAATACGTCCAAAATCTGGCTCAAAAGTTAAAATTAGATCATTGCAGAGATTCTCGTTCCAAAAATTCGCTTTCTACAAATATGATGAGAAAAATTCAGCCACAAATAAGGCCTCAAATGGTCTTTAGTAAAATACATAATAGTTATAAAATGGTATAAAACATTAGGTACAAAATTACCTACATTACTGTGTATATTTTTCGTATAAAGTGACTATATTATATCAACATATAAAATATATACCAAAAGTCGTAATAGCACTTCATTATACATATTATAGCACAATAATCATATTAAAATGATTGATTGGTATGTAGAAGCATTTTACTAGAGAGTTGTGTTTCTTTCACCAAACTCTATATAAAGAGTAAAGTAAGAATGAATACAACGTACAAAGGCACAATATAATACCAGCAATTCTTATTATGTCAAATTATATATTACTGTTAAAATTCTTTCAGGTTACAATAATGAGTTTATCAAAATTTGTTAACAATTTCAGTTAACAAAATTGGCCTGACCATAAAAATCTCATGTCACTTACTTTTTGACAATTGACAGGTAGTTTGACAATTGACAACCCGAAAGATCATTGGATACCGTCTATAATATTAAACAGAAATTAATATGTAAAGATACGTATCGGAAATTTATACAAATGTCAAAACGATTAACAGATTATAACACCCATTCGCTTTAAAGGTGGTGACATATTATGAGTAGAACGTGAGTACTGCGGCGTGGTTCCCCCTCACGAGTAGAGTTTGTTTGGCCGCCGTGGCGATAGATGTTAGCCACGCCATGTATAAGGGTGCAGGCACACCACGTCGCCTGGGCATCGGCTGCGTAACGCAGACGAGCCTCGCGTTGTGCGAGTGCTCTCCGATCAGTTCTCGTAACCGCAGGTGTCGATATGTTCGATCGCGAGCCGCTAGCAAATCTGCTTCCGATATGCCATCTAGTAAAAAAGGAAACAAAAGCAGACCCGATGAATATAGCATAAATTTTGAACTATATAATTACATAATCTTCATAAACCCGAATTCTGGCTATGAATGAAAAAACACGATGTGAGAATAAAGTATCTCGCAAAGATAATTCAGTGTACATGGCGGCATGAAAGCATATGCTGTGTGGAAGGCGAGCGGAGTATGCAAGGATTATTGGGCATAAAATTCGTGATAAATTATCAATCGAGTTTTTAGATTTACCGCAAAATAACATTTTAAGTCGCATAAAACGAATTGACAGAAGAATGTAACTCCTCACCTAGATAAAAAATAACTGTACCCCTAATGTGCATAGTAAACATTTTACATCGTTCATTATGCGCGAATTACCTATTGTGTCTCACTAGACCGAAACTTTGTCTCTCCGGATTACGAATCCAGGACTGGTGTTTATGCAATGATAAAAAAACTATAGATGAGTTCAGACGTCGTCAAAAATCCGAATGATTAGAAATGATTAACTACCATGTACTAACCAGTGTCGGTGCTGTCCTCTGGTGTTCGGAAAGGTGCAATGAGTTTGTCAAAGTACACGAGCGTTGAATCTTTCGGTTTCTTGGTGATGTCCGATATCATCTTCAAGGCCGAATAGTCAATCCGGAACTTTGATAATAACGATGCCATACTACAATAAAAATTAATTTTAGTAGTATTATTCAATCTAATCAACTTCGAATATCCAAGGACAAAATAGGGTGGTAAAATACCCTCGGGGGAATTTCTTCTCCTATCAAGTGTACCCCACGCTTATCTGTCCTTTTCTGCTATAAAAAACCTAAGCAGATGTAGTAAATATTATAGAATGAATCAAACAAATCAATGAAATTTTGCTTACTTAGTTTAAAAATGGTTTAAACTTACTTTCTCTCTTCTATTTCCATCTCCGTATTTTTGTTCACGAGTGTAAATACGCGTAATGGACTGGACGCCCATGCGCGGCGGGTCGATAAAATGTAGGGCAATAGCAGCGTCAAGCCTGTCGTATAGAAAGAAAACTTACATTTTAATACAATCTAGTAAAAGAAAAAAAAAATTGTGCCACAATAAAGAGATTGTAGATGAGTGACTGACTGACTTAGTAATTCAGTGAATGAGTGAGAGAGTGAGTGGGTAAGAGAGAGAGAGAGTGACTGAGTGAATCTCTTTCTTTAAGGAATAAAATTCCTTGAAATCTGTATACTGTGATATGTACATAACCCTAAGAAGAACATCTTTACCTCCATCATCATAAAGCCACCAAACGTCGACGGTGCCATTTTGTCGTCGAGTAAACTGCTCAACTGAAGTAAAGGACGACGCCCGACGCGCTGCACCAATGCCTATACGACGTCCTATGCCCTTGCTAGATACAATATTTTCAAGTTAATAAAATTAAAACGCAATTATATAAGTTACTGCTACTTTAGCTGAACTGTTTGGGTAGACGATCTATTCGCTATACAATGCCTTAATAACGACGAGCTTTTTTTTTAACTGATGTTGTGAATGCCTAATGCACGCCCACGTCTGGCAAGTGTGACGTGGGGAGTGTGGTAAATCGAATAGCCGACCAGAACCACTAAACACACTACCAGCCCTCTACGGTGCTTTGAGGGAGCCCTGGGAACACGTTTGTACGACTTCATAGCTCAATAACGACGGCCTAACAGCTCGAATAGAGCTTAGAACCATGGCCGCGAAAGCCTCATACAATTTATAGCACTTTACCTTTCAAGCAAATGACTTGAAGCGTGATTTGGTAAGACTCTTAAAAAACAAGTCACATATGTAATATACATCAACATAAATCGATGAAAATTACTAGAAAGACAATATTATTTTGATAGCAGCAGCATTAAGGAATAGAAATCAATTAACGGACAAATTTTAAGGCAAAAATAGATTTAGCCTTCACCTAGCTTAAGTAAGAAACTAAAAATAACGCAAGCAAAATTAAAAAACCTCACCCCAAAGATTTCTTTAATAATAGTTTTGCTATCCTAAAAGAAAATAGTAAGAGTGTTCAATTAATAATATTAAATGATTTCTTCGTCACACACTATTCACCTTTCACAAAGTGAATTAGCCTTACATACTCAGTTATTTATCTTAACCAGTCAAAACTTATTATATATAATAATAACTTATTAAAAAAGCATTATAAAAGGATAGAAAATCCATTTACAACCAAAAATAAAATGGTACCGTTTAAAGGGTTCGAGTCCTGCTGGTGCAATAATGAGTGATGTACCATCTAAATTTAACGAGTTGTACACATTTAAATAAAACACTTTTAACGGGTTATATACACGCCCGACATTTCAGTCAGCAGGTTTCACCAAATGTCAACTACGATGAAGCAGATGGCGCTAGCGTAGCAAATTTGGCTTTGACACTAGGGATACCCTGTTTTTTAGTCTCCCCGTGACCACAACTGCTGCAAAGCATCCGACATGTCGAGCAGTAGTTAAAATAAATAAAAATAAATTAACGAATATATTTCGCGTAAGCTGTAGAAATGTTTTATTTAAATTGTGTAGTTGTTATAAAAATTCACATTTAGTATTAACAACTTAAAGACGTTTAACAGAAGTGTAGATTCAACAAACGAAGTACTTACTTAGACTTCCCAGTTTCGTTGGACTTTTCAGGCTTGTTGGCAGCGGCGGGGTCTCGTGACACACGTTCTGGCGAACCGAGCGATAAGTCTGACATGCTGCTGCCTTGAAATTAAATAATTGTGTTATTTTTATTGAACAAGATTATAAGAAACCCATATAATAAAATTGTAAGTTCTTAAGCTCCACAAAAACAAATTTGACTATAAAAATTTGTGAAATACTGTCTGTTGTCTACGCGAGTAGTACAAATCAAATAAAACACTTTAACAGTTTAAAACGCGATATAATTAGTTAAACTTATTTGAAGATTATATTAATTATGACCCGACGTTTTGGATGCTTTACGAGGTTAAAATAATCTCTAAATCATGTCAACTAATATATATCACGTGTAAAACTATTAAAGAGTTTTATTTAACTAAAAAATAGTGTCTTATATTTTAAACTTGATAAAAGCAATGACGCGCAACTCACCTCTTGAGTGCGTGTTTAAACTCTCGATGGATTTGGAGTCCTTGAGGCTGTCGCCCATGGAACCTAACCGCAAATGCGATGGTTAGCACATTTTATGAATACACACACACATTTACTGGACAACGTTCAAAATATACTTTTTTATAATAGAAGAAGATAGAAAGAGGGGAAACACGACGTTCACTTGATAGAAGGTGAAATACCCCAACACTCTAAAAAAGATCTGCTGTCGGCCTATATTGGATTTGGACTTACACAAATCGACAAACAATAACCAATGACTTTAAAAAAATATTGTGAACATTATCCAGTAAATGTATTATCAAATGTAACAATAATTGTTAATTTATAATACAAATAACATATAATAGAAATAGAATATATTTTTAGTTTTATATGAGAGACAATGAATAAATTAGTAACAAAATTAATGTAGAAATATGCTTATATAACTAAATCATATATAGCAGCATTAACTTCCTTATCTTTCACTTTGTGAGATTAAACATTTTTTTCTCTTTTATTTAAACACTGAAGGCGGTCTGAGTGATAAAGACAAAACATAATTTTAATCATAACACGTTTATAAGAACTTATTTAAATTATTTTTTTCTTTGTACAATATAGCTATCCTGTTTTCCCATGTTTCAGCTTGAAAGAGACAAAATAATGTCCGCAATACTCTCTACAGTTTACGCGAGTAGTACACATTTAAATAAAACACTTTAACAGTTTAAAACGCGATATATTAGTTAAACTTATTTATAAAGGGCAGACGTGGTCGGATGCTTTGCAGCAGCCGGGGTCACGGGGAGACAAACGTCGGGCCGAAGTAAAAAAAACGAATATATCGCGTTTTAAACCGTTAAAGTGTTTTATTTAAATGTCTGCAATGCTAATGTTGCAGTTTTCCACTTCAATGTTTTAATAAGGAAGTATATTAAGTCACTAAGAACATACGTGACACAACTGCGGAGTCCTTAACGTTTAGGTCTTGAAGACAAGCCTGAAGGTCATCATCAAGTGTTTCATTGCTGTATAGGCCGCCCTCTACACGAAGCAATGCAATCGCCATATGCACGTCTAACGCTTTACTATAAAAAAATATATAATTGTATATATCTGTATCATTTGCACTGATCGATTTTATTATAGGCAAGTAGTTATTTAAGACTTCTCTGCACCACCCGACTGAGACAATTTATTGTTTCCCCGGGATTCGAACCCAAGACATGGCGTCCTTATAATGCATGCTCTATGATATGATGAGTGCCTCTATGATTGATCTATGGATGCGTGTTATAATTTTTCATAGGTCTATAGAAAAGACTTTTGCAAAGTAATCTCGGGCTATCACAAGTGTACTAGCTCGAAAATAATTCGACGATATAACAATCCCTATTAACTAAACATGAAGGTTACTTAATGAGTACTTACTGCATAACTTCAACATAATCAGATACTTCTTCAACACCAGAGCTTTGCCAATTCTCTTTGAAACCCATCAATAAAATGTTCGGTTTTAATTTACCAAGACCGCTAGCCTACAAAAAAATTAGAAAAATAGATAAAAAGTGAGTTTTGCTTATAAGTGAATAATAATACAGATAAAGCAATACCTGTATAAGAGCACTAGCGCCATCTTTGAGCTCCACACCATCAACAACGCAATAAAACGACTTTATCTTTCGCTTCAAGAACCAATGATAAGCTCGATTCGTAAGCGCCTCTCGAGTCCTATAGTTAACTTGACTCTGAAAATAATATATTAAATATTATATATAAAAAAATTTTGCTATAAAGACATGAAAACACTTCTCAAATACCCTTTATAAGAAAGGTATATTGAAAAACTACAAATTGAACAATATGAGTACATATAAATAGTACAAATAACAATTTGTTTATGCACCTGTACAACTTGCCCGCACAGCATAAGTGACAATCCCTTGGTGAGCAAGTACGAAAAGTCGGTTAACAAAGCTCGTTCCGCCGGAAATCCAGATAGCACCAAAATCTGAGGCCTAAAAATAATTAATTTATTAATTTTAAATTATTTAATGAAAATGCCTCTTATATTTAGTTTGGTTATGTACACAAATATACATGTATATAAGATTATAATATTTTTTTTAAAAATGTATATACCTATAGTTTTTGACGTGTTCTGTAACTCGGTTTAATTGATGAACACCAGATAAAGCGGTCTTGTAGGTTTGGGCTTGTGTAGTCGACCCCCAATTAACGTCTGTAGTAAAAAAATTAGAATGGACACTTATTATTTCGAGACATAACAATATACATACATATAGGGATGATGGCAGTACTGTGTTTCCAAAGAGGTATACTGGATCCGAGGTCTTAAAGTAATTAACAAAAAATCAACGGTACGTATTGTCTGTAATTTACGCAAATAATACACATTTAAATATTGCACTTTTAAACCCAAATCTCACATTTACCACTTACCAGGTTTCCTATATGACACAAGAAGGTACAAAGCAAGCAGAAAGGAAATCGTGACGAGAGCGGTAATCCACGAGATCACGAACATAATCGCCACGCACACCATGGAACCCACGAGGGAAAGCCACATATTATAAAGCTGGAATACAAAGAAAACCATTAACCCTTCTGACATTATAGAGAATTAAATTAAATAAATTAGTAATAGTTCTGAAACATGAAGTTGAGTAATTCTGAAAATTTAGTAATTTTTATTACAACTCGGTGATTATATAGAGGTCAAAAAGTATTCAGTGTTTTAAAACATTAAAAATAATGAAAAGGACTATATCATAAATACCCGAAAGGTAGGTCTCCATCCCACTGGCTTTGCAAGGCTGGCATGGAAAGTTGCGAAGTTAATTAGCGCGTACGCAGCCAGGAAGAAGTTAGATATTAACGGAGCGATTTGGTTAAGACCACCTGCAAACAAACAAAGATCCAAATCATTGTAATAAGGTTCGACTCCCACCGGTTCCATGTTTCTAACCAATGTATAGTTTTTTGAAACATGTTGGAATTCGTCTGGAAACCTGAATATTAAATTGGTGGCAGGAATTGGAAATTCCGTCCGGGTCACGAACAAACTTCCTCAGATAAAAAGCCGTCAGGTCGAATCGCGTTTTGCTTTGAGTCTGTGGATTGTCGAATATCCAAAGTCAAAATAGGTCGACAACACTGATGCATCGGGATGTTACATCGTTGGGGCATCATCCATCAAGTGAAACCCAGGCTTGTCTGATCATTATAAAACAATCAAGTCAGTAATAAAAAAAAAAAAAGTAATTTCAGACTTCTGATATCAGTATAAGTAATCATCAGTAATATTCAGACTCTTATTCTTCTTCTTCATCTTACCCATCAAAATAAAAGCGACAGCTATTATAAACGTGAGCGCATAACCACGAACTGGTTCGTTATTGCTTCCATAACCTTTCGCGAAGAACTCCAAGTACGGGTAGAGTTTATCTTGACAAAGGGCCTGAAATATAAGTTTATTAAGAGATATTAAACAAAATATAAATTAAAATTACAAGAGATTTTTAGTAAGATTATGTTGTATTGTTACTGACCTGAAATACTTTTGGGGCTGAAACCAACGAAGCCAAGGCTGAAGATAGCGTGGCCGCGAAACACCCACCATAGATTAGCGGACCCCACGCCGATACCAAACGAATAACCTAGAAATTGTCAAGAAAACAAGCTTGTTTAAAACTAAGATAAATTTTTAGGATAAAAAGCTTCTATTTCTATACGCTATACTCACATCATTACTATGATGCAAGCCATACGCACAGCTCCCGTCTTGTACACAAGCTGTCAAGTTCCAAGTAGCGACATCAGCAACACTCCCGGATGCATCACGTAGAACGCACCACCCGGCTATTACAGCGATTACCACGTACGATATTGTGGTAAGCAATATTGCCAAAAGTGTACCCTTGGGAATTGATTTTTGTGGGTCCTAAAAGAAACAGAACAAACAAATAATTTGATTAGGTCTATAGTTCACGCGAGAAATACATTTATTGGTTTAAACGGCGAAATATATGTTTCGGATGTTTAGCAGCAGTTGTGGTCACCGGGGGGATTGGAGAGAGCGGGTGTCCTTAATGTCAAAGTCAAAACTGCTACGCTATAAATATTTAATTCGACGCAACGTCAGGCCGCAGTTTAATTAAATTGAAAATAAGATAATGTATTTTGCGTTTTCACCGTGTTTAAAGTTACAAACCGTTCAAAATGTTTTATTTAAGTACAGATAATACACAATATCACACTGCTTAAATAGGGATGAATATGCTCAAACACACCGGTTTCCGACCTTTAGCTTTATCTGATAGGTTATACGTAATTTTAATTCTCAACACAGAGAAAATTTTAGGTTATTATTACAATTAAATAAGTATTGTATACCTTAAGATCGCCAGAAATATTAGCACCAGCTAATATACCAGTCGCTGCGGGGAAGAAAATGGAAAAAACTGAGAAGAAATTATGTTGGACCCCTTCGAAGAATCTGTAATCCGGCGCCATATTTGCGTGTAACACGGACGCTGTAAATTGAGAAATTCACTTTGAAGTACACACACACAAGTACAAAGAAACATGGAACAAAAGGTTTCTGTTCCTATGAACCAAAATGGTAACTGGCCGTTGTAACGGCTAAACTACAGATACTGAACACTGTCTGTAGTTTACGCGAGTAGTACACATTAAAATAAAACACTTTAACGGTTTTAAACGCGATGTATTACATGTCGGCGTTTCGAATGTCTCCCCGTGACCCCGGCTGCTGCAAAGCATCCGAAACGTCGAGCCGTAGTTAAAATACTTTCCAAATAACATACAAAATACATCGCCTTATAAACTGTTAAATTGTTTTATTGAAATCTACTTACTATTAAATCCGACAAATCCCTGGGCCATCTCGTCAGCGCTGGTCGGTCCCATAATGGCGCCGATACAGAAGTCTGCTATAGCAGCCAGGAGTATGAAGAGCAGAACTATCTGCGCCTTGGCCTCCCACTCTAGGCCCACTATCACAATTCCCGTTAGCAGCACTATGGTTAAACAGCCGTATATTGCTTGATCCTGCAAAAAATATACAAAATTGTTTACGGTTTTCGTAAACTTTTTGAACAGCTGCTTGGATGAGATGTTCAGTCAAGTAATCAAGCTAGTGCTTGTCTGCCATCCACTCATGATGAAGAAACATCGAGAACCATTCCTCAATTAAAAGTTGTCCAGCCGAAATTGAGCAAGTAATAAAAATAATAGTGATAACATATTTTCAGAAGCTGGAACTTTCTAATTTAAAAATCTAAAATAAATTAAAAAAAAATTCGACTCGGGCAGGACTTGAACTCGCCAATTGACTCGGTAGCTCAATGTGTGCCTTCATGTGCAATAACATGTGAAAAATATTAAAGTTTTCAAAAGCTTGAACACTATACAGAACAAATATAATTCGCTTTCATGTTATTTGTACTAAAGTTCAGTATTTTAACAAAACATTACTCACAAATCTATTTTAGATTCATAAAAAAAAATCTACATGGAATTTCAACATTAACACTTGCGTATTAGGGCTTTATTAGATTGCGTAAGAGGTGGATGTATCAATCAATCTTTTCTTGCGTGTAATAAAAAAAACAAAGAATTTTACGCTGTTAAAAACATATGAAATTGATATTTACCCAACTCTTGCTGACCATATACGCGGACTCCGGTATTAGAGTGATGAGAGATTCTCCAAAACCCACCACGTACATTGCGCATGCGACCGCATTAGCCATAGAGAATATGAGACCTATGGAACCACCGAACTCTGGGCCCAGTGATCGAGATATCATGTAATAAGTTCCACCTGAAAAGTCAAAGTTAGCAGTGCTACGATTTGTCAAACAAGCCGTGTTTGTAATAATTAATTAATTACTAATATTAATAATTATAAATTTACAATCTAACGGTTTTTTACAATATCACGGTGCAATTTTGTGTATGAACAAATAACGTACCTCCTTTAATCACACCATTCGTACTTATTGCAGACATAGAGAGTGCAGTGATAGTTGTTACTATAGATGTCGTCAGAATTAAAAGGATCGCCTGACCTGTAACACAAAAATGCATTTATAAATTATCACTGATCGATGTTATACAAGTAGATAGTTGATCAAACTTCTGTGCCCCACAGTACCAAATGGTCCTGTCCATAGATGTATTGGAACAATGTGTGTTTGTCTTGAGTTGTCATTTTTCTATTCAATTTATAATTTTTCTGACACATGTTGGACTTCGTCTTGAAATCTGGATGTTAAATGGGTGGTAGGAATATCGAAATTCCATCCGGATTAAAATTAAGTCTGTGGATTTCCGAATATCCCAAAGCCAAAATGGGACGCCAGCGCATTTTGTTTCAATTCTATAGGCTGGGGTAGACAAACATGTTTGTCTGCTTCTTTCTATCATAAAAAAAATATAGTATTTGTTAAAGTTCCATCTACAAACCAATTCCAGCTTGGCCCACGACCCACGACAATCTTAGGAAGAGCATAACCCCCCATATGTTGAGGAGGCATCTCATCAGAACGCCCTTTATCCAGCCGAATTTGTAACTCGTGGTCGATAGCGAGGGCATGGTGACATCCTTCTCCAGTGTCTGGCCTGGCTAAAAGTATACACTTATCAAGAATTATATCATCAGAAAGTACACTAAGTATTGGTAAAATTATATAAAAATACTAGCTGGGCCGGCAAATGTTGTTTTGCCATATAAATAATTTTACTAACGTCTATTAAAATATAAGAGTTGATCGTAGAAGGGTGAAAATTGAGGATTGTATGTATTTTTGTATGTTGTATCATAAAAAAATAGAAATTAAAAATTTTGTTTAAAAAATAAATAAAAAAATTTAAGGGTGAACAACCCTTATCACTTAGGGGGATGAAAAATAGATGTTGTCCTATTCTCAGACCTACTGAATACACATATCAAATTTGGTGAAAATCGGTCGAGCCGTTTCGGAGGAGTTCAAGTTCGAACACCGTGACACGAGAATTTTATATATTAGATTTAAAATAAAATATGATTACTTTCACATGTTACATTTATAGAAATGCAAAATTGTACATAGTATATCTATGATCGTGGTCAATGTTTTTCAATTTCATGTAACAGTCAAACAGTTAACCAAACTGTGCTCTCCACAACCCAACGGAAACAATTTTTCTTTTCCTTGAACGTTTAATTTAATTAAATATTTTAAATGAAAAACTTTGTCTGTAATACAATCCAGCTCATACAAATCAGTTACGAAACAGATGGCGCTAGTGTAGCTGATTTGACTTTAACATGACGCCCACAATCTTTCACCCCCCTTCACTACGGATAGCCTCTGAAAAGTAGACAAAAATAGTACTATATCTCGCGTTCCTACCGATTTATTTATTTACTAACCCGATAAAAGTGCTATATTTATAAAAGTCTAATTATTGGTAACACACTCCCCAAAAGATCCTTATCATAATAATACTAGGACAGGTGGGGTCTATACGGTCATTTTTAATTGACAAGGTTAACAATAGTGAATTAAGGAATGCATCGTTAGTCACGCTGTAATGCAATAGAGTAACACCTACTAGGGTCGACCTTTGTGTCACTTATGGCCGGAATAATTGTTAAAAAGGAGGTCTGCATATTAAGTATCACTCTAAAGACTCGTAAATACGAATATAGAGAATACGAAGCAACTAAATCCACAAACTCTCCTAGAAGAATGTGTATTCAGTTAAAATAAAGAGATGCAGCGAGCGACGTGCGGCGAGTTTCTTGCGACTTCTTTTCGGTTCATTCGTTCGTTCTACGCCATTAATTTGGGCGTATTACTACTTACATGATTAAAGCTTAAAGCTTAGCTGAAAAGAGACTATTAACGGATATCTTTCTAGTACAGCTTTTCTATACGTATTTCGTTATGGATATTAAATGACACGAGCGCTGATATCGCATGGTCAATAATAAAACTATCAGAATTATACATTGAGTTCCTGCTACCTGCTCACTCAGAGTGGAAGTCAGTAACTAGCGCGTAGTAAACACCCCAGGTTTCGGACGCAAAAGTAAGCATTCGAAACGCATTAAAATATATTTTTAATAAGTTAACTATATATTTTGTGATTTTAACGTTTTCTATTTAAAGTAACTAGCCTAACTTAATTACTTGATTTTGTTTGGTAAGGTTATATGTAATGGATCGATTAAGATACTAAGATATTTATATGCTTTTATGATATAGTTTTAGATAATCCTGCACTAGTTCAAAAAACATCCATTGCTACTAAAACCGTAGCAGATCAAATTTATATGAAACTTAGAGTTGTCTTCGTCGCTAAATGGCACAACTCGTTTTATACGATTGATGTAAGCACGAATGGTCTTGACTTCAAATCGGGGTAATCAACTTGCCAGTAAATGAAATCGATCAGTGTGGCGGACACAAAACCCCTTGTCACCCCATCCCTCCCTGGAGTGACATTTTATCTATCATACTTAGTTTATAACGTTAGAATTGTTGAATTATTCATGCGAGATATAATTACCCTGTAAATAAACTTTTACGCTACAACGAACAATCATCGCAGGTAAATACAGACGACGTCGGCATCGTCTTGTTGTATCAATGTCACAATGGGTAATAGAGATCGCAATAATTATGAGCAATTAAGACTTTGTCTAGTGGTTAGTACCTACTCTCCAGATAACGAAGGCCTGGGTTCAAACGCGGGTCGAACGAAAAGTTAGTGTTTTCCTTTAATGATAGAGGAGGACAAGCCTGTTCACTTGATGGTAGGGTGAAATACCCTGATGATGATGATGATGTCTATAGCATCGAAACATGATGCGCTATCAACCTAATTTGGCTTTGGATATTCGGAAATCTACAAACTGAAACACGATTAAACTTTACGGCCTTTTCATCTGTGGACGGTGGTTGAACCCGGACGCAATTTCAATTCCTACCGCGATATTTAATATCCAGATTTCCAAATTGAACCTACGACCCGTTGATTATATTAATACATTGCTACCAGGAGACCACTGAGCCCGTCACATGTATGGAGATCTTTTATACAAATGTTAGTATTAGTATGGAAGGTGTTATCACCCCCTCTAGAGACCGCGTTAAGTCCACAATTTTGCCATTTTTTGCTATTTAGCGGCGGCTATCAAACTAGCCAACCTATACTTAAGCAAAGCTATGCCCAGCAGTAGGACTTTTATCCTAGGTTGAAAGAAAAAAACTTCGTGGAGCGATTAAAGGCTTAATCACTCACTTATGTTTTAAGTAACTATATGTCGTGCGCATTAGTAGGTACATACTTATAATACATACTTATGCTTTGGGGTTACATTAGGTCATAAAACATTGATAAAAAGAGATAAACAAATCAAAGAAGCATCGATTAACTTTAGCCTATAATATTTTTTTTAATCTGATTCTGCGCGGCACAGACTATGTTTATGACGAAAATTTTAAATTGTAATAGCTTCACAATTCACAACTGTGAATGACTTTTTCACCATTATGTTAAATAAAACTTTTAACGGTTTAAAACGCGAGATATATTGTTAATTAATTAGTTAATTTGTTCCTTAACAACGACCTGGCGATTTTCGAAATGTGCACTGTTAGCGTAAGCTACTGACAATGTCAAATAACATTGTAATTTATTCCTTAATCACCCCTAAGTTTTAAGCCCTTAAAACTTAGTACATCGCAGTACGCCCCTCACCTTGACTACAGATAACAGAAGCCGCATATGCACGGACTAGACAATCTTATCTGAACATTGCATATAGTCATTGTATACTATCGAATAATATTTATTAGTAATTACGCATAAGTGTCGGTAGTTTAATACAATGCAAGTTAGAATTAAGAGAAATTGAAAATAATTATCGAATGTGCTAAAGAAGACAACGGTTCCAGCTTTTTCAATAGTCAGAAAAGCTATTAAAACTGACCTTCACAGTTTAAAATTCGAAGAAATCTAGCTGAAGCCATGTAGATTATTTGCTTGATCGGTCTTTAAAAGTACCGATATCTTTACTAATAAAGTTGAAGAGTTTGTTTGTTTGTTTGAACGCGTTAATCCCGAACTACTGGTTCGAATTGAAGAAAATATTTTTGGTTAGGTTATAGAGATAGATTGTAAGGTGTAAGACGTGCGGTATGACTTATAGGACTGAAGAACCAGCGAGAGATGTGGAAAACTATTAATGTATGTGAAACGGTGTGAAAACGCCGACAACTGCGACACTATATATCTTTTAAGAATAACTTGCAAGAATGACGATTAAATTTATAAAGATGAAGAGGACGTTTGAAAAAACAAATTTTGATGCCCAAACATAACCTTTCTACGCGGACGAAGTCGCTGACACAACTAGTTCTCATTATATTTTTTTTGTATCTGAATTTTGAACGTCTCTCAACGAGTTAACATTTAACCAGTTAAAGACTGTCTATAGTTTACGCGAGTAGTACACATTTAAATAAAACACTTTAACGGCTTAAAACGCGATATCTCGTATCGCGAAACGTCGGGCCGAAGTTAAAAATCATTTTCGAATAAGTTTAACTAATATATCGCGTTTTAAACCGTTTTATTTAAATTTAACCAGTTGTTAATAATTCGATAACTACGTAATAACACTGTCAATTTAGTCAATGAACTGCAGAGGCAAACAGAAATCGCTCCGCGAGGGCGCTATTTAAGGTCTCTATATGACCATATGCTAATCGTCAATAAGATTAATATATTTAAAATATGAATTAAGGATTATGTAGGGTCTATATAAAATAGACTATGTAAGTATAAAATGTCTGATGTCTGTAAAGTACTCGTGTCATATTGATTCAGGTGTTGTAAACATAAAACATATTACAAAAACAGTAATCTTTAACTGCTTCTAGTTCAAATTATATCTCATTAATACGATTTAAATTTTGTCACTGAACGTAACGAGGAAACATAATAATTTTTTAATAACACTTTATATATTACCAATAAAGCCTTCATCGTAAGTGTGAATAATTTCATAGGCGAATTCTCATTATAAACTATAATTAACGGAGTACAGCTAGCCATTGTGTATGCAGCCATATAAAAATGATACTGACCTTACGAGAAAGCGAGGCATTGTGGAGCTCATCCAATGTTGGCCGTGGGGCAGCGTGGAGGGACAATACATTCCTATAGTTGTCCAAACGCGGTAGAGCTTCGCGTGTGAAATGCCTAGAAATTTGAAACAAGATGTTACATATTTTTAAATATTATATAAATTATAAAATTATTAGCAAAAAGTAGTCGGGTAAGAACTTAAAACTTAGAAAACGACGAAAAACTATAGTTAAATAATGTAACATACTACTAAACTAAAATATTAGTCGTAATTTTATTAAGATAGAAATAATAAACATATTTTATTTTATTTACTATTTTAACATTTGCAGCCCTCTGCAGCTGATCATATTGTGATAATAATAACACATGGCCTTCTATCTATATGGCCTAATCAATAGATATACTAATATGGAAAACGGGAATTGTTACAAACTTCAGGTTTTTGGAATTCCAAGAAATGCGTAAACATGTCGCCTGCAGCAGAAAATATGTGTAATGTCATGCATAATTTCTATCGCAGTCTAAGCGCGCATTAGATATATTTCGTCACACAACACGTGCAGGTGGCGATAACTTGTAGGTTTTCTGACACAATCTGCACTTCTATACTTTTATGACTTTGACCTTTTCTTGTCGAAGATAAGTATAAACACTATCATGTAACATTAAAGACCAACAAGCTAGTTCCGAGTCCAGACATGCCTACAGACTAAAAAACGTTTTTTTTTTATAATTTGACATTATTATACAGTAGCTGTGTTTCGCTTAGTCATTTATTACTTACCTAAAGCTCTTGCCGTATTTGGTGTCTGTCTGAGTTGTGAGGGGATCGTCGCTGTCCATTCCAGAGCCTTCCGATTCTGAACCTTCTTCTTGCTTAGCTTCCATCTAAAAAAATACAAAATACATATTATCGAGGCTGCATATTACTTGTTATATTAGTCATGGTTGTTCCTCAGTAAGTTTACACTTTTTTATCAAAGAAGACGATAGACAATCACGGTGTTCACATGATGGAAGGTGATATGCCCAAGCCATATATCTCATCATGATGCGCTGTTAACACATCGCTTTGACACGCTATTATACTTCACGGCTTTTTTTATTGAATTTCGATTTGTTATCTAGGTTTCTCGACATATTTACCCGGTGGGGTAAATATGTCGAGCCCACAACCCGTTGATTATTAGCCATACATTGCCCCATTAAACCAACGTCAGTTCATGTATAAAAGGTTAACTTGGAAAGTGACACAAAATCAAGCTAAAAGGAACCCTAATGACCGTGAATCCGTGAATCGTACCGAGAAAGGTCGTGTAGAATTAATTATACACATCAGACATTCGTACGCATGAGAATGGAGACCCCGTGATTATGTACGCATCACGCAATAATGTTCCTATTTACTTAAGACGAAAACAATGCACGAATTTAAAATATTTTCAGTCACGTATGGTACGCGGTCTACATTTGTCTATGAATAAATTATACAGTAACTAATCGTTTTACAGCCATGTAAAATTAAGTAAATTATTTGAGATAAAATTAGTAGGACTAAAGTTATACAGAATTGGTTCCATGTTTTAAAGTCAGTCTTACTTAGTACTTTTGGTATATCGACCTATAAGGGCCAAGTCTGGATAACAAATAAAAAGCTTGTTATAATGTGGATACAAAATAATCTATAAATGGTAGACATTCTCATTCTATCTCGCATACGTTTTGTCACGCAGCAAACAAAAAAGAATAAAGTTGGCTGCGAAGTCCATAGACTAAAGTTAAAATAAAGTTTTGAACAATGTTTATTAAAAAACATGAAATATAAAAGTCTTTTTTTTCTGACGCTACTACTACAGCATTCATGGGCGGCCCTTCAAAGAGTTTTCCTAACCCTTCGAGTTATATATCTGTTTCGATTTTCATCTAACTTTCGAATGTTCAAAGCCAAAATAGCTCAACCGCGCATCTTGTTAAGATGTTATACAACTGGAGCAGTTTACCTTTCATTAGGTTAAAGCCATTCCTGTCTGTCATTTCATAAAAAAATAAAGCTTCCCGGAAATCCTTATTGCGATCTATATCTAATAAACCATCGTGACGTACTGTGGCCCTTCTTGTTACAAACTTAGCAGATTGATCGGAAGTTATACACCAACCTTATTAATATTACCATCACGAAAACGTGACTGAATCGAGAATGCGATAAAAATGCGTCACATTGGTCACATTTTGTAACGAGTTATATACCTATGTATATAATAACATTTTAAGTCAATATAAAGCTTTTAAGTAGAATGTAAAATGTTATGCCAAGCATGCGATTCGCTTGATGGAAGATGGATTACCCCAGCCAGAAACATGTTTCCTGAGGAAGTCTAACAAGTTTCGGTAAAAATTAAAATTGATTCAAAACATGTCCTAATGATTAATAGTCAAAATCATTTATTCAAGTAGGTAACTAAATAGATATAAAACTCTATGGACGTCACAACAGTTAAAAACTTAAGCTACATTCTCTTGTGAATACTGCTGAGTATTCATTCGTTTAATATAAAACGTTCGTTCGTCATCAAATACAAAACCTACTTCTATATGAAATTTGACAGACAATACGTCTTCCACCAAGTATTCAGGGTCAGTGCAACTACAATTTTCATTAAAATCGATGGAACAGGGGAAGATGTCGTTAAGCATGATAATTTCTGTTCATTGAATGGTCGCGTCATTAATTCGTCGGTAAACTTCATACAAACTGTACCCAATGTACTACGTATTAAGTAAATTTATAAGAGCATTAACCAATAGAAGCGTTTTTATCAAACGGAAACAATTTTGTGGTCTGTAGTAACAACTCCTCCAAAATATAATCCTCGTTTTGGCTAAAGGAGTTTTGTGTTATAGGATCGATTTGGTAGGGTCAGGGGCAAGTTTAACTACGAGATACTTCAAATTTGGAAACTAAATTATAGTAAAGTACAGTTATTACATGGGAAACCGTCACAGTCATTAACACGTTTCGCTGCCAAGTGCGCTATTTAAGAAAACATGTAAACGTAAAACTTCTTTCACATTCATCAAAAATGAGAAAAAACATGATTTCGAGCTGATTTTTAAATAATTGTTATAAATGCCACGGAAAAAGAGCTAATTATATATTTAAAACAGTGAAACACGCCCAAAGACACTTGGTAAAAACTACTATGTTATTATTATTTAAGGATTATAGTTTCGAAATCAGCTGTCTCAACATTCCTCTATACTGTACATACGGACACATTTATGTGTCCGTTTCAATGATCAATTTTATTTAAAAGTAATTATCAGACTTCTATGCCTAGCTTTACCAAACTAACTCATTGTAGAGTATAAGCTGACTCTTAGATTCCCAAAGCGACCACAAAGAAAAATCTTGCGCATAAAAGTTACCAGATATATTTAGATGCTCTAAAATTAGATCCGCCCACTTACTCGGAGTATTCATATTGAGTTTAAGTGGCGAAAATGAATCGTCTCACATAGGGATAATAGCGCTATAAATTTGATCTTGACTATGACAGGAATAATTCTTTAGGTCATTATTTCATTTCTTTAAGTCAGTCTTTCAATAATCATTAATAGTCATGATGTTGCTGCATTATTTTCCTTCAATTTAACACAGAATTATTAATAACAGTTTATTGTGTATCACTTGGAACAATAATAATAGATTGCAAGGAGGTTCCATGTTTTCACTAACTTTATTATAAAATTTACCCTCTACGTGCTAATATAAACCATTGTCTTTTATAGTACACATTTAAATAAAACACTTTAACGGTTTAAGGCGCGATATATTTTAGTAAAACTTGTTTGATAATTATTTGCAGCAGCAGTGATCACGGGGAGACAGACCGTGTCTCCCCGTGATCACGGCTGCTGCAAAGCATCCGATACGTCGGGCCGAAGTTAAAAATCATTTTCAAATAAGTTTAACTAATATATCGCGTTTTAAACCGTTAAAGTGTTTTATTTAAACTTTACGGGCTATTTTACCTATGGACGGCGGTTCGTACGTAACTTCGATAAATCGACCAAAACAGTATCCAACTTTAAGTGCCCCTCCAACATTTCTATAATATTTAAAACATTTTAATGGGTGAAAAACGCGAAGTGTATAAAGTAGTTAACTTATTTACAATTTTATAAGACTTATTAATTTTATTAATTTATAAAGACTTAGATACTGTCTATAGTTTACGCGAGTAGTACACATTTAAATAAAACACTTTAACGGTTTAAAACGCGATATATTAGTTAAACTTATTTGAAAATGACCCTTGCGACTTTGATGAATATTTGAATGTTCCCCGTGACCACGGTGCTGCAAAGCATCCGATACGTCGGGCCGAAGTTAAAAATCATTTTCAAATAAGTTTAACTAATATATCGCGTTTTAAACCGTTAAAGTGTTTTATTTAAATGTATAAGACTTTCCCGACAATTTTGCATCGCTCTTTAGGTTTTTGAGCTATTCGACCATGTCATTGAACATTTTAAAATCTAATTCACCTACCCAGATCTTTGATGTCAGTAAATATGTAATGTTATGCAACTGACTCTGCGGCGTATGAGGAACGAGTTTAACAGCTTGGAAACCATGGAATGGAAATTTACAAAGGGATAACAACATTAAATCATTACATAATTGAACTTGCATAATCAATTAAACTTGATCAGTTGACATTAGTTAATACGCATTCTCTAATCACTTACTGTAGTACTCAAGTAGTATATTCTCGGAGACAGGATAAACCTAACTTATTATTATTAATACAACAGTGTGGATGAGCTAATGTTTGAAAAATCTAAAAATAAATATTATAAGTATGTACTAGAATGAATATACAGTGTTATTCCTACTTGGACTATTCCTTATATGACGAACTCGTTGGTCTAATGGTAGTAATGTATCAACGGGTCGCGTGTTCGATCCCCACCGTGTCCAACATAATTTTTCTGAAACATTTTGCACTTCTTCTGGTAATGTGGATATTGGGTGGTATGAGGGTGGTAGAAATATCGAAATTTCCGTCCGTGTAACAAACCACCGTACACAGATAAAATGCCGTGAAATTTAAACGCGTTTCGTTTTCAGTCTGTTGATTTTTAAATATCCAAAGCCAAAATAGATATACCGCATCTTGTGTAGATGTTATATGGTTGGCGTATTTTACCTCCCATCAAATGAAATCTATGCTTCACTGCACACTGTGTCTGTGTAGTCTTGTTCCAAAAAAGAAAAACTTTTTTTGAAACAAGACTAAGTGATTTTCTCTAAGAATCATGTCATGCAAGTTTGGTATGATCGTTGAAGGATTTAAATTAGATGCCCCTTCACCTGGACAAGGCGCTCGCGAGGCTATGGGAACCGAGCACTTATTCAATTTGATCCGAGTTAAGATTTATCGAGCTGCCTCCTATACTATACATGGCTTTTCCTTAAGACTTGACACACATTAGAATTAATACTTCGCTCTTTTTCTATGATAAAGGAGACAGACAAGCCCGTCGTTCACTTAGTGGAAGGTGAAACATCCCACTAATATAATATCTTAATACGACTAGCGATTGAACGAAACGCAATTAAACTGAAAGTTCCAGAATAAATATAAATTGATTAAGATACATGTCGAACCCAGTAAGTGTTGAACCCACAACCCGTTGATTATTCTTATTGCCATATGGCTACAAGAAATCTTATCTAAGAAATTCAAGTATTTTAAAATGTTTTGAATTTTCATGCAATATTACGTGTGTACTTTGGATATTGTAGTGAAGTCTTTAAAAATGGATTTTGTACTTAACTGGAATTATATGCTTACAAAATGAAATATAACTCTGGGCAATTTATGCCATTTGATATAGATATACCTGAACAAACCGTTTCGTTTAAGCAGAATAATAATTGTAACCAATTGCATATCTGAACTAAGAAATTAATATCAAATCAAATTTACCTACATTACAATTTCACACAGGAAATTTCGTACAGAACAGTAAAAGAATAGAGAAAACGGTTGTTTCTTTAACCTATCAGAGTTTTAGGCTAATAAACATGTGGTCACACACATGGCTTACCTATATCCTTATGAATTTATTCACCATTCATTAGGCAATCATTCATTATTTATACTTGTATGTTTAATAGAATGATATTTATCTAAGTGGAATACCTATTTGAATTTATTCACTAGTTACAAAGCACCATTTGAATTGTTAGATCAATGATAATTTAGAAACAATTACATAGTGCTTTTGTGAAGCTTACTCTATGATATCGGCTTATCTGCTGCGTCGGAATGAGATCATATTTACCTTTTTAAACATACAATAACAGAAAATACTGTCTATAGTTTACGCAAGTAGTACACATTAAAATAAAACACTTTAACGGTTTAAAAGTGTTTTATTTAAATAAAGTAACAGCTTTTATTTCTAGATAACAACTAAATAAGTAAAATTAAACTTAAAAAATTGGCAGTTTTGCTTAAACCCATGCAGAAAAGAAGAAGCAGATGGCAAATATCACATAAATTAATAAAAAACAAAACTCACTTGAAACCTGGTCGCTGATGGCTGGTCTCTAAAGCGGGAAGGTTTCTCTATATCACGAAAACTGCTTTTTGTAATCGGAGTTTTACGTGTTCGAATAGGATTGTTAGATTTATCACCTAAATTTTCATTTTCTTCTCTCACCTTGAATTGCAACCCATTTTCAATATCAATCTCTGGTTTCGGCAGATCTGTCGGGTATTGTATATTCCCGTTAGTTGCAGCCATTGACTTTGCTGAACTTATCTTCCGAAATCTGCCGATAATAACGTCTTCTTCGTCATTGTCCTGTGTGTTTTGCAAATCAAGTGCTTGTTTATTTGAATTGTTTTCCACCTTTACAGGACTTAATTCGATATCTTTTTGCTGTGAACCCATTGTGCAATAATGATATATGTGAAAACAGCGCCAACGAATTGCTGTTTAATTCAGCAAATTAGAAAAATAATTTTTCTAATGTCTTGTTGCATACGTTTATACATACGCTTTTAAGTTTCAGCACATTTAAACAACATGTATGTAGAGAAATAACCAGATTTTCAAAACTCGACTTGATACAACATTTTTCAATTGAATTTAATTTATTCAAGACTTAATTAAAAAATCGAATTTAAATATCGCGGAAAATTCATTTTAAAATGTCTAGGCACTCAACATCTCACGACACCTGTTCATGTCAAAAACAACCGACAAATAAGATGCAGATTGCAGCGTATACGTATAGTAAGTATCGTTTTAGCGTCACATGCAAATGCTGCGAGCAGAGTCTGAATTATAACTCAATGTTACAGACGTCAGTGTCAGTCACTGTGGTCTATATTTATTATCTGTCGGCTGGTGGAGTGTTACTTTTTTGAGAGATCATATCAAATATAAATGTAGGTGTCTTTTAGATATTTTTTATTTACTAAGTAAATTAATTATTTCAAGACCGATCGCATTATTGAAATAACAATGTTTGAAGTTTACCTAAGAGAGTCGGTACAGTTTCGTTCTATAACGAGTATTATAAGTAATATCTGTGGTACTAAAATTACAGCACTTGCGAACCCTCTAAGTCAGTAACACATCAACAAACAAAATTACCGAGAGCGGTGGGAGTTGGAAATTTAAAACTAAAGTAATTATGAATCTAAATACACTATTTATAACGTAATATTAATTTCTTTAATACTTAATCTGCAATCGCATCATAAAATATATGTACGTTAATGATACCCCGCAATATTTTTATTTGCGATGTAAACTTTTAACGAGGAAAAGTGTTTATTTATATTAAAATCTTCCCTAAGTATTAACTACTGAAGTATGGGCTTTTAAATTTTGTTTTAATTTCAGATTATATGCTTTTACAATGGCCTCAGCAGATACATTAAAGATATTGACTTCAGAACTTCAAGTTTTCGAAGAAAAACCTAAAGTTATTGAGGGACACAAAATTCACGACTGGTTCAAAATAGGAGAAAATATATTTGAACACTTATATGACCTTGGTACACAACTTCAATGGGACTTCTCAAAACTGAAAGACTCACCGGAAACGGCTAATGTTATTGCACTTGTTACAAAAAATTTCAAATGGATTGAATGTTTTTTAAGCCTCTATCCTAATTTAAGAATTGATTTGGATATGGTAGGTTCAGCCGGTGATGTGTGCAGAACCCGGTCAGGCCTTGAAACCTTACTGAAAGGATTTGTTAGCATTGATCCTCAATTTGATAAAATTCTGGACATTTTGGAAGATACTGCAGAAGTTGATGAATTTGATAGAGTTTTAAAGTTATGGATTGATTCCGGGCATAGGCCAGATTTTTCACCAACTGATTTACTTCCAACGACCCCTGAGTCTCACTGGTGGTGGTTTTAAATCATAATCAATAAATTGCTTTTGTACACATGTATCCCATATTAACCAAACTTAGATACTTACTTAAAACTATGTATATAAAGTTGTAATTGTTAAAGTGAATTAAATTTATATACACTTTATTGGCTTGCAATACTTGAAATAACTTGAGATAAATTTATGTAGTACTCTTCATTGGAAGAACTTCTGTACTTTATTATTTGATATTGATTTTATACAAGATATTTGGATTTTGTTATATACAACTTCTGTACATCTTGTTGAGTACTTTATATTTTGTATAACTTAAGTAAAATTTTGTTCTTACCAGATAGCATTTTCAACTTTACAAAGCCTATCTATATAGTATCATAATTCTGAACAGTTTGTTTTCTTGAACACGCTAATCTCAGGAACTGAATTAAAAAATATATATTTTTGAGTTTATCATTGTTTTTCGGGCTGCTCAGCTGAAGGATGGCCGTGACGAATTGAAATTTACCAATATTGAGGAAGGCTTTAGGCTAATATATCTCGCTGAGCTGAATTAATTAATCGAATAAGGAAAAAAATACAAATCTTATAGGGCTTCCGGTGCGTACGTTGCCGAAACAATTCCTAAATAAGTACGTATGGAAGAATAATTCTTAAAAAAACCAATAAGTCTATTTTTTTTTTTAATTCACTTGCAAGAACCGTTTTATGTTTTACGTTTTATCAACATATATTGCAAACAACATAACGTTTGCCGGAACGGCTAGTTTTTAATAATATTGTACTCCTAGCCCAAAATAAAGCATATTATGATTCAGAAAAATTCTAATAGCATCTGGCAACATATTACCATTCAACGTCAAATTGCTATTGCTTCACGTAATTTGAAAATATACAAAATGCTAGGTATAAGTAGAATCCCAACCCACTTTGCTCATTGCTGCTAAAGTTTGAGTTTATATTTAGTTCAGTTGTTAGGTCTCATAGCTGTAGTTAGAATCCCCAGTAGGGAATTCACCCTTATCTAGAACGCTTTTTATCTTACAAGTTTATGTTTTAACATACATTTAAAGTGCTATGGGTTTTGACGAAGGGCAAATAACTTTAAGCAGCGACAATGGTGTATATTTCTGTGGCCAACCGATACATGGTAAACTGGTTTTCAACCAGGATAAAGTTAAATCATTCAGAGGTTTGTAACAAATATTTATTGACATCCTAGGGAAACTTAAGTTTATCAAATTAAGTAAATACTTTAAATGTTGCAAGTTTTTATTTATCCAACATGCGTTTCCACTTGCTTTATCTCAACAAGTCTCTCAGATGCAACTGTTATTCATCAGAACAATACTACCACTAAGTATTTATAGCAGTAGGCTGTCTGGTAAGAATCCTCTAAAAGTTTTTTTAAATTAAATAGGGATATACGCAAAGCTAAAGGGTTACTGTAAAGTCCATTGGACTACCCAGGAGACACGCACTCATCAAGGCAAACATGAAACTCACACTGTGCATCATGATTCCTATGAAGAGTACATTAATCACAAGATGTATATTATTGGAAGTGAAAGTGGTATGTATTTAGTTTTTATGTCGGTTCAACATGGAAAATATTTTTTTTGCATTTGTTATTCTATAACTAAACTGCCTAGTTAGTTGTTAGTAGCTAGTAAATCCACTACAGATCACACAGGCTTGAATCCTAGACAAAATGTTAGTAATGTATTTAGTGAACACCCCTGTGTCTCAAGTACTTGGTAACTTATCTATTCTTGTAAATATCATATATTTAATGGTGTTAGATGTTGAAACCCACTGACCTTTATTGAAATAGATATAAGTTAATTCGGAAACAATACAATTCCCAATAATAAACTAATAAGATGAGAACTTTACCTACTCATACTTACACAGCTTATATCAGTTCTTATTATTTCTAAAATAGTAAAACTCAAAATGTGGCATGGACATGCCATTAATTGATTTATTCCTGAAGACCACATGTTATTTGAATGAAAATAATGTTTTTGGCAAACAACGAGGGCAGATTTGCAACTTGGCGACTGAAAGTGTAAATTCATATTATAAATTTGAAAATACTTATCTAGTTGGTATATTATATAATCCACACCAGGACATTATTTATTCATTTCCTTCCTTATTTAAACATAAGTATGCTACATAATATAGTTTCATATTCTTATCCTTATAGGTGCTCGTTCATTATTTCTAAGAAAATTGTTGTAGAAACAAGACGGACTGCAGACGTTTTCTATTTAGACCAATTGATTATGAAATTTCTGTAATATTTTTTTTCAGTTGGCCACTTGTTTCTTGAAATGAGCACTGCTTGATTCTATTTTTGCTAATGCTAGCAATGTATGGCTAATGATCAACGGGTCGTGGGTTCGATCCCCACCAGGTCCACATGTTTCAAATTTTTCAATTTATAATTTTTCGGAAACATGTTGGACTTCGTTTGGAAATCTGGATATTAAATGGGTGGTAGAAATATCGAAAACTTTAGTCCGTGTCACAAACCACCGTTCACAGATGATAAAACCGTGAAGCTTAATCGAGTTTCGGTTCCAGTCTATGGATTTCCGAAAACCGAAAATAGGTCGACATCGCATCTTGTTTAGATTCTATATGCTGGGAGTATATTACCTACTATCAAGAGAACCATGCTTGTCTGTCCTTGTCTATCATTAAAAAAATAAATATCCTTTGAATACTAGTCTATAGTTTACGCGAGTAGTACACATTTAAATAAAACACTTTAACGGTTTAAACCGCGATATATTAGTTAAACTTAGAAAATTATCGAATGCCCTTTGCAGCAGCATCTCCCCGTGACCACGATTGCTAATAAGTTTAATATAATATATCGCGTTTTAAACCGTTAAAGTGTTTTATTTAAATATCCTTTGCTCAAAATTAGAACATTGAAAGCGTTGCATGGATAGCTTTTTTATTTTTAATTTGCATTAGAGCTTTTTGGCGCCAGCGTGGCTTACGTCATTCCAATCCCGCCGAATAATTGCCGCCTGTGACCTCGCAAACGTGAAGGTCAAGGTTGAAGTTATAAAGTTAAAATGTCTGTCTCGTATTTAAATTCGTTAGTACTCAAATGATCCCATCTGTAAAGTAAAACAAAATCTAAGGTAGAACGGAGTCGAATCCAAGACTGTGTGCTGAGCAATCTTTACCACATAAGCTAATGTCGAAAACACTTATACAATTCATGGTATTATATGAAAAGGTAAAAATTGTATCAACAGTGATGCATTTCTTATCAAACCAGGCACATCGTTAACACTTATCAATGATAATTTGAAATAGCACGTTTGAGTGTCACCCTATCTCATTTCGTATTAATTTACTATAATTGACTCATGGACATGGAGGGAGCACACAAATATATACCTATTTTAAGGAGACATTGTAAAAAATCCCTAGCGGCTAAATGCTATTTAAGTTTATCTAACATATCATTTGGTATATCTTCGCAAGCATTTTTACAAACGGTTAACCTGTTTGCTTTATACCAATAAAGGCAATAGAATACTAGTTGTGTTTTTAATATTGAAATTTAACAATAAAATGTGGTAACACTTGAAACAAACAACTGAAAACGGTTTGAAATTTTGTGAACATTCGGCCAGTTTGCGTGATTTTCATATTGTTGTATTAAAATATATATGTATATAAAATTTTCAGGCGAAGTTGAATTAAAACCAGGTCACTATGAATTCCCGTTTCAATTCATTTTACCGCCGAACTGCCCTTCGTCCTTCGAAGGCACCGTAGGACACGTTCGTTACGAGATAAAGGTAGTGGTGGACCGGGCCTTCAAGATAGATCAGGAAAAGAAGGTCGCAGTACGCGTTATTTCATTACTTGACTTGAATCAAGATCCTTATTGTAGGGTAAGGCAAGGCTTTCTTATCACCTATTGTAATTTGTTTTCGAGCTGTTCGACCGTCGTGACTGACAATAACATCCAGGAGTTAGCGAAGATCTAAATTTTTAGTCCCCATTTATGGAATATCCTGTAGATTCTCAATCGCCACCATCGAAACGCTCGAAAACCCAAGCATCATTGCAAATGGCAAATGGCACAAGTTATAACTCACAATACTTTTTAGGAACCAATGCAATTTGAGTTTGACGATACATACTGCTGCTGTTGTTTTAGTCGAGGGGCAACGGATACTGTAGTAAAACTACCGGTCTCGGGTTACTGCCCTGGGCAGGTGATACCGATAGAAGTAGCCTGCGAAAATACAGGCACGGTTGAGATTGATGATATCAAGCTGATTATAAAAAAAGGTCAGTTCCACCTTCCCATATCGTTCGAGGGTATAGGAGACGGCGTTAGCTGATTAGCATATAAAGCTTTTTTTCGTTTCAGGTGGTTAAATACCATGCGGTGACAAACCGTGCTACGAAAGAAACAAAAGATGTCGTAGCTGAAATCAAGAAGGGTCCTGTGCCTGGAAACACGACTCGAAACTGGAATGTTGAGATGATAGTACCTACTGTAGACACATATAATCTGAATTCATGTCAATTTATAGATATCACGTATAAGTTCAAGGTTAGCAGATTATTGTTTAATAAAAAAAAGCTAATGATTTATAATCTATAGATATAGATTATTGGGCTCCCACAGATTGCTCCTATATATTTTTTAAAAATTGCAAATATGTTAGTACCATATTTAATAGCGCATGTGTTGGTTTCAGCCATCTTTCGCGTACGATTCATTCATTCATTCATAATATGGTTCATATACTTGAAAATATGATTTTCTATTGAACAATTTTAGGTTGTGGTATCTCCAAGTGGTTGTCACACTGATACTGAGGATTCTAAACGTTTAGTAATCGGGAACGTTCCAATAGTGGGTTTCCAGGATAACATACAAAACCCACTACAGGACCAAATGCCGAAAGTGATAGCGCCTACAGTAAATCAAGTGTACCCTAGTAACACTCCCTATCCTTGTGGTAATCCTGGAACAAATGCATATCCACAACCAAACAACACTTCCTATCCTGGAGTGAGTTATCCATCACAAACCGGCGGTAACCCCCCATATCTAATGCCGCAAAATCCTCAATTTCCAACGTCCCAAAATGCTGTACCACAATATCCTACAGTAACACCATATCCACAAAATCCGCACCAACCATATCCTCAATGCACTCCGTATCCCCAGAATACACCATATTCAAATGATTCACAACCACCTCCATATCAAGAATCTGGGTCATTTGGTTTTACAATGCCATCACCGGGGCCGATGCGAGGCAGTTCTCCGAATCCTCTACCGGTGAGTGCTTCTTCTAAAAAACATTTGCTAAAACCGTATCAAACATTATCATTTCTATACACACACACTAACAGTTGTTCTTCAAAATCAAGTTTATTAACTTTCCTTCTTTTATACCATCTGGTCTAACACCAAGAACAATAATTTTTGTATGGGCATTTTCTAGTATCCCGCTCCACCCAACCCATATGCTACAGCCAGTGCTCCCCCCGATACCCAGGACAAGGAAAAATTATAAAGGATTCTTGGTGGATTAATGACTTCAGTACGCTTTATTCTAGAAAATGTTGCAAATAATGCCCTATGTGGAATATAATCAGGCATTTCAGAGCATTTGTGTTAAGATAGGTTTATAAGCAAAATTTAATAAGAACTCTTTTCTTAATTGATTTAAATAACGTGTCTTATGAAACGTACAATTTATACGTAGACTTATTTACCACATAAAAAAAGTTTTGGAATTTTTTTTAATTTTATATTTTTTTGTAGTTATATGTTTATACAATAACATAGATTTTAATGCAAAAATATATATACTTTTTTATGTGAAACTTTAAGAGAAATCTCTCAAAATTATTTACATTTTATCAAGTTGATCTTAGTTAAAAACTTTTTTTTTAAATATAATCTACGATATTTTTTATTTAAAGCATAAACGATGCGTTATTCGAACTTTATTACTTATAGATTTCTGACATTAATAAAAGCTAATTATAAAATCTGTAAACACGGTGATGCCCTGTGTACTTAAGAATTGTCTAGTATAGCTGTAGATCTTGTGTTTAAGGATGGCGCATTGGTTACCTACATATTCAGAAAGCCATGTTATAAAAATATTTAATAATCTTATTTAAGTTTATTGCACAACACAAGAAGTTATTTAAGAATTAACTTAATCCACTTGAAAAACATCAAGCTTTGCCATACTGAAACACAAGATCTGTAATTAAAAAAAAGAAGTTCCGCAATGTTTTATATAAAATATATTAATTGTTACACTTGACAAAGCTTTGACTGTTAGTATTTTAGAATTATATAAGGATATATTATTATTATTATACATTATGTTACGAGCCACTAACGAGTTTTAAGCTCAAAATGGGATTTCACCTACCCGCATTGAGTGCACAAAGTGCCATTACTACCGACCATCTACGTACGACGTAGCTATTGTGATAACTATTACTAAGAAAACTATTTGATAACAGTCGTTTATTAATATTTTTGTCATTCTTTACAAATGTTTCCTAGTCAAAATTTATTCAAGGCCTTATAAATGGAAATCAATTCTATACTTTAAAAACTCAATATTACTTTTTATAAAATGTGTATTAAAAGCTGCATAAATAATTATCTGTGATTTTTAATCCCCGAGCGTATATTTTCAATTATTTTTATTTACGAATTAATAACGTAATCTTGACAGTAAGTTTTATCCCAATTGTCTATACTGCTACATAGAGTTAATTTTAAATCGTCTTAAAAAAATCTTCTATACACCTATTTTCGAGGAAACAACTTGGGAGTTTGGATAATAAAAAAAACTGTTATAATAAAAATGTATTTATCAAATATTAAAAATATCTCCTAATAACTATATAGAGAATAAAATATCTGCAATATATCACAACATCAAACAAGAACACATCAGAATTTTTCACATAAATGTTTAAAAAGTTGGGTACCTATACAATAAAAAATGGCACATTGAGAAGCCATGTGACATTAAGGCACCTTTAATGATTATTAATTACAATAATATAAATTCATATCAAAGTCATAATTTACTTAGAAACAATATCATATATTTATTTGTAATGATGACTTATCCTAAATTGGTGTTATAACATTTTTTTTAGTCTGAGACATTTTATAGGAGATTCTCAGTTTGTTAAATTATTGAAATGGAAAGAGAATTTATTGTAAAGGCGGAGCACTAGGCATTGGGAAATTTGTTGGAAGTGGCATTGTGTTAGCCATGACTGGGTAGGGCGGAACAATGTTAATATCAGGTACATTAAAACCTATTTGATAGCTTTGAGAATTTCTATCAATACTTTGGGTAGACGATGCTAGGGGTATGTGAGTATTTTGCATTGTGAATTTAGGCACATCCGCAATGTTGTTAGGATCAGGCAGAGATGACTGTGGTAGTAGATAGGATAGAGGGTGTATATAGGACTCATTTACTGTTTCCCTTAGGGGTACTAAACCAATGCACAACTCACTCTCATCTTGAAGATCATCAGCACATCCAGACATTTTTATTTTAACCTGAGAAGAAATTATATGACATTAAATAAAAAGTATAAATAATGTTTGCCCTTATTAAACATTTGTTAAAGCTACAAGGTTATGTAGTACAATGTTTGTATATTTAATGCATTAGAATCTGTCATTTGGTGCTAAAATTGAAAACCTTTAAAAAAAAGGGACGCAAAAAAAGGGGGGGAGGTCCTGCCCGAACGAAAATTTTTAATTTAGCTTTTTTATAACTTATAGTAAAATATCTGCTTACCTTTAAAAAATAAGCCAAATCAATGATTTGGCAATTCTCAAGATTGTATGCTATAATATCTGGTACCCTCATCTGACAAGTAAAAGATCTTTTTGTATTCGCCAAAATTGGTCCTTGAACCAGTGTCTCTAGTATTGCTTCTGGTGGTACATATGTTGATATTGGCTGCTGAGAATGGTATCTTTCTCTCTAAAATAAGTAATTTCATATATCTTACTGATGTATAAGATAAGATTCAAGTAGCTTACCCTACATTTTGTTTAAAGTGCTCATTTTCATCTTATTTTAATGTTATGCTTAGATAAATCAGTATTGTACATACCCTAGTAAACTGAAAAATAATTTTCCTGACTTCCACACTGCTATCATTCTTGGAATCAATTTTGATCTGCATCATTTGTCCAGGGCAGTAACCAGACAGGGGCAAAACGATTTTGACTCTAATCATTTTGTCTTGACAAAAGCAGTTACATGTTGATACCTCTTCAAATTCTAAGACAGTAGGTTTCTAAAATCATATCAATCATTAAAACATTGTACAAAAACAAATGTAATAAAATCAGTCTTGTTCAACAACCAAACCTTAGCTTCTTGTAAATTGTTTAAATCTAATGGAGCTATAACTTCAAAGTCTGTACTTAATTCATCTTTCCTCAAATCCAGATGTTCTAAAATGGCTATAACTCTATAAGACACGGCTCCTTTACTGCCTTTAAATGAAGATGGAGTATTAAACGGTATTTGATACGAAAAGTTGATGGAGTGCGATCCAAGTGGCAGAGTGGTAGGACCTGAGAATATATTTAGTTGACTTTATAATATGTATTAACACTAATAACTATTCGCCCAGAAGCTGAATTAAAATTGCAAACAAACCTGATCCACCGCAAAGTAATTGTTCAGTGCTAAAGTAAATATCTCTTCCAAAATAGTCAATCTCGCGAACCCTTTCTGCTCCTGAATATTTCTCGACTTGCCGTTCTGACCATTTAACAATAGCTTGGCTAATGTAGACTACTTTGATGGCTAAGGAAAATAGAAGTTGTAATATTCCATAAGATCAATTAAATCCAAAAAACGGTGTTTCGTGATACCTGCGAAAGTCAAGGGCTCTGCTAATTCAAAATTAATGATTCCTGAAAGTGTTTGACCGGAGTAATAAATAGACCTCGCTTCATTTAATCTTATAATGCCCGATTTGAAACCCTTATATTCCATTTTATCATTTGTTTGAGTAATCCTTGATCAAAGAAACAGCCGCTGGACATGCCCTGTTTTTTGTTTCTTAGGAAGTTAGGAGTTTGACAATAACATTGAAGCTTATTTTTGCAGCAATACTGTCAAACATATTGTCAAAGTCAAACGTTATTTCCACATTTTAGAAAACAATCACAAAATCTTTTTAAAAATTCGGGGGGCTTTGTTTAATAAAGGGATCTTTTACATGTGAGAAGTAGCTTTTACATCATGGGTAAGCTTGACGTAGCTATTCTGCGTTACCTGACCGGAGAGGATTTTCGGGTCTTGACTGCAGTAAGTACACATGCAATGATGAAAATAGGTTATATTTTTTGAGTAAATCTCATTATTATAATCGTTTTAAGGTGGAAATGGGAATGAAGAATCACGAATTAGTACCTGGTTCGTTGGTAGCGTCAATCGCTAATTTGCGCCATGGAGGTGTCCATAAATTGATGAAGGATTTATGTAAACATAGACTACTGACATATGAACGTGGAAAACATTGTAAGTCTGTAAGAAACATAAATTATAATGAAAATAATTTAGCAACATTTTATGCTAATACTCACTTTACAGATGATGGATACCGTCTCACTAATTCTGGTTATGATTACTTGGCACTTAAAGCTCTCACAAACAGAAAAGTGATTTCATCCTTTGGAAATCAAATAGGAGTGGGTAAAGAGTCCAACATTTATATAGTAGCTGATGAAGATAAAACTCCACTTTGTCTTAAGTTGCACAGGTAAACAGATTTAGTAATAGAATGGTATGGTTTGTTTATTGTTACTACCTAAGTAAATTGACACAACAGACAGTTAGTATGCTAAATATTTATAATTTTTGATCTTTCTTTCAGACTTGGTCGAACGTGTTTCCGTAATATTAAAGGAAAACGTGATTATCACGCCCATCGCAACCGTGCTTCATGGCTTTATCTATCTAGAATTTCTGCAACGAAAGAATTTGCTTATATGAAAGCTTTGTATGATAGAGAGTTTCCAGTCCCCAAGCCAATAGATTTTAACAGGCATTGTGTTGTTATGGAGTTGGTTACTGGCGGGCCCTTGTAAGTATATTTTTAAATTATAAAACTAAGATTAATAATGAAGTGTATGACACAGGTGGGACTTAAACATACAACCATGGCATTCTATGCTATTGTGTCCTATCAACTCTGCTACAATGTCCAGCTCAACCTTATTTATTTTTTTAATCCTATATGTGCATCTCTCTAGCAATGTAATTTCAAACTTAATACTTACATATTGAGGTTCAGTATTGTCCTGTTAATTATCCACCTTTTCCATTAGAAGTTTTTTCTAAGATTCCAACATTATTTACAACACATTTCATATTTCATTGTATTATATTTGAATCAAACAATGTCTATTTGTCTCTCTCTTTTTAAAACAGATATTAAACCTTTTTGTTATGCATTTGTAAATTGGACGCATCCCAATTGTAAGTGTGCTTTTAGAACACATGTGACTTCAGTATCTGATGTAGAATGGCTATATGATGAGCTGATGGGATTAATAGTGCGGCTTGGAAATTGTGGAGTTATACACGGTGATTTTAATGAGTTCAACATTATGATCAGTGAAGATGGCCAACCTATAATTATTGACTTTCCGCAAATGGTTTCTATAAGACATCCAAATGCTCAATTGTAAGTATGCACTTTTATTTACTTAAATCAATATATTTCACATTCTAAGTACAATCCATGTATATTCAAAATAAATTGTGTTTCAGGTACTTTGATCGTGACGTTCGCTGCATTCGGGAATTCTTTAAAAAACGATTTGGCTATGAAAGTGAAGAATACCCTAAGTTCTCAGACTTAGAGAGAGATGATGAACTTGACGCTGAAATAGCGTGTTCAGGTTACAAAAGGAATGAAACGCTTGAAAATGAATTGCTTGAGGTCAGATTAAATTTTGATTGCTTACTGTGTAGAAGTCGTCTAAAGTTGACTAAAGATTGATTGAACACGCATTAATTTACATTGTTTTTTTCATTAGGAAATGGGAATTGGCCTAGAAGTAAGTGATGCAGAAGATAATGAGGAATGTGAAGAAATTGATGACAAAGCAAGTTCTCGATTAGGAGAAGAAGAGATTGCATTGCTTCGTCAAGAGGTAATTATTATACATATATTTTATTACTATTTAGTTTTTTTTTTCTGAAATTATTTTTTTTATTTACTAAAAGTCACAAGAAAGGAGTAAATATTTCTGAATACTTTAATAACCTGAGTTGTTCTTGATTATATGATGTTGATACAGGTTGAGGCATCTATTAGACACGACGAGACAATACACACAGTCACAGCCAAAACAAACGAGTTAACATTAGATGAAGAAATACCTACACTCGTTGTGCCACCAGTTAAAACAGAAACTTCTATCGATAGGATAAATCATGAATGTGACATAGAAGCTAACAATGACAGCTCAAACACAGAAGATAAAAATTCACAGAAGTACAGATTAGCTATGATCGAAAAAGCACTGTCAGATGTTAGGTCCATGAGATCTTACACGTCTGCTAGTACAATAGCGCCAGAAGTGATCAAGAATCAAGTAAAAAAGAATTTGGAGCTGAGGCAAAAGAGACAGGAAAGAAAGAAGGCGATCGCTAAGGGAGAAGCGAGTGCGGTTACTAGACAAAGGAGAGATAATAAGGAGACAATAAGAGAGAGTCACGGTTTGTGGGGATGGGCTGAATAAATTTCACTTTTAAGATTTTCCTTGTTTTTTTTTATCACTTGATATGCAGCGTGCAGACATCTCCTAGACAGGACCCTTTTACTAAGATAAACTAGTCAACAACATTTATTCACGTAGGTATGATCGTCACATAAGTTAAAAACTAAAGACTAAATTTAAATTTACTAGCAGTTCTCAAATCAAGGGCCTAGAACGAACGAGAAGAGCTGGCAAGAAACTCGCCGCCACTCCTTTTACCCTTAAGGTTAGTCAGACAGTGTCTAAAGACTCACAATACGCACAAATTATTTATTTCAGTTGCGCCGATAACGACGCCTAAACATGTTTTTAAACCATACAAGAAATACGATTGTTTCTACGGGTATTCGCTATTATTATGAGCGTGCCTGTACGTTCGATTCAGAATTCTACATATAACAAAAATATCTCATTTTCAAAAATACTATGTTGAATTATAATATAATAAATAATTAAAATAAAGGTTACTTTGTGTAGGGTTTGGGTGGGTAGGTCATATATGTATTTACGTAAGTAACTAAGTATATCTATTTGTAAATATTGTTAGGTCAAACTGGGGTGAACCCTAAAAGACACTATCAGCATTATATGTTAATTGTTCGATCGACTTTTAATTAATGATTCGATAAGATATAATTATTTTCTACATCAAGTTACATTTCAAGTTTGTTTACCTACTTGATACTTAATTTACATTTTAAAACGAATGCCCACAGTAAATTACCGTCCCCTTAAAACAGACGTAAAGTTATGTTGAAGATTACGTTAAAGATAAAAATGTCCATCTAAACGGCCTGATGTTTCGGATGCTTTGCGCGAGCCGTGGTCACGGCGGGACATGGAGCATGGAATTCACTTGATAGAAGTCCAAACCGCAGGCGTCGTGAACCATACCGAGAAATTACACTTGATTGCATTTCTAAGTTACCTATAAGTAGTAAGGGACACTGAAAAAGTCATAAAAACGACTGAACCCTTTGGGGATCGACACGCCTAACCCGTTGGTTGTTACCTATACAGATTTACGAATTGTGTCAAATAGAAAATACTTCCCATTATATGATAGAATATTGAAAACTTTGGATTAACAAAGGCCATTACATTGAAATACCCTTACTTTCATCTATGCAGCTGCCCTGCGGTCACTTTATCCTACATAACAGAAAAAATCGACAGATGTGCGTCAGGATTGTACTTTTTGTGTGGATCACGATACAATTAAAGAGCATAGAACGATATCGGCAAGTACTTACCTACAATTACTAAGACTCCTAAACGAAAGTAGGCATGTTCTATATGGATTATAAATTACATATAATCATTTATGTAAGTATACCTAATATAATCTAGGTTAATAAATTAATCATGTTTATAAGATATCGTTATCTATAGATACGTCAATCTATTCATAAACAATATATCTATCCATAAGTATGTACATATTAAGTACATATAACTAAAATTTAATGACTAATTGTTATCAGCAAGTTTTAATACAAATTAAACAAGCTCAATTGCTAAGAGCAGCAGCACACAGAGCTGTGGATGTCGGTTCAAGCCCTGCGCCCGTCGTTTTTTTTTATATATCGTTAAACGAGCAACTAAGTGGCTCAGTTTTTTTGCACTAGAGTTCCTGGGTTTTGATCAGGGAGGGCACAGAGAGAACAGAAGATTAGTGAAACAGGCATAGAAATGTGTCTATTTTATAAATTACGTACGGAAAACAGAATTTCTCATATTTAAGTAGCCGTAACCATGAACATAAACAGTTTATAGGTATTTTCTACTACTTGGGCTACCTAAATGATTTACGTTTTGATCTTTAAAATAAGTACATAATACAACGTTATTTTTATGAAATTATAATAAAAAAACATCGAATTATAACACGAACGTTTAAAATGTTGATGAATACTATTTGCATTGTCTATTTTAAAATTCGTGATAAGTCGAAACCCAAATGTCGAGAGGCGCGGCTAACAGATTTGTACGTCAGTCGTGACGCAAAGTCGCGCCTTCATAAAAACAAACTATGTACTTCAACCACAAACTTTTCAATGTATATAATTGTGGTATGTTCTGAAATCATACAGAAATACGTTTAACAAAAACTGACTGAGAATAACATTAAACATTATGTAACCTTTAAGAAATATTTGGAATCCTTTTTTTTTCGGAGTAAACTTACTGTGAACAACATTAAATACATATTGATACTGCATATCCTATTTTGTTTTTTTATATACCTATTTAGCGTGTTCTTAAGTATATAATAAACAAGGACGAAACCAACACATTTTATTGTTAAAAGTAATAAATAAATTAAATATAAATCAATGAGTAAACTTGACTATTAAACTTCAATATACTTTATTCACGTAGCCCTAATTATTTTGCTTACTGATACGGATTATAATTTTATCTATAATAATAATTCCACTGAGCTACAGTAGTGCTTTGACAGCTGTGTGTTGCGCACGCGTACAAAATGGCACAAGATAACCTTACCGCAGTTCTTCACAAGCCTTTGGATTTGCGTCTCGTAAGTCGTTCTGGAGTTTTTTCTACAAATATAAATCAAATTTCTGCAGTAAGATATAACTGACTCTAACAATATATAAATGATAAACAAGTGCTATTTATACATAATTTATGTTTTTTTTGTTTACTTTTTTGTAAGTCAAACTAGAGTTTAACTTACAAAGAAGGATTACATAAGTATTAAATTAAAACGATATAAGAGTAACATAGATCGTCGTTTGTACGTTAATTTAATATGTATATATTCTCGTAAGCCGTATATAGAATCGTGACAGTTTTCCTTAATGTTTAGGATTTTATATGTACCTAAGTTAAAGTAATGTATTTTTTATTTTTCTAGGAACAAACTGAAATTCCTCAAATCAATGATGATGGTAAGGTCACATAAACATTTTTGATAAATAATATTCGTTGAGAAAATTCGATTGAACGTATACATATAATTGGCGACGTAATAATTTATTTACTTTCTTTGTTATTTGAAATGGAAATCAGGGGTAACTAAGGTCAAGTCATCGATCATTTTATTTGTACCGCTGTTTTCTAATTTTCCTATTTTAATTTGATGCTTGAACTATTTCACGCATAAAAACAATTTTTTATGAATTTAAACATCTAATATTTTGAGTATTATTGTCGACGTACTTGTGTTAATAAGTACCTATACATATATCAACATACCTTAAATAATTTTTTTTGAACTTGAATGATTTTATTTAGAACCCGGATCTATTATCATATACGGACAATTAACATGCTCATTGCTCAAAATGTCACATAAAAATATGTGCCGTGAATTTCAGAGGTGCTCTTGCGCATGGACTGTGTGGGTATTTGTGGTTCAGATGTGCACTACTGGCAGCATGGCTCGTGCGGACACTTCGTCCTCAAGAAGCCCATGATAATGGGTCATGAGGCATCTGGTGTTGTCGCAAAGGTAAATAAAAGATAAGAAATTTTATGTAGTCCTATTATAGGACATCGTTCTTTATCTCTATAAAGTATACAATATTTTAATTTATTTGTACATTATACTTATTTTTAGTTGCGAATCAACATTTACCTAATAAAACACTTGCCGCGACTTGGTCGTCGTTCTTAAGTTTATCTTAATTGATAGACATGTGCATAAAGAGGAATAACTCTTTTTTACATGTATTTGGGTATCTTGAACTGTTTTCGCAGCGCACACAACAGAAGCTCTCGAAGATAAAAAGGAAATTCAATGTTTATTCCACATTTTCCTATGTTCTCCTCTCTTATTAGTTGTAGCCCGATGTTTTAAAGTCTACCTCGATAAATACAAATCGAAGTCATAAATTGATTCGAATCAGTAGTTCCTGAGATTAGCGCGTTTAAACAAACAAACTCTTCAGCTTATAATATTCGTATAGATATTTTATAACATATGACAAATATCGTTGCCAACTTTCTTTAAATACCTTTGCTTTTCCAAAGTTATTATTATTTACGGAAACCCGAGTAAAAAACTAATTAAATGTCGTATGCATGACATACAAAATTGCTATCAAAGATATCTTTGGCATTTTGAATTCTTAAATATATTAAGGAACCGGTTTTGTCACACCTACAAAACCGGTGCTAAGAGGTGTGTCTGTGTTTGAAATACATAATGAGAATTTATTCACTCTGTATATTATTACTTATCGTTATTCAAAACTAGTAAAAACAAGATACTCATTTCTAGACATTGTAAAACAATATGAACTAAATCGATAGTAGACACGTGAAATTTCTTAACCGCCTGCGCAGTTAAATATTTAGAAGCATTGCACATAAATAACGAGATTTCCTGGGTGCGAAAATAAAAAAATTGTTTCGGTCGCGCAGGACACAAATGTCTGTTGCCTCGAAATAAAATAGATTTGTGAAACGGACTCAGAATTGCGTTCGCACCATGTTCCACTAAGGGAAAGTGAATTTCACCTACATTTTCTTGGCATCGCAAAACAACATGAACAATCGATTTCCAATTCCCGTAACTCTGGTTCTAAAACAATTTCCGTAATTCTGGTTTTGTTTTATTACTTTATCTAAAATTAGAGGAGTAACCGCCATTGATAGTATAGTAATAGTTAGGTTTTAAATTAATAAAATTTTACTATTAAGGGCCAAAGAAAAAACAAATAACCTTAAATACTTAGCTTATTATAGATGTGACTGGCATTCACAAAATCAAATTACATAACTAACACTATCGTAATAAATAATTTATACACTAAACCGTCATTACAACTTGCAAAGCCACATAAAATAATAAAGATATTTAACTCCACCATTAAGATTAGATAACTAGTAAGAAGCCCTAATTGTTTATATTAAATGAATGTTATTGTTAGTGTTTTGTCTTTGTAGTATATTCATATATATATATATACACCATGTGATATATTTATTCAAATGAATTCATTATATGTATCGATAAAAAAATTATTAATCAGGTCGACTTATTCAATAGAAACGTACAAACAAACCTCACAGGTGAAGTTGCGGATAAAGACTAGTATATAATATAAATATGGGCGATAATATAAAAATTATAAGACGTGCTTAAACCCATAGTTACATTTTATTACAGCTAATTTAAAGTAATTTTAACGTCGTTTTATTATGTTATATTGTGTTATTTTTTTAACAAACAGTTTAATACCACTGATAATGCGGGATAATTGCTTTTACCTGTCTTATTACTTATTTTGTTATATTTGTCGTAGTTTACCTGATTTGCACACATTTAAATACAACACTTTAACGTTTTAAAACGCGAAATATATTCGTTAAAAGTTAAATAACTAATGTATTTTGGCGTTCTGAGCAGTTAACGTATTTCATTTAATTATATTACTAGTGTAAGTCACCTTTAGGTATTTTTTTTATGATTGTTTATTGATGACTACATAATATTAGTACGAATTATACACTAATAATGAGAAATATGTAAAAAATATTAAATGGTTAACTTCTTTACAGTTTACTGAAATGTTTCATACCAACTATGACAATTGCATAGTAGGATCGTTAGTCTTAAAATAGAATGGCCTTGCACACGATTGATGTATAACTCAGTTGCAAATGCAGTTCTATGTTGCAGTTTGTCACGAACGACATTTAACTAAGTTTTTGAGTATCGTTTTATTCATAATCATGTTATACTTTTTGCACACCATGTCGGGCTCATTGGTCTAATGGTAGCAGTGGCTAATAATCAACAGATCGTGGGATCGTGGGTTCATCATTCTAATTTTTTTTTACATTTTGGACCTCGTTTCGTTTTCAGTCTGTCGATTTTCGATATAAAAAAAAAATTGAACTTCATTATATAGTTCAGCATTGAACCTAGAAAAACCTGAAGAAGTAACCTAGACCAGCCAAACAGCGATCTCTTCCAGGAAACTAAATGCGAAGGGAAAACAAAAAAGTACTATAGATGCTAGAAAAGAACGTGAAAAGACATTAGAAAGAAACGAAACAGGAGAATAGAGAAAAAAGAATTAAGATCTGGAAAGATACAGTTTGAAAATTAAGGTTTTAAACGTACCGAGAGATTAAGGTTTTCTGATATCGATGGAGAGATAGTTCCAGAGATAATCGCTTTAATGGTGAAGAATTTATTGCAGATTGAAGTCTTATGCGCGGGAATAAATAATAAAAGATTATGGATAGAGCGAGAATTCAAGTTATGAGAGCTTTCTTTTAAATAAGGAAATTGATTTGGGATCCAAGAGAATACGATAAAGTAGAACAAAGACATGAAGATTTCTATGGGAGCGGAATTTATTTCAACCACAAGAATCGATAGAGGTTGCATACGTTTTTCCATGCTATAAAATCTGCAACACAAAATTTTAATTAAATTTAACTATATGATAAATTGTATTTGTAGATATATATATTTTGTTTTATTTTTGGTAAATTGTTGTTTCTTAATAAACGTATTGCTTTATTATCCGTTTCCACAGATTGGAAGCAAAGTGAGGAACTTACAAGTAGGTGACCGGGTGGCTATTGAACCGGGAGTACCCTGCCGTTACTGTGAGTTCTGCAAATCGGGTCGGTACCATCTGTGCCCAGATATACTGTTCTGTGCGACACCGCCCGTTCACGGTAACCTCGCTAGATACTACAAACACGCAGCGGACTTTTGTTATAAGTAAGCTAAATATGGTTTAAGTAAAATCTAGTAAAGTAGTAATGTTACGAGGAGTTCTGACGTTAAGTATTATGATGAAGTTAGCCATACGTCACTTGGGACCGAAGCCAAATGTACAAGAATGTACTTGTTACTTCAGCTTGTTTAAAGCCGAGGTATCTGGTTAGAATCCGGATGGGGCGAAATTTTTAACATTTGGATTGCCTCGAAGAATTATTCTAGTGTTAGTAGCTTGAAGATTTTGGAGGTTAAAACACTCCCGCGTCATCATCACTTATTTAGTGGCAGCGGTCGTTAAATCGCGCCAATCCACACTGAGGTAGCGTGGTGGGTCTTAGCTCCTAATCTGGGATTCTGGGATGCTTACTAAAAAACTTTTGTATTACACAAAATACCAAATCCCAGCCGTGGCACGTTCATAGTTTCAACTTAACGCAATGCTACGTCTTATTTCTAAAGACACCCCAATAGTAGAATATATAATGCGATGTCATTACATATAGTTCTTCTAATTCCAGATTACCAGACCATGTAACAATGGAAGAAGGGGCATTATTAGAACCGTTGTCAGTCGGTATACATGCGTGCAAACGGGGTGGTGTTGGGGCGGGCGACGTTGTCCTTGTATTGGGAGCTGGTCCTATTGGGCTTGTCACTATGCTGGCTGCGAAAGCTATGGGTGCCAGCAAGATACTCATAACAGGTATACCGATATTAAAAAAAAAACATATACACACAGATCAAGAATAAGATGGACTAGAGTAGCTAAAAAACGCAGAGACGAAAAAAAAATCTGAACGGTCCGTTTTTCAGTATAGAGACTGGAGATTTTTGTAATAGGGTCCTTTTTGGTCCAGCACCTAACAGCAACCACCAACAACTTAAAGTTTAAATTACCTGAGAGAATAGTAATTAGTGTCTTTAGTTAACGCGAGTAGTACACATTTAAAACGCTATATATATTATTTTAACTACGGCCAGACGTTTTGAGGCCTTGCAGCAGCCGTGGTCACGGGAAGACTAAAGATAAATGATGTTAAAGTAAAAACTGCTAGACTAACGCCATCTGTTCTGTCGTATTTAGCGAAGCCAGCTGGCCAGTTTAGCAATAATATATATTTTTAAAGCGTTAAAGTGTTTTATTTAAATATTGGAACTTTATTGTTATAGATATCCTGGAGTCACGTTTAGAAACAGCCAAGAAGTTGGGCGCACATCACACCATTCACGTGACAAAGGACGCCAACGAAGCAGATCTTGTGAAGCTGGTTCACGAAAAGTTGGGAGGTCATCCAGATGTTTCAATTGACGCTAGTGGCGTGCAGAGTACAGTGCGACTTGCTTTATTGGTTAGTAATAATTAATAACTTATTTCACCTCAAAAAATATCCGCTCTTCACATTTGACGAGCACCTGGGTCCAATGGAAGCAATTGTAATTGTGACTTATACGTTTCTCAATTTGTTGTTCTATAAAAAAAATAATAAGCGCGAGTCACAAACAACTGTCCACAAATAGAGAAGGCTTGAAGTGTTCTCCGCGTTCCGGTTTCTATCTGAATATTGCTGAATATTCAAAGCTAAAAATGCGTCGACAGCACATCTAACTTAGACATCTCAAATCGATTAAACTTCGACTATTGAGTTGGGATATTTTACTTTAAATTACTTTAATTTACTTTGGCATTTTTTAAAGAATCGATATATGATATAATCTTTAACTCTCTCAATAGGCAACGAAGTCTGGTGGCGTAGCTGTGTTGGTTGGTATGGGCAACCCAGAACTGACGCTCCCTCTAGCCGGTGCTATGGCGCGCGAAGTTGATATAAGAGGAATCTTCAGATATGTAAACATGTTAGTATGGATAAACGAAATGAATTTAGTATCTAAAATAATCTATTTAGATTGAATGAACGACGGGATCTAAACCTGCATCAGCACAGCGTTTCATGCTATTCTAATCAATTGAGCTATCGTGAGTTACATGCACCTGACGCGCAATGTAAATTCAACTTTAACACTAAGGTATTAAGGATCATTGCAGTTTATATAACCATAAATCATTGAAGATTAATTCATAGGTATTATAGTATGATTTTTTATTGATATAATGCCCACATGTGAAAAGTATTAAAATGTTGAATGGAAAAACTAATATTTAATACAAACAGTCACCCGTTTCATCGGCTGAGAGAGCTTTTAGCTGACTAATTTTTGTCTGTGTTTCACTGGTCGACTTCAATTACAATGTAATATTTTCCCGAGATTCGATTTCTTCCGCGCTCACAATACATACAGAAAAAACGACTGTAGTTAATAAAATGATACTCATTAAAATTAATGTTGCCAGATACCCTATCGCTTTGTCGATGATTGCCAGCGGACAAATAGACGTAAAACCGCTAGTAACGCACCACTTCGACATAGAAGACACTCTAGAAGCTTATGAAGTAGCGAAGAAAGGTACGGGCATCAAGGTTATGATACACGTCCAGCCAAAAGACGCCAACAACTCACGCAAGTTCTAACAACACCAAGAAAAATAGCTTTTAAACCTCTTGTATACAAGTAATAGAATGTTGTATATTATATGTCAAAGCCCTATACTGGTATATTTGTAAAAATATATATTTATAATTCACATTTTACATAATATTATGACATAGTCATACTATAAATATAGATTTAAGGGTATTTCAATATATTGGCAATTTTGTTAATTCTGAAGCTCTAAAACAAACTACTTCTAGTCAATAAAACGAATTACATATTTCATTTTGTTATTATATATAGCATAAATATATGCAAATCATGTTACGAGTTTTATGCACAAACACAAAATAAATTGCCATTTTTAATTAGATGTTTTATTTTTTAATCCTCTACATTGTTATATATATTGTTGTTGGTCCATTGTCTTTTTGGTAAGTGGTAAACATAGATAGTTTTTTAGGTTTGAAAGTGGCCAGTGTTATATCAGGTAATGAACGACCGAGAAGGATGTATGAACAAATGAACGACACGAACGAACGAAATTGCTCTCTGCATACAAAACGAAGCAAGATTAACATGTTAAATTCTTTTGACTTTGATAGCGATATTTACTTAAAGATTATTTCATTAATACTTGCTTGTTTGTTTGACACGACCTCGAACTTTTGACCAATGATATTATATTATCTAGAATATTTATATTTTAATAAGAAAATCAACAATATATGTACTAATAGCAAGCAATGGATATTTTTTTTGTATCACTAGGTCACCTCCCATTTCTATTATATTCAACAAATAGAATTAAAAAAAGAATCAGGTCAAATTTGAGTCGGGCTCGTGGCATAATAAGGGTTCAGTACCATCGACTAGTTACACAAATTAATATTATTTGCCATTTTTTGTCAAAAATTTTGTATGTAGTTGTATTAGTTTAAATGTAAAATACAACTAAGAACTTTTTGACCCCTTGTAAGAGAAACATTAAGATAAACTTGTATTTTAATTTCAGTGTAGTTGTTAGCGGCAATAGAAATAATATTAAATCTCAACTCTAGATTTTCCATTTTTGTAATGTAAAATATTTTCATGTTACCCTATACTTTTAATCCTAAAAAAAGAAAATGAATACAATTTTCAGTATATTACATGCCATTATATTATAAAAGTAATTAAAATTTATCAGGCCTACACACTAACCTACTTGCCTACTTACTCGTTGACTCGTGTAAGCAAACATACACTTTGTTTTGTTTGCTTCTATACATCTACCCCTTAGAACAGAGCATCGAAATACCAGCAAACTAATGAAAAAATAAACTTAATTATCATCTTTACTTATCTCTTGATTTATATAAATATATACGCGCAAATTATCGTTTAGTTATATAAATATATTGAAGCAGAATGGCGGAAAATTGTGCTGTAGTTCTTCACGGACCGAATGACCTGAGAATTGTAAGGTTTATGAGAACTTTTTTATTTATTTAAAGTCAAGAATGTTTTATCATCATACTTAGTATTGTGTTACTTTACAGGAAAAGCTGCCAATTCCAACAATAAATAATAATGGTAAGTATAAAGGCGCAAAGCGGCAAACTCATTTCAGCCCCTAACCGAACGATGGTATGAGAAACAATTATTTTTTATTTTTAGAGGTCTTAATAAAAGTGTCCTGTGTCGGAATCTGTGGATCGGATCTCAAAATCTATTCGACGGGTCGATGTGGGCAAGAATCCGTTACAGAGCCTTTAATTATAGGACATGAAGGATCAGGAACCGTAATAGAAGTAAGTAACAACCTATTTATAAAAGAAGTGAAATACTATTTCTTTCTGTGGGCAGAGGACGAACACACACACTTATGTGCGTTTTACCTATCGATGTTTGTCGGTTATTTGAATTTAAATAAAGATAAATAGTTTCAGACACCATAAAACTGTGTATCCTTTCTTTACAAAATTTTTGTTTAAAAACTTTTAATTGTTTAAAACTGCAAAATATATCAGTTAACATCTTTAAGTTCGATCGAAAGCTGCAAAGCATAAGTAAACTGTTTAAAATGTATTCAACAAAGTGTACTTACGTGATGTTACGTGTTACTTACGCGATCTACCAAATAATCACTATATTCAGAAAGTGAACAATTACTGATTTTACTTTATTTCTCTTAATCTTAAGGGAGCCTATAACAAATCCCATGTCACAGGTAGGTTCTGCTGTAAAGAACTTCAGGGTTGGTGATCGTGTGGCAATTGAGCCCACCCAGCCATGTAGATCCTGCGAGTTTTGTCGCGGAGGCAGGTACAATCTATGCGAGAATCCACACTACTGTGCTACTACAGGCGTTTCAGGAAACTTGTGTACCTACTATAAACACGTTGAAGATTTTTGTCACAAGTGAGTTATGTGTGACAAAAATGCTTGAGGTTTTCGTGTAGGTATATAATATCTATATAGGAGGCGTTACCTACTTATTATTGTTCTAGAATTCATAGACTGAAAGCGACGTTTTTTACGGCTTTTCCACTGTAGGCAAAGAGCTGTGTCCCGAACGGAATGTCGATATTCTTACCCTTTTTCTTCGACCGCAAAACAAATACATTTTTGAAACATGGACCTGTCAGCAATTGGGCGAGGTCGTCAAAACAAAATTGTTACTTCGAAAAGATGTTTAAATATTTGTTTATATTTTGATACTGATTATTATTAGCTAAGCGGTTGTCCATTAATCACGTGATCTTTGTTTAGAATTTTTTACCCCCCCCATTGGTGATATGTAGTTAGGTTAACCCCCCCCCTTCAAACACATTTTAGTACCTAAAAGAATAAAATTTTCTAAATAATTAATTAAATTAGGTATAAACTATAATTTATTTTATTCTGATATTAAGACAGAATAAAAAAAATCTACCCCTTTGTTTAAAAATGTTTACGAAAAATAAAACACGGACCCCCCTTGTTATTATATATATTTGTGTTTTTATCCCCCCCTCTTGGACATTTTAACAGAATACCTAATAACGTATCGATGGAGGAGGGTGCAGCGGTACAACCTTTAGCGATTGCGATACACGCTTGTAATCGCGCGGGAATCAAACTCGGGATGAATCTTGTAATATTAGGCGCCGGACCCATTGGGGTTCTATGTGCTATGACTGCTAAGGCGATGGGCGCTGCTAATATATTGATAACTGGTGAGTAGGAAAAAAGGGGGAGCTTAAACCGGCATCGTCGGCGTTCCGTGCTGTTGCTCTCACCAAGACCTACCGAACCTACAAACTGGTAGTAATTTAACGACTAACAAATTTAACGGTTATAAAACGCGTTAATTTGTTTTTAAATATCCTCTACGACGGACTTCTCGTATTCTAAACTGTATAATTGTTTTTTTTTTTCAGATATAGTGGAATCTAGACTAAAAACAGCTGTGAAATTAGGAGTTGACTATACTCTTTTAATAAAAAAAGAATACACAGACCAGCAGGTGGCTGATAAAATTTTGGAGCTGTTAGGAACAGCACCCAATATCACTATAGACGCGTGTGGCTTTGCGTCAGCGCAGAGAGTTTCTATGATGGTACGATATTTAAATAATTTATGATGAAGGAGGGTAGATAAACTTGATGTGCTGGCGATCTATTTTAGCTATGGATGTTCGAAAATCTATGATACCGAATCGAATCGAATGTATGATATCGAATATCTAATGATACTTCTTTAGAGAGTCATTAGTTTTTTATAATGTTTTATCCTTATTGTCGATTTTGTCTTTAATGCCATTATTAGTATTGTTTTTATAGAATTTTCATTTTTTAAAGTATATATAAATTAGTTTTTAGAAAAGAAAGTAGGTAAATAAATACTTTTAATTTCGGTTGTGTTTAACACCGTCAATGTGTACTACTTAGCGTAAAAGCATCAAAACGCTGGAATTATTGTTTTTTTTTATAGATAACGCGAACTGGTGGAACAATATTGGTGGTGGGTATTGGTGCAGAAACAGTTGAAATACCGCTTTCTAGAGCTTTGCTACGAGAAGTGAATATTATTGGGGCGTACCGGCTTTTGAACTCGTAAGAAGTTTACCATATCTTTATAAGTTAAAGTTTCTTTTTCTTTGGGGTTCCGTAGCCAAAAGTATAAGACGGAACCTGCATATCAACAAGCGCGATATCTGAAAAGTTTTTTAATAGGCAAAATTGATTTTTAATTTGAAATATATTTAAAATACTTCGTTTTTTTACCTATCACACTTATTTAAATAAAACATTTTAACGGATTAAAACGTGATACATTTCGCAGTCCGACGTTTCGGACACTAAGCTAATTTTATTTACAGCTTTATAAAATTAACATAATTATTTTATTTAAGGTACCCAGCGGCTTTATCCGCAGTGTCAAGTGGGGCTATAGACTTGAAGTCATTTATTACGCACCATTTCACCATGAAGGACACCAAAAGCGCTTTTGAATTGGCTAAAACTGGAGAAGCCATGAAAATCATCATTCATGTGTCAGATTGAAATAGCCAATATATTAAAATACACGATTTTTATAAACTGTATTGAGTTTTATTTGTTACTCTGTCAATGTTAAAATGAGGAGTAGTCGTAGATGACATCATCAGATTGTTTTATGATTGATGAGGGCAGACAAGCATACAGTTCACCTGATGGTAGGTGAATTATTCCAGTCATATGACAACAAACAGAGATGCACTATCGACCTATTTTGGCTTCCATTATTAGAAAATCACAGACTGAAACCGAAACGCGGTTAAAGGTTTTTTTATCTGTGAACGATTGTTCGTGACCCGGACGGAATTTCGATATCCATTTATTATCCAAATTTCCAGACAAAGTATGTTTCAGAAAAATTATAATTAAGAAAATGCTGTATCCGGCACCTTGGGGATCGTACCCAGGATGCGTTGATTATTAGCCATACATCACTACCAACAGCTTCTAAACCGAAGTATACGGTTTCAAGACAAACAATTATTCCTTAGTCAGTTGTTTTCTTGTTCTTGTTTGTGTAGGAAAGTAAGTAAGTAAAAAGGAAGTTTCAAAATGATATTTATCAGAATCACATTTATTTTGCATTGAACACTTTCAACAATACTCAATATTATTAATTACAAGGTTTATTAAATTATTATTTCCATTACGAATAACATTATATTTACAGACATCATCACAGAGCAGATTATTGTACTCCAAAGATTGAAAGTAAATATGTCACTAAAGAAATTAAACAAAAGCTCAGATTTCTATCACAGAAATAAAAAAAAAACAAATGCTAAATAAATTAATAAAAACACGAAAACAAATGAACATTTCTTCTTCAGGCATTGTAGGATCTGATCGAAAACCCAACGTCAATACGAAGGAAACAATTAAATATAACAGAGAACAAAGACATTTAAAAGCGTACGCACCGGATTTAAAATTTAAACTTGGAAGAGGTAAAGACGCCAGGTCTTGTGTTTGGAACTGCTGAGGTGGTTTTCGGCACGGGCATACTTCCTAATTTACTGCCAGATGACGTTCCTGAAAATTATATTATGTATATTTATCGTTATCGCTTCAAGAAAATCGTTTTCACTGTGACAAACAATAAAGAAAACTGTTTGATATTTCGCTGCAAAAAGCATTTCTCTCTCTTTAAATATAAAGAACATAGTGGGATATAGAGTTTTAGGCTATTGAAAAGCCCCAACAATCATAAATTTAGTTAATATGTTAAATTGATTTGTATTGGAAGAAGGGTAGAATGAAAATTAAATACGGCCATACCAGGTTTAGCTGGAGATCTTTTAGCAGTTGTAGCGCCACGCCCACGACGGGCGGCCAGCGCACCACGATAGGCCTTCTTTTTAGCTGATGATGGAGTCTTCTTTCGCTTGTACCTGGTTAAAGGTTTTATTAGTTCGTAAGTAAGATAAAATAATTATATATAATAAAACTAGTGGGAGCTCAATCGTGAATAGTTCTTTAGTTTAATACTTTCCAGAAGACGTCTTAAAATATATGGTATCAGTACTTTTTGCACAACGTGTGTTATGTATACGAAAAAAGATCTTAGCTGTCTAAACACAAAATTTACAAATACGATAAAAAATTTTGGCATTTTGATAAACTTACACATATTTTTTTCTTGAATAGTTAATATAAAAAGCCTTACTTCTTCCTAACTCCCCCTCTATAAGTCTTTCTGCCTCTCTGGCTAGTGGACGTCGTCGCTGCAGACGCGAGACTCCCCCAGTCCGTCTCAGACCCCGAATCGTCTTGAAATTCTTTGTCTTCCTGTTTCTTTTCTTGTTCCAACTCATCCTGATATTGCATCAGAAGACCTGGAATTGTAACTTGTTTGCCTTATTGACTGCTTTACGATTATAAAATATGTCAGGAATATTCAAAGCTTTTTTTACTATAGAATTTTACTATAAATAACTACCCTACTTCCTTTTTAAATAGAATAATTATTTAAGACGCAAAACTTTGTCTCAATATATTTATCATTTTCATTTTCTGTAGCGGTGTTTCCTACATACATTGAAAACTGGGTGAACAGTCAACGTAGTCAGTATTAAAAGAAATAAGTGGTCTCTAATGTCAAAGTCAAATTTGTTATTTGAAGAAACTGGCATCATATAAGACCACTAGAAGATAATTATATCGATTTTGTGAACAAAAATCTTCAAGAATTTTCACGTCTACCTACACCTCTATCATACAGTGGTTAGGTACCCATTTTTTCAACAGCATAAGCGGAAGTAATTTTCAACAGATCCTGGCCATATTTGTCGAAATTGGCTCTTGTGACATGAGGTAACGTCAGCATATCTGTCGCACTTTCCGGTAAGCGAGTGGACATCGCTTTCAACGCAGCTTGCGGTAGTACTGCAGAGAGGGATGCTCCTCGGGCAGCTGCCATTTCCCTGAAAATAAGTTTACACATAAGATTTTGTAGTCAGATAAAAATCAGCAAAGCACTTTAAAAAAAGAAGAAGATTTTTTTAAATAATAGTATAGTATAGATAGGTATAGTTTTAATTAAAATGAGGTAAAAACTTTGTAATTATCTCTCTTAAGTTTTGCTGGCTGACTGCCCTGCCTTTAGTTTCGTTGTAGAGTCGCTTTAGAGTCGTACAAACGTGTTCACAGGGCTCCCTCGAAAGCACCCTGGCGGGCTGGTGGTGTGTTTAATGGTACTGGTCGGCTATTGTCTCCGAGGAGATTGTAGTACGATTTACCACACTCCCCACGTCACTATTGCCCGACGTGGGCGGGCATTCGGCATTCACACCAGCAGTAAAAATAATGTTTTGATTTGTGCAATACAATAAGTAATATATTTTTGAATGGGATTGTATAAATCGAATTTTTTTTCAATACCTGCAAGCCTCGACAAGATCAGCATAGCATCGTTCCTCAATCCGTTTGATAAGTGCCGTGATGGGGGTTTCGTTGTTGTCCGTGGGAGCCACTGTGGTCACCAGTGTTCCCTTCTTCTCCACCTTCATAGGGAACACCACACGAAGGTTTCCAGACATCAATCTGCAATTTAATAGGGTTACCCTAATTAATTAAACTGCACCTAAATTACACCCGGTTTTTACAGTTCAATAAGTAAAAATTATAGAGTCTATGAAGTCTGCAATAAACAATAAATAAAATGTTGTCTATGGATCTATTAATATTATCTTTTTTTAAGACAAGGGAGATAAGCATACGATTTACTTGATGGGGGGAGACAATATCCCAACCACGTAACATCTAAACATGGGCCGTTAACCTATTTTTACTTTCGGTCAACAGACTGAAACTAAAACGTAGATTAATTGCTCTACGGCTTTTCCACCAGTGGACGGCCTATGATCCGGACAGATATATTACTCACCTCCACACCCAGATTTCCTAAACTTGATTTTCCAAATTGAATTTAATCATGTCAGACACGGTAGGAATCGAATCCACAACCCATTAAATCATATCTCTAGTTTCTAAATTACCTGATTGTCTTGAATGAAATTCGTTATTTTAATTTATAACAATTTACTTTTGTATATTGGGTCCAAGTGTAATGTATGCACTAGCGATGTCGTTGTTAACAACGAGATGTTCAGCTAGCAGACCTCTGACCACCATTTGTCGTAGAAGCCGCTGCGGGTCACCACGTGGCCAGCTTTTACACCTGGAGAATAACAACTTTTATTACTCTAACCGCACCCGTAAGCTAGTTGATGATGAGTGAAAATGAGAGAAATTCGTAGCAAGAACAATTGGTTCGGGTGGAAGAATGATTTTCACCAACTGTATCTATGCAACATCTAATATATCGCGTTTTAAACCGTTAAAGTGTTTTATTTAAATGTGTACTACTCGCGTAAACTATAGGCAGTATTTAAGTACATAAATATCACACGTCTATACCCTGGCCTTACCGAAACAATTTATCACTGTCCTGCAATCCAAACGCAGGATCTATCGTCAATGGTAGGCATTTTTATGATAGAGAACTGGCAATCGTGGGATTCAATTGATGGTAGGTGAAATACCTCAACCATATAACATCTAAAGAAGATGCTTCCGACCAATTTTAGCTTTAGATATTCGGAAAATTGCGATGCATATAAACATTCAGCTAGGGAGGCTAAAGTATCTATGCATTTTTTTCTTCTCGTTTAATATATTGATGTTCATTACCGTGAATGTATGGGACTCTCCCTGAGACCAGATAGCCGCTGTTGCATGGAACCGCGCAAGGCATCTGCTATGTGTAAGAGAGTGAAACTGGAGCGGCCCGCGTCGCGAATCGCTCGCGCCACTAACTTGCACTCCTCCGTCACGTCCACTGGCTGTAAGGACATTAACATTGTTATTTCGGCAGAAAGGTACTATAGTTGCAAGAAGGCAATATATAAAAGACAAATAATTATTTAAATAAGACAAAAAGCAAATAAATAAAACAGAGTATTGCCTGTTATTGACGTGAGTAATATACATTTAAATAAAACAAAGGTTTAAAACGCTAAATATTTAACTTATTAATACGACGTGACCACGTCTGCTGTAAAGGTTTCGAAACAAAAAAACGTAGTTAAAAAAGTTAACTAATATATTTCGGGTTTGATACCGTTAAAAGTGTTATAAATTAAAGTAATAATTACTGTTGTTATGGGTACATTGTAAATATAACAAGTATATATTTTCTAATGGTTTGATTAGGCACTGAATGCATGAGCCTATCTTAGAAGAATCCTAAAACTAAATTAGAGAGAAAGAGACGCAAGAAGAAGAAAAGGAAAGCCGGAAAAATAGAGAAATAAAAATAAATCGCTGTTGAAATAGATAATATTCCCTAAAAGTAAAAATATAGCTTGAGGATTATTCTAATGTACTGTAATCAAATCGTACACGCGAATACTAACCTTATATTCATGCTCATTGAGACAATTATCGCACGCGGTCTTCTTATCCAACTTGCACAACTCCCTGGAGAACCTCTCCCCTAGATATGTGAGTACTTGTGCGCGTCTACATTCAGACACGCTCTCGCAGACTTCTACCATTCGGAGTAGATTCTCTATGTGAACACGCTTCGCTTCTGGTGTTGTGTTACGTTCCACTAGAAGATGCAAAATAATGTTACGACTGAGAAAAAGACGTGAAGGACTTAGTGAAAGGAAATAGGCATATGACATCAACAGTAGATGCGCTACGGCCTATTTTCGCTTTGGAAAAGATTAAATATATAGCATGTATTTATCAATGAGACACGAACTTACGGAGACACGACAATCTAAAATTTCACTATTTTTCTATAAAGTACGCACATTTATTAATTTTCACATGATCCTTAAACAACACACTTTTTTGCAGCAGTAATACCCCCCGTGACCATGGCTGTTGCAAAGCATCCCAAACGTCGGGCTTTAGGTAAAAATAATGTAAATAAATTAACTAATACTTTTCGCGTTTTAAACAATTACAAATGTTTTATTTAATATAATCGCGTAATATACAGTCACAATACTTAATAACGTGCGTGTGGAAGATAATAATGTTTCAATGTACTTACTATCGAGAAGCCGTCTATATCTGACTACATCCCCGTAGGAGTAATACAGCAAACACGTCGCCACTTCACCATCACGACCTGCGCGTCCAGCCTCCTGGTAATATCCTTCGACGGACTTGGGCATGCTGTGATGGATCACGTACCGAACATCCGCTTTATCTATGCCCATTCCGAAGGCTATTGTTGCGCAAATCTGCAAAATATTTATGAGCATAAAACAGTGCCTTATACTACAATAAGTACTGAACAATTTTCCACATGACCACGCCTGCAGCATCCGCGCGGTAGCTTAATTTAGTTAAAAAGGGATTTTTAATTTAGAAAGAATAAAAACCAATGTGACCCACCACTTTAAATTTGTCAGCGACCCATCCCGCTTGCACCGCTTCGCGTTTCTTGTCAGTGAGACCTGCGTGGTAGGCGGCTGCCTGAATGCCCACTTTGCGCAGGTCCGTGCTCAGGGTCTCACATTCCTTTCGAGAGAGACAATACACTATTCCCGAAGCCCTGAAAATATAAGGTAAATTATATAATTACAGTAAAAATACAAGATTAATTTAATATAAAATAATATGAATATTTAAGTAAAGTATAAAACTAAACCTTAGATAATTTCTACTAAAACTACGCAACAAGTAGTTAAGTAACATGATGTAAGATTGGAAAAGTATCTCAGTTTAATGTAAGTTCAATTTTCTATAAAGCTCTCAACAACATTTATCAAAATCGGCTTAGTATTTTAATCACATAGTGAACATACATGTGTAGATTGAGAAATTGGCTTTTCTATCGTCGCGTACAAGCTTATATTACGGTGATTGTAGTATAAGCTAAGAACTCATTTAATAATACTCTACAAGGCATCCTACCTGAAAAACTTCTCCTTTATAATTTTGGCTATTTCTTGATTGATGCTCTTAGGTTTCTTTTCCAATATCCTATAAGCGAGGTTCGGCCGGTTAAAACTGCATAGGAACCACTTACAATTCGTTACCTGTGTGGAAAATAGAATGATTTAGATTATACAAGTTAGTGTGTGTATTGTTGAAATTGCGCAAGAGACAAGTACAAAAGGAATTAATAAAAAAAGACAGAAAATTCGCATCACTAGATAGGAGATAAAAGATCACACACGAAGCCCAAGTTCTAGAGCAACCGTAAAACGCTGTTTGTGAGTTTGATATTCATCGGGTTTACCATATTTGTCTCCATTTATAGTGTTTCTAACAGTGTTAAAACTCGTCAGGAACCATGTTACACAGACGAAAAATCCTGTAAGTGTAAAACCGCGTTTCGGTTTTAGTTTGTAGCAATATCTAAACCTAAAATAAGTTCTGAATTAGAATTTATAGGGCTGAGCTATATATATTTTTTTTAATGATAGAGGACGGACAAGCATGGAGTCACTTGATACACAAAATGCGCTGTGTAAGTATTTTGGCTATGGATGTTCGGAAATCCACAGAACGAAAGCAAAACGTAATTAAACTTCTGCGCTTTTTCAACTGTGGACGGTGGTTCGTGGTCTGGATGGAATTCCGGTATTCCTAACACCAATGTGTTTCAGAAAAATTATAAATTGTTGAGAAAAATGTTGGACCCAGTGGGGATCGAAGCCGAAAAGACAATATTCTCAGAACAGAATAAATTAAATAACAACACAAAACTCGTATCCAAACTACCTTCAGCTGGTGCAATATATCCATGCGCACGCGCGGGGTAGCCGTGGCAGTAAGAGCCATGATGGTGGTGTTCGGGAAGCGCTCGCGGAGCATGTACAAGCGCTTGTAGTCAGGACGAAAGTCGTGGCCCCATTGCGACACGCAATGAGCTTCATCTATAACGAACCTAAAAAAACTCTAAGTTATAGTGTCTTATTGAAAAGTATTAATCTTTGTCATATTTTATGTCCTGACCTGGAAAACGTGATATGAAGTATCTTGGCAAAATAATATTCCAATAAAAACGGTTCATGTGAGTTAATCTTAAAAGATAGACATATCACTTAATAGAGGGGGAAATATTCCCGCCAAATACCATGTAAAGAAGATGTGCTGTAAGTCTATTTAATTTCCGTGGACGATAGTTCTCGACCAATACGGAAGATCAATATTCTTACAAGAGTTTTAATACGCAGAAGTTTGAAAACTTTTTGTTTACGAGAATAATTACTCACTAAATTAATATAATCTCAAATTGTAAATATGGGTTGGCTACCAAAATGTAATCCTAAACAAAGGCCTACTTACCTAGCTACTTTTCCTCTAGAATAGAGCATATCTAACATACTCTGGAATTTGGGTGACCCGCTAATTTTCTCAGGAGTTACATATAATAATTTAATGGCCGGCTCACGTAAAGAAAGCTTATGATATACCTCTTCCACATCCGCCAGCGATATGTCTCCAGATAAATGTGCAGCGGGGATCTTTATGACAAAAATATTATTATAAATTGTATAAGGCTTTCGTGGTAATTTTTTAAAGGTAGTTGGGTTTTGAGCTGCTCATTCTAAATGGTTTCAGCCGCTTGATTGTGTCTTGGAGAAAATAGGTGCTACCACGACTCAGTAAAATAACCCTACTATTATGGAAAAAATAGATGTAGATAAAATTGAATCGCATACACCATTCAGATAAAAGTGACCTATACAAATACAATGTATGTACTACTTACATCTAGAGACAATAGTTTGTTGACTTGATCAACGATGAGGGACTTCAATGGAGAAATAACTATTGTAACTCCAGGCGTCAGTATTGCCGGAAGCTGATAACATAATGATTTACCTGAAAAATTTTAAACATAAAAAATTCATAACAAGTAATAGTTAAATACATATTTTATTATTAATTTAAGTTCTTAGACACAGTTCTATATTTTTTTTCTAATAACCAGCGAGCTACTACTAGCTGGTTATGAGCAAAATATGGTTCGAGTTCTCACGTGTCCAACATGTTTTGATATAAACATGTATTTTAAATGTTCAGTGGAATATTTAATTTTAAAAAATCTCTCCTAATCTACCTTAATTTAGGAATTATATAGTTTATTTTAGTTTTAGTCAGAGCATCTCGTTTATATATTACATGGCTGGAAATATTTATTCAAGGAACCCCCTGCTAGTCTGTCCTCTTCTATCTTAAAAGAACAATCTCATTTTTATTTCTCTTTATACATAATACTTACCACCACCCGTTGGCATCAGTACAAAACAGTCATGGCCTAGGAGCGTGGCATTAATCACTTGAAGCTGATTCGGTCTAAATGATTTCAGACCAAACTTTTCTTTGAACATCTCCATCATCAAACTTGAATGTGGATAATTTAAACCGTCGAATTCACCTAAAATATTGAAATAAAAAAGTTTAAACTTTATGTTTATCAACATGGAACTATGTTGTGGTTGTCGCACCCCAATAATCACGAGGTAATGGTGTTGTAAACTGGATTAGGCGAACTGTTACTACTTTCCAGAAACTTTTACTACCAGACTGGAGTTTGGAATTATCGTGGTTACAGTCTAAGCTCTTAAAACTCTCTTTTAGAAGACATTAAGAAGGAAGACCTAGTATCATCATTACCTGTAATCCCGTCGTTCTTTGTACCCGCACAAAAATCTCCCATCCCCTGATACTTAGGAACGGCGACGCTTTGTTCCATCAAATTGATCTCCTCCTTGCTTATATCATTGGTTTCTTCCATAGCATCTTCAAAATCTTCCGGTCGATACTCTGGCCAGCCATCGCCGTCAATCACAACATGTTTAGTGACACCTTGTACATTACTATTGCTAAGAGAATCGCTAATATTAATCACACTTGTTCTAGAATCTTCTGGTATTATATCCGTTATATCATCAACATCAATAGGAACCTCATAATCATCACCATCCTCATAATCAGTTTCACTCTGACTGTCTTTGACTATTGGTGTTACAACAGTACAAGGTTTACCCATATTCTTTAAGGCACTTTTGCTCAATTGTGGTGGCTGAAAGGCGACAGAACTGTTAGGTACAGGTGCACATTTTGGTGGTTCTTCTGTTTCTAATGGCTGCAATCTCTCTGAAGCCAACTTCATTCTTTCAAAAGTACTTGAAGGCACATCTCTAGTTGGAATATTTTTAGCAGAACCATCGGCAGCTCGCGATGGTCTTTTAAAGACAAATTTTCCCTTTTTAGTATGCATATGTGATGTATTTGAAGTTTCTATGTCAGAACTAATACTAGTATTACAACTTTTAGTAGAACTTGGAGAAAACATATCAAATGAAAGGGACTTTTTGGGAATCAGGTCTGAGTATATAGTTTTAGTTGGTGCTACTTTATTGAACAACTGCATTTCTGGTGTTGATGTTTCAGGATTGTGCATAAGTATTTTGTCTATGTTTTCATTGTTTACTTTATTAGAAAAATCAAAATCTTCAAGGCTATCCTCATTGTTATTTAATAGTAATGAAGGACTTTCTCTTTCTGTAGTTTCCCTACTTGTATTAAGTGTATCTGCAGTTGCTTGTAGGCATTGCTTAGATATCTGTTGCATAGCAGATTTCAACTTAGCTTTTAAATAATTCATTTTTGAATATGTTTTACTGTCATATCCTGGAAACTTCTCTTTGATACAATTTGGTATTCTATTAAAGGCTTCACTAATTTTCTCTAATATTTCTATATACATTGCTTTACAATCTTCTAAGTCATTTTGGGTTAGGTCTACCTTGTCCTAAAATAAATAATACAAAGTAATTTTACATTGTACATAGTACTGTATAGTGTTATTACGACATAAGTACAAAAAGGCCTCAATTACAGAAAATACATAAAAAGGAAAGCATGTAATGGAATGGGTAATTTGATTTGAAAAGCAATCAAACTGAATTCCGATTGACATAGGTTAAAATCCGAATGTTGACAGGTTACAATATAAAAATTTGTTAGTTTTTAATATATAATACTTGAAACTTACTGCATAATTTCTTTGTAATACAGGATGATCAGCTATATTTAAAAGAAATTGATTTAAAGAGTTGTCTAATTTTAAATTCCTCAATGGATCCTTATCATTTTTAGGGCTAACTCCTTGAGGTTTTAAGGTTTTTCTTCGTTCTTCTTTTTTTATGGGTGAAGGTGAGGCATTCATCTCACTCTTTGTATAAGACTGTGATAAAGATGGGCTGTGTTGATTGAAGGCACCACAATATTCATCCTGTAATGTTAGAAAAGTAAATCAAAATAAGTTCTCCAATAAACTAATTAAAATTAACAAGAAAATAAATGAGTACATATTTAAGAATAATTTAATTAATAGCTTACAGTGTCCATAGGATTAGCAATATCTTCACTTTGTTTCTTATTTTCTTTAGTGGTTCCATATTGTATACTATCTGTTCTACCAACAGGAGCATGTACTTCAGCATCAGCCGATATTAATGGATGCTATGTAATAAAATACAAATTAAATATTTTTCGTGACATACAGGTATTTAGATTATTATTGAAGCAAAAATTAAATTGACTTACATTTTCGACAATCCTATCTTTGTTGGTCTTGAATGGAGGATTGACTGCAAGTTATACATTTTTTAATTGAAAATAAGTTATTAAAGTTTAAAGTAAAACAAAAAGAACTTACAATTTGGTGTTGATGATTTGGACTTCCATACAAATGTTGATTTCTTATCTATTTTTCCAGTTGGTTCATTGCTTTTTCTGGAATATTAAACAAATTGCAAATATAAATTTTTATGTTAGAATGTCTTAACTTAAGATGAAAGAAATTATTTACATCTTATCCTCGTGAATTGGGCTTCGTTCTTCTTTCCTAATATAATTGAAAATAGTGTTCTGTTTACATTCACTGATCGGTTTCTTTGAGGACATTTTAGATCAGTAAATTTCTCAACACCAATATAAATTAATATTTAAAAAATGTAATTCATTCTATAACCATTCTCGACGTTTATTGTTTGTAATTTGTATTTTGTATCTTTCATTTCACAATTTTCACAGATAAAATGATGATTTAATGAAGAATAAAGATTATAGAAAAACGTATCTGAATAAAGATAAAATATTGTAGACTGTATAATAGATGCATTGAATTGATAAAGATATAGATTTTCAAGACTTATCAAATATTAATGTCAGATGCGAAGCAATTTATAGCTGACATTTGACATTTGTTTTGTTTCAATAATTCAACTTTTAAAATTTTATTCATTCCTTTGAGAATGTGAAATATTAATACGATTTTAAAAGTCTAGAAATAATGTCTCTAAGAAAAGCATACCTTTTAGCTAAGGAAGTTATAAAGTACCAGGCGACAAACGCTTCCCGACAAAACTTATGGCTCTTATCGGCTAGTCCGGCAAGATTTTACACCACCGAAAATTTAGGTTAGTTTTCAGTTTCTCTCTTCTGAATTACCTCTATAGTTTAAGAGTTATGTACTAAGATTTCTATATCCCTAATTATTATAGGTAGTAAGAACAAAGCAGACAAGACGCCTGAGAAAGTAGATATTCTGGGGCGATTCTTTCCACAAAATAATTTAAACATAAAAGATGCACAAGAAGTTAAGAAGGAACAAGAAAAGTTTGAAAAGGAACAAGAAGAGAAGACCCAAGAAAATGAAAAGAGCTGGCGACGGATGAAGTTGGGGTACTTATTTGTGTGCCTTTATGTATATAAATAATATTTATTTATAACTGGTTTAATATTATTTTAAAATAAGTTCTCATGGGAACTACCTAGAGTCCCAAATTCAATAACAATATTGTGAAAGTATGTGGTTAAAGAATGATGACAAATATAGATTTCTAATTTTGTCATCATATCATTAAGTGCTTTGATTCAATGAGCAATAACATATAATCATACCTATGCTTTACAGGAGTTAGGTTTTAGTATCAAACTCACTCTTTATAATATTCAGGTTTGCTGTGTTTGGTGGAGCAATAACTGTAATGGGAGGTTGCATGGTTGTAGAAATGGGAGCACCAAAACGAGGTGATGATGGTCAGTTATTAGAAGATGAGTTTTCTCACTTACCTATAATCTTGCAGTACTTAAGACGAACATGGAAGGAGCTTACTTTCTATGAAAAGGTATATATATTTTTGTGGAAATGGCGCCACAGGCTTGTAAATAAGGTAATATGTTAAATGACTTTTCAGATGATTAAAGAGCCTTCTCGTGAGAAACTATTGCCTGATCCATTGCCACCACCCTATCAACCTACATATACTTTAGTCTTAGAGTTTACTGATGTTTTAGTGCACCCAGATTGGTCTTATCAAACTGGATGGAGGTAGGTTTTTTATATTGCATTGAGGTTTAATCATGAATCGGATACTATCAATTTGATTGCTCACTTGTTTTATAAGATCATTTTTGTTGAACATTATAACTCACTATGTTTACATTAATTAGGTTCAAAAAACGCCCTGGTGTAGATCAATTTCTCCAGACAGTGGCAAGTTCTGACTATGAAGTAGTTATATTCACATCAGAGAATGTGTTTATGATCTGGCCAGTGTTGGATAAATTAGATCCAGAAAACAAGCTTATCTCATACAGACTATTCCGAGATTCAACTCATTTCATTGATGGAGTTCATGTTAAAAACTTGGAGGGTCTGAATAGAGACTTGTCTAAGGTAAGAATGTGGAATGTAATTTTGAACCCTGAATTAAATGTAATCCACATGATAATCAAACGTTTTTTCTTCTCTTTTACTTGTAGGTAATAGTTGTGGATTGGAATAAGCAAGCAACAAAGTTTCAACCTGAGAATTCCCTTATACTGCAGAAATGGAAGGGTGTTGACGATGACACAGCCTTGCTTGACCTAGCTAATTTATTGCAGAGTAAGTTTTTAATAATGTTTTTTATTTATTTTTAGTGGCCAGTTGACTTTATCAACTATTACATTTTGCAGCGATAGCAATGTCAAATGTATCAGATGTCCGTGAGGTTCTGACTTATTACAGTCAATTCGATGATCCAATAGCAGCATTCCGCGAAAATCAGCGCAAGTTGCTTGAGCAAATGGAGGCTGAGAAGAAAGAGCGCGAGACTCATCCCGAAACAAACCTAGCCCGCGGCTGGCTTCGGACATTTACTAGACGCTAGGTAGACGCTCGAATTTTGTTAATTACTTGGTAATTTATTGATTGATTACTAGGCTTGCTAACTGTAAAGTATACTTGGTGATCTGTAGTGTGGTCATGGAAAAAATTACATTATTTTATCACTTCATATTGGAGTTTAAATAATACAGCATGTACATAAAATACATTTGCTAATAGTAATACATGAAGGCAGCACTTATGTATTCATAATCGATATACATATACATACATACCAAGTTGTTATTACTAAATTGCATACTTAGTATGTATATTTATGATTGGTATTTGTAACTTGACTTATAACTGAACTATTTAGCATTCTGTACAAACTAATTTTTAGTTAATTCTATAAAGTTGCGTATATGAAATATTTTTAAAAGTGCAATAAGAAAACTGGTTCTTAACTGTTACCTAATAAGTATAGGGTAAATGTAATGTTGAGTGATTGAAAAGCAAGTTTTTACTCCAGCAAGCAAAATATAGATGTTTGATTAAATTAAAGACGGTTGTTTTATTTAAAAATATGTTATTTCTAGAAAATTATCCTTACACTGACATCAGTATTTTAAAAGTTACCTGTGCTGGAATACAGGCCTTTGCCTTCATAAGAGGTGTCATGGCCAAATGCGTGTAGGTACAGTACAAACTTACAGCATAATTCAACAAGGATGCTAATATATAGCTTTTAAATAAACACTAACAGTTTAAAACGCGATATATATTAGTAAAACTTAACAGCAGCCGTGGATGTCTCCTGACCGCGGCTGCCGCAAAGCATCCGAAATGTCGGGCCGAAGTTAAAAATAATTTTCAAATAGGTTTAACTAATATAATATATCGCGTTTTAAACCGTTAGTGTGGTGTTAAAATGTATACTACTTGCGTAAACTACACAGTATTTAACATAATTCTTAGTGCATGACCTATAATCAAACCATTAGATTTACATGTGAACTTGCATATTCACAAATCTGAAGCAATTGAGGTCTCTTCGGTTGCATTATTAGCCTCCATCCAAACTTCTTTTAATTCAATATCTACTTCCTCATTTTCAAATACTTGCCATATTTCATTTTCATCAAATTTTGATGTAGTTGAGTCATATTGAGATAACATTTCATCATGTGAGACTTTCCTCAACTTTTTCCATGCATCGGCTATATTAAATATAGTTGTAACATGAAATGGTTTAGTTTCAATTTTGTAGGATTTAGACCATTCATATAAGCTTTGAACGCTGTCATCTTCAACAATGCCTTGCATATGATCAGGATATAACATGTGATGTGTAATATCTCCCAGTGAATTTAATGTAAGAATATCACAAGTATCATTTAGATTCAAAAGTTTGTTGCCACATATACTACTATTAAGACGGCAATCCAAGGGGTTGTAAAAGTCATCGCATAGTAATTGTTCCCGTGCCTCTTGCAAAACTGATAGGATACTTGGAGGTCTATATGGCATTGATACATTACTACTTTGCGTAAGGAATTCACTTTTTTTGTAATCAGCTACAACGCAAATATCTTCACACCACTGACTACTTAAACAAAGCATGTCTCTATTACTCTGAATATTACACTTGTCCATATAGATGGGCGGAAATTCCATTCCATGTGTCCATCGCTGTATCACGTCCAGTTGATATTTTTTTACAAACCGTAAATCGAGCACAAACAAATGGTGGCTAGTTCCAAAGTATAAGTGGTCAGTCCCTTCAAATTGCCTAGCCACACTTATTTTATTGCAATGAGGCTCATCCACAATCGTTTTTATTAACTTATAATAATGTTCAATGTCATTGGTCCTTTTGTCATAGACACATACAGAGTTTCTTGTTACATTTAAATAATAATTGTTTTTTGCACTAAGAACAACATTCCAATTATTTAACTTTTTATTTTTATGACTTTTTAGTAATATTTTCTTAGCTAAAAGTGTTTCTATGTTTATTAAAAAGAGAACTCCGTCTAGTCGAGTAACATTAAGAACTTTCTTATGATAACCATCAAATGAAATGCCAACATATGGAATATCAGAGTCTAATGACGATATTTTTTCAAATGTCCGATCTGCTAATAATTTTAAAATAAATAACTTGTTTCTTGTTCTTAAAGCTATGACAGGGATTTGCATAATTGTATAAACAATTTCCAAGATATTATGCTCTTGACTGCAGTCAAACGAGGCACATGCATCAGAAGTTACTTTAATATGTTTCTTGTCAAACTCCTTTAAATCTGGAAAGAACAATGTGTGTAAACATTTTCCCTTTGATATAAAAATATTCAAAGTGAAAAGATTCAAATACTCTGAACTCACATAACTTGCTAAATTCACTGTACAAAATATAATCCTTCCCTTCTAGGCTGAGGAGTTGTAAGTTTCCAAATCCTGCATAATACCAGTTGTAGGTATCATCAAAATATGGTTCTGGATCTTTTTTTAATAGCTCGGCTGTAGTAACAACCAGCTTTGGACAACTAATTACATCTTCATTAAGGATTTCAACATCTTCTTCACATTTATTGTTAGCTGTAATAACATATTGATTAAAATTTAACTTAATAGTAAAGTATTATTTATGTTTATATGTCCTGATTGTTTTACAATAAAAATTTGTAGTTTCTTCACTCACCAAAAGCAATCTTACAATCTGAAAGCTGCTTTTTCCATTCAAGCTTATTCGATATATAATCTGTCACAGGATCTTTTCTATCTACATTTCGTATGGAATTGATTATTTTAGGTGGTAAGCTCTTGAAACCTAGTGGTTCAAAATAGTTATGAAGCAGCTGCCCATCCCAATCTTCGTCAAAAGTATTCAATGGATAACTTGGTCGTAACCAATGTTTTGGTAATAAGGGCTTCTGGAGTAGATTTTTGGCATAGAACTTAAAAGCTTCACCGTTTTTATGTGGTAGTTCATCCAATATTTGCTTGACAGGGGCAGTATTGTCAAGATCACTTGTAATACATTTTTGCTTCTAAAAGATATAAAATCATAAGTTAAATTATTTACAGATTACTAATACTCTATTTAAAAGAAGGAAGTCAAATACCTTAGATGGAATAGACATTTTCTTTGTATGCTTGCTAATTTATTATGGTACCTAATATCATATCTTAGGATAAGTTTGTTATGCCGCATGCATACTGAACGGAAGGCAGTCAGGTTAACCTAAGACGATATTTAAAGATCACACTCTACCGATACCGATAGAGTTGGATTCACTTGTCACAATGTTTTATGGATTATAATACAGTCTAATTAATTTTGAAATAGGTAATATGTTTAGTTCAATATATCTTTTGTTTATACAATAATACACAATGTAACAGCTGTATAAACACACAGAAATTAGGAAAACAGACGTCAATTGTCATTGTTACTACAGAGTACAAAATAATGACAAAGATAAAATGAAAGATGCTCGCAGATATCGATACTAATATGTATTATAAAGTTGAAGTTTGTTTTTTTGAACGCGCTAATCTCAAGAACTACTCGTCGGTTCGAATTGAAAAAATATTTTTGTGTTGGTTAGATAATTTAGCGGGGAAAGCTTCAGGCTATAGTACACCACGCTGTGATAACTAGGAGCGAAGAACATTTGGAAAATGAGGAGAAAACGGGGAACGGTTTCCGTTGTCCTTAAACCACAAATACCCAAAAATATATGTACTAAAGAATGTTTCCTCCTGTTGATCTAAAAAAGCACGCGACAGCATTCATCGATCTTTTAAGATTATCTTACAGAACGTAGGGTACTTAAGAGCTATAATTTGTAAAGACGTTTGTAATTTCTAAACAAATGATGTCTAAAATAACTACTCATATTCTACGCGAACGAAGTTGCGGGTACAACACTGTTACCAACAAAAGAAAAGGTTTTATAAATTTAACTAATAATTTAATTTATCATAAATTAAACAATACAAATTAAATTATATTTGTTCTATAATTATGTTCTGTAAAAAATTTCAGGAAAGGATAATGCAGCAAAAACAGTCATTACAAGTATCGAATAAACTGTTACTAGAATATCTCTCTTAATTTTCAGGTTTGGAACATCCGTAGGAGTAGAAAGTCTTTTAGCTCCTTTTGCGTTGAAGGTTCTTTTATTTTTTCTTACACTTTCTTGACCAAATGTTATTACTCCAAGTCTTGATTGTTGTGTTTCAACTTTTGGAATTTCAATTATTTTGTTAAACGAAGAATTAGAGTACAATGTATGGTAATCTGAAAAATAGTACATCGATTGTTCCGATGGCTCTCTTATGACATTTACTAAAGAGCTCGTTACATTGGTGCTGTGATGAACATTTAATGGCAGAAATTGAGATGGGACATCTGATATAGTACTAACGTATTCTATACCCCCAATGTTCACGTTTATTTCTTTGTCAAGGTGCAATGGATTATTCTTTATCATAATGCTATTATTAGGCACGTTACAACCCATATTATTATAAATTGCACAAAAACTTTGCTCCGTTATATTTTGTAATGAGCTCAAAGACAAAATGTTTTGTGGGCTCGGTTCAGGAGAGCTTTCGTGAAACTCTACTCTTTTTAAAATATATTCCAATTCTTGAGTTTCGGTGACATCATTTTCGATAGGTCCGTTTCCCGTTAACTGTGTCTGGCAAGTGGTTATGTTTTTAATCTCGTTTAGCAATCCAACGAGTAAGTCAAGTGACGTGGAGTTATCTGCAACAGTAGGTTTGCTTACTGAGGTACTGTTATTAGTTGAATTCATTGAAACATTTTGTGATTTATCTTTATCGATTTTAGTCATCTCTTTTTCAGGTATTGAACTATCCTGGTCGGTAGGTGATTTTTTATCTGATTTCAGTTCATCCTTTGCAATTGGTACAACAAAATCGGCGTCTACAATTTGCTCCAGACTTTCTTGCGATCTTTCAAGAAACTGGTCTTTAGTATTTACTTTTAAACTGTTATTTTTATTTTTTGGACTATCTTGTACGTGAATGTCTTCTTTCGATACTGCACGGTTTACTTCACCCTTAGTATCAGTTGTAGAATATCCAACAGTCGAAATTTGTAAAGGAAAATTCGCAAAAGACCAATCTACGTGTGACTTAGATTGTTTAGACTTATTTTTAGAGTCATTTTCTTTTTCTGTCATTTTATTTGAATGCTTCGTTTTTTCTATTACATTTTGTGATAACGTAGATTTTATCACCACCGACCCAACATCACCAGATTGTAAAACTAAAACTTGTTGCAAAGAATGTTTAGGCGTTAAAGTTAAATTCTTGATCCTCAGTCGTTTCTGGAAAGTTCCTGCTGATAAACGACGGTATAAAGCATTTTCCAATCTAGCTAATTCAGTTAAAGAATTAAAGGGCTGAATGTCATACGTAATAAGATTAAAATCGACATCATTGCCGGCGCTGTGTCCGTTATCCTTTGGTAAGCTCGCTACAGCTGTCATAATACTTTTATCTCCAAAAACATCGATTGGAAAATCTGTATTAGAAATCATCTCTTCATATTGTCCTACAGTGTCGACAAACGCTTCATTGATACTGTCGCTGCTTTGTAAATTTTCTTTTTTTTCACAGAGTGAACTTAAAGCCGGGGCAGTTGAATTGATCATGCTATCGATCATATAGTGTAACTTGTTTCCAAGCGCTGAAGATTCTTCTGCTGTGCGGGATGACGTCACAGATCCTACAAATTAAAATATAAAATATTGTTATTACAGTTTTTTATAACATAAACAACAATATGTATATGTAAGCTTGTACCCATATCCAGATCAGTAGGTATAAGTGGTACTCGCGACTTTTGTGCTCCGGGGAAATCTTTTATTTCTCGTGTCGGAGATCCGCGTCCATAATGATTTTTCACGTACGATTCCACCGCAACCATTTTCTTTAATCTAGAATTTAAATTAGTTAAAAATTAACCCGTTCATCATTCAAGCAAAAAATCGATCAATTTAACCTAAAATATAATAATCCTTACAACGTTTCAGGCGCTTCGGGTACGTTTTGTTTACAGGACGGTCCCGTCACCGGCACTGGAGAACGTTTGCGATTTCCAACGGGGCTACAACTTTCTGACCGTCTAACCCCTGTTCAAATTGAGTAGTTGTACAAAATAAATGAATAGAAAATATAAGCCAAAGATGTAAAACGTGTATGCAACAAAAATGCTACAAAAATTCACCTTTACACACCTATAGGCGGTACGGTGGAATTAGGCTTCCGAGATCCTGTTCTGTCCGTTGTACCCCTTCTCGGTCTCGTATTAGGATACACAGGATTTCTTGTTGTTCTGTCTGTTTGTGGGGAGTTGATTGTTAATTTTTGTTGTCTATTGGTGTTTCTATTTTTGTTTGGAAATTGTTCATAGTGGGGTTGACTGTATGGCCTTTTTGGCTGCGCTAAACTATCCAGTCTAGACTTCGGTGGTCCCCGTACAGCTTCACCTCTGGCTTCTTTAGCTTCATCTATTATGTCTGTTATCTTTTTTCGATTTAATTTATCAACTGGCTTTTCTTCTAATGGTCTTACATTAGCTTTTCCAGCTCTTGATTTTCTGTCTTTAGGAGTGGGGACCCTCGATAACGCTTCATTGTGCTTTAAATTAGGCTCTGCTTTTATCGGTTTTCTAAAAGTAACTTGATGAATAGTGTTTTTCGAATCCGTAGATCCCTTCTTGTTTGGTTTTGCATCACTTTCCATCTTATGGCGACTTCTCTGAACGTGCTCGAATTCTCGTAACAGCTGAGAGATTGCTTTAAGAGGGTTTTCTGATATTTTAGCCACTGGGCTTTTAATTTTTCTTCGATCTTTTTTCTGGTTTTCTTCTGTCGAACGCGCAACAGGTGTCTTTGTTTGAGTTATAATGGTTAGAGGTTTGGCTGTTATTGAAACAGGTACATTAAATGTTTCGCTTGTCCGATTCATACATTTTTTAGGAGGAGATTCCTTCGTTTTATCAAAGCTGTAACAACTGGGAATTGATGATATCATACAATGTTTGAGGCTAGTGCCACTGTCTGACGGTTGAGCACTTGAACAATTTTGGTTGCTTTCAACATGATTTAGATTATCATTATTCCTACGACTGCCTAGGTCGATATCTTGGCTTTCTTCTAATTTCGAATTAGATGGTTTAATTTTTCCAAGGTTTTTCATTAAATCATATATCTTATCGATGCTTTTTCTGCACTCAACTGGGTGTCCCAATTGTTTTTCATTTTCATAATCTGAATTTAATTTGTCAATGGGTGAATTGACAGGAACGGTATGAACCGCATTTACTTCAGATGTTCTTTCAAAATTCATATGCTTCTTTGCTTCATTGCATATGTTTTCGTTCTCCAGTCTGAAAAGAAACATTGTTTAGGTACGTTTTATGATTTCATTAAAATGTAAAAATGTTCAATTTGATTACTACTTACGTAAAATTCTTAGTATTCGATTCGGCTAAAGGTGTTTGTAAAGAAATTATGTCTTTTAACAGGCTTAAACTAGACCCATATTCCTCCGACTCGACAGAAGACGAAGCAGTATATGCCTCTCCTATACCAGCTTTTTGTTTATCTTTTAAATGCATAATTTCGGTATCAGCGTCGTCTAAATAATAACTGTGATTTATATATTTATCTTTATTCTTCGGAGATTTAACGCGTGATTCATCCTCACAGTTTTCCAACTCTACTACGATGTTTAAGTCTGGGTTTAGAACTTTTCTTTCTTTTTTTGTATTCTTGATTTCGTTATTTATACTTTGTCCGTAAATAGAGTTATAAAAAGATTTGTTCGTTATGGATAGTTTCGTAACTGAACTAGACGCTTGAGCCAAGACAGCACTTCTTGTATATTTATGTTTTGATATTTTGCAATGTTCATTTAAAGATTTCTTTTTGATCTCTCGCCTCTCTCGAATTTCAAGCAATCTCTTTCTCTTTTTCTCTTCAATTGCATGGGAAGAGTTTTCATAAGGAGATTTTATTCTTATATTGCTAGAAGACTTTTTTTTCTTTACTGCGACATCATTTTCTTCAGGTGCATTTGAATCCTTGTCAAAACATTGGTCACCGTAAAGAAAGTCGTCGGACATCAGGCTAAAATTAGCATCTGTTTGTTCATCGCTATATGCCTTAGTATCCACCAGCGTCGGATAAGTGACAAAAATGTCTGTGCAGTTTAAATTGTTGTTGAAGTGCAGAGAAGCACTACTTACATCAGTGTCAACGCCAATAAAGGATTCTTCATAAGTTTCTGGCGATTGTTGAGATACAAAACTATTTTCGTAAGTAAGGTCGCTTGGCATTACATTACTTTCGTTGATTTCTACAATTTTTGGTTTTATTTTAGTATCCGTTATTTCACACATAAGTGACGCACATCTATTACTCGCTGTTTCAGGAGTCTCTGTAAAGTGGGAATAGGTTGTTAATATACCTAATCATTGTAAGAAACCATAAAAATAACTAAATGTACGATCATACCTCGAGATGCTATCTGCGGAGTTTGTAAAATCATGATCGAATTGATTTTACTTATAATTTGACCTGATTGTGATTTTTTTAACTTTAAAACAACATCAACTCGAGAATGTGTTTCGTTGACTGCATTAGTTTTTTTCTTGCAACTTATTATAAAATTGTCCTGATATCGTTTGCTGAATAATTCGTATGTTCCGCAAATTAATCTTGGAATTTCGACTCTGATTTTTTTCTCTAATATTCTCGATAATGATCTGACATCTACTTCAGAGTGAACCACGTCGTCCCATTTGCTTTTCATATTGCCGGCTTTACGTTCCACGTGTATGGGGATACTAACCGAATTCGTTAAAACTGTATTCTTTTCATCATTATTATAAGAAGCGTGATCCATTTGGCGCCATCTCTCTTTAGCTTTGTCAGTTAAATAATCCCCATTGCTTATTCTTTTAAGTTGGTCTATTGTATGTTGTACATACTTTATAATACTATCCATGTAAAAGTTATAATTGTCTTCTAATCGTTTACAACAAATGTAGTCAAGTAACGACGAAGGTAGAACATTCATATTTGATGTCGCAGGCAAAACGCTATTTAATTGTTCTTTTATGTGCGGATCTTTAAAAAATAAATGTTTGTCATAAGCTGTATTAAAATTGGATGGATTCACAGTGGTCTCGCCAAATTTTTGACAAAGCGTATGTTCCAAAGAAGTTGTATTAGTTAACAAATCAATTCTTTCTTTGTTAATCATCATAATATTTCGTATATCCTCGGTGCTGTAAATTTCACCAACGTCAGAGTCATCGGAATCGCGTCCGTCGTTGTATATGATTGTTTCAACATATTGGTTAGATGGTTTAGTTTGACAGCATTTCGCTTCAGTCATCAGCTTTGTTCCGACATCTAAATTTTTGTAAAGTATGACCAAATCGCTTGCTTTAAGTGCGTTTTCTGCAAGTAATGAATAAGTTGATAGTTTTTAATATACAACGGGTAGTTAAATTTTTAAGTAGCTTTATATCTACTTACCACTTTCATTGAAATTATGTTTTTTAGCAATTATTTCGAATAGCTCGTTGGCTGTTTCATATTCGTAAATATTTCTGTTAACATCCCCTTCGCCATTCTCGTTGCATTCCTTTTCAGACACTCGACTTATTAACATCTCGCCTACCACATGAATTTTTCGTGATTACGTTTGCGAATATTATAAAAGTTTAAATGATACTTAAATATATTCGTAGAAAAAACACTAGTACAAAATCGTCGACAAAATTGTAAATTTAAAGTCAGCTGACACCAAAAGATATTAATTTAGACAGGCATTCAAAAAGCGAATGTTTCATTAAAAAGTATTTTACTGCATGACTTATCTCAGCAACTTAAAAACTTTTTTGTACTAAAGAATTAGCGAAACGATGTAGTTTGTGATATATTGTTTTAAATATATTAGCAGCAAGGAGTGAGCGAGGCGGGTTGAGCGCTTTTCGATGTTATAGAAAGTGGAGGAAATAAGAATAATAATTTTAATGTAAATTTTTGTTTAGACCATCAATCAATCAAATTCTGTTTAGTTTATTAAATCTACACAAGGAAATAATATCCTTAAGCACTATTCATCTCTCTTTGGTAGTTAGACGACAAGATTGGTATCCCGCTGCAGAACTTACCTATTTCCAATGTAAATTTTACTGTCACAGATTAAACCAAAGATTTTTCTTTGTATTGTATTACAGTTATATACCAACATTTTAATAAAATAATACTTTAAAGAGTAGACAACACTAAATATCTTGGTATATACATTGACGACCGTTTATCATGGTACTCACAATTAGAAGCGATGTCAAATAGGCTAAGAAAGTTAATTTGGATTTTTAAAACATTGCGGCATGTGACTACCAAAGAACTGCTTAACAAGGTTTACATCACCCTAGCAGAGTCAGTTTTAAATTATTGTATTGTAATTTGGGGTGGAGCCGCAAAGACCAAGTTGATAGAATTGGAACGGGGACAGAGGGGTCTTTTAAAAGTAATGCACTCGCTGCCATACAGATTCCCAACCGAAGAGCTTTACCAACAAAGTGGGTTGCTGTCCGTTAGAAAGTTATATGTTTTAAATACAATTCTTAAAAAACACCGTACTCTAATAGTTGATAAAGATATTTTAAAAAAGAGAAGGAAAGATATTGTCGACAAGATTGCAGTCAAAACAGCTTTTGCTGGTCGTAACTATTGTGTGCAATCCGTTTATTTGTACAACAAATTAAATAAGCTGCTAAATATATATCCACTCACGCTTCGAGAAGTTAAAATATTAGCTAGCAAATGGTTAAAAAGTGTAAGCTATAATCAGCTAGAGGATATATTGAAGAATCCCAGTTAAATCATCATACATCCTCATGATCAATCACTTTCTCACACACCCACACACATCAAGTCACACATCACATTAACTCACATACTTATACACACACACCAATATTATTTAAATAAATAAATAAAAAAGCATGTTTAATTATTTAGGGATACGGAATAATGTATTATTAAATGATATGGAAGAGCTGGAAACCCTGTCACAGGTATTATTTACTTAAAAGGGTTTCCAGATCAAAAACAGTTTAATGTAAATATGGTTCCTGAATAAATACTTTTATACTTTTCTTCGCTTCACGTAACTTACTCTAGTTCGACTCGCTATCCTTAGCGATGGGACAATTGTCTTAGAAGTAAAGAAATCTAATTAAAACAATAAAGAGGTATTCAATAGATATATTAATCAGATCATAATTCTTAATATAAACAATATAACAATTTAAGTACAGCGTTAAATATGTCAGTCTTAAAATTACAATAAATATTAACAATTGATTACATTTGTTTTAAACAATGGAATAGTATGGAACTATGGTGCTTTGAATAAGGACTCCAGCAATTCTGGTTCGTCCAAGTCCTTTTTATATTGCTGTGCGATGTCTTGAATCAAGTAACGTCTGCGGACGTGAGGCGGTTGGTAGCTGCAAGAGATAAGGAATAGTTTGCCAATAACATATTAATGTTAATATTTCAATCAGTATGTTTTCAATAACTATAGTGACATAAGAGCCACCAATCAATAAGTGGTGATTAAACAACAGCTAAGCCTGTTCTTGGTTAGGTACGGGGGTAATGAAACTGATCTTGGAAAAATTCCACACTATTTTCTTAGAGAAATTTCAGTACGATCATCGCCCGACCCAGCATCCAAAACTCAAACTTCATGTTCTACAGTGCACTAGTCACTAGAGCAACGAAGAAGTATATATATCCCTTACAGGTCAGTGTTGAGCCGGGTGCGCCTAGCCAGGTGCGTCGCAGCACGACGAAGACAATCCGGTAGCAACCGTGGGGCTACCTATTGTACAGAAATACACAACAGTTTAGTGTTAAAATTATACGAATGTAAAAAGTGTTTGAAAACTTTCATGTTTAGCGTTAAAAACAGACCGAATAGTTTGCCGAATATTCGGTTTATGGGTCAGGGGGCTGACCGAATATTCAGTATTCGAAATAACGCTGAATATATTCCTTGCGAGCCTAATTATAAGGCAAGGAATGTACATACCAATGCACCGTCTGCTAGCACCCCAGAGGCAGGGGGGCAGAGTACACGTACCAGTCCACCTAACACTGCGCTTACGCATAACGACCACACTTCGTGACGTCGCCACGGAATGCCCGTCTCGCAGTGGCGGAGCAAGTCGTCTGCAAATACAGATTAATTTAATAATTACATTAAAAATATACTTCTTTATTAGATAGGAATTCACGAGGTTAATTCTATTCGAAATATGGAATCAAACTACGCAAAGTTCTTTCTAGAAACAGTAATTTAGTTTTCTCACCTATAGGTAAATTAAGATGATCTTCGAAGTCCTCCAACCATATGATGAGTATTTTTGGTGCAAAATCTCTATTCCTTCTCCCGCTACCTAGGAACACATACAAAAAATACTTTTAAACCTAAAAAGTATAAATGAATTATTGTATGTTATAGTAATTTTTATATTCAAGTTTCGATTTAATTTTCCAGTTCATTAAATTTATTTACCGGTTAATGCGCGATCCAACTCAAGTGAGAGAGCCCTCGTCTTGTCAGAGAGCGGCGCTCGCGCAGGTCGGGTTCGTTCGCACTCGCTAGTACTGCGCTCATAACTCGCGTGCCCGGAACTACCCGACACGTCCCAGCAGGAGCCGTGGCTTTTATCTGTACTGCGGCTGTTGAAGGACAATTCGTAACATTACGTTAGTCAAAGTCAAAAATCATTTATTCATGTAGGCAACTATGTACACTTATGAACGTCACAAAATAATTAAAGAATCTAACTTTACATTTACTACCAGTTCTCAAATCAAGGGCGTAGAACAAACGAGAAGAACTTTAGAATTAACTTTAGAGTTAGAATTTTAGAATTTTTAAAAACTTTAATATTTTTCACGAGACGAACCTTACTACGCAAATGTTAAGGTTAAAATAACATTGCGAGAGAAGTACATGCATTAATATATTAAAAATTCTACGATGAAATATAGGACACAGTAGCTCAATTGGTTAGAGCAACAGCACGGAACACTGGATGCCGGTTCATGGCATAACCGTGTCGTAATTTTTTTAAAATCTATAATCATTTTTTTTAATCTTTAATATTTTGAAGGAATTAACTTAGCTAGCCAGGCAGGCCAAATTTAGATAAAAACTATCCGCCACTCACTTGGTAGATAAACATGAGCCATCCACGTCTGTCCTCATGCTGTCTGCATCTTCTGGTTCGTCAAGTTCGTATCCAGATGGAACCACGAACGCTATCTCATCTGTCGAGTCAGACCAATATAATACCTGAAAGACATAGTTACATTTTATTATAAAATAACGTATAAAACGGTTGTAGTAATTATTACTATCTTTTAGCACGTTAAACATTTATATATGTGCAAGCCTAATTCCTTAAATTTCTCTCATTTAGATCTTATAGATAAAAATATTGGTACATATATTATAAAGATATTTAAATTAAAAATCGATTTTAGATTGTAAAAAAAAATTTACGACATGGGCAGGACATTGAACCGAATTCAGGATCGTGCGATTTTTCCAACGTGACGATATATTTACTAAATATTGCAAAAAAGACTGAATACAATAAGTTTTATTTTTCACACTGTACTTACTTGTTCCCGTCCGTCGTACATAGCTGGTGCGATGTTGTCTGGTGGAGAATTCTCCTTATTCGTGAAGTGTGGCTGTGCGTCATAACTAGACCTGATGTGGCCAGTCCATCCGGCGTGGCCAGATACACGCACCGGCGTTCCCAGTCTGGAACGTTAATATTTTATTTCAGTAAGAATAACTAGAGTACGAATGAAGTTTATCTATGTTTTATATAATATAAAAATATTTCAGCTTGATCAACTATTACATAATGCTAAAAGTTTGTAAAGCCTAAACATGGTCGCTTTCAACTGTTTATCTTTTTATTATATTAAAGAAACACATTTAAATTTAAAAAAAAATCGACCTAAAACGAAAAATCCTCTTGCACTAATTTTAAAATACCTTACACACAATATATAAAGTGTTTTAATTTAGAACAGAAAAAAAGAGGATGGTATACTTGATTAAATACTATTTATTTTCAAGTCACCAGTCCAGCCATTAAAATATATAACATTTTAATAAAATGAGCCTATTAAAGTATGTCATGAAATGAAGATTTTGTCTACTTACCCGCGCAGCATACGTATAAATGCAGCCGGTACTGTGTCAGCGCTCAGCGAATTAGCAACGATGTCAGTGGCACGGCGCTGACCTGCGCGTACGCATACCACATGCACTGTCAGAGCAGCCCGGCTGCCTGTGCCGTCTAGACGTCGTAGCGCGGTTGAGAAACCAACGTTTGTGCTGTCCAGCGCTTGCAATCGGGGCAAGGAGTTCTAGAAAGTATAAGTAACTTGTATTTTAATTATTATTTTTTAAATCCAAAGATTAAATATATAATGTATTGAGTTTACGCGAGTAGTGCATTTTAAATGAAACACGTTTAACGGTTTAAACCGTGAAGTATATTAAACTTATTAAAAAACATTAGTACGGTCCCAACGTTTCTCCCCGTGATAAGCATCCGAAATGTTGGGCCATAGAAAATAATTTTTCAAATAAATTTAATTAATATATTTTGCATTTAGAACCTTTAAAAGTGTTTTATTTAAAAGAGTAAATGTTTTTGTTAGTTGATTAGAATACAAACTTAGATGGTGAAGTGAACCAAGATACTATCAATAGGTTAATAGATTTACTGATCATAAAAATGAAACAGCCTTTTCCGATAAGAACCATCATTTTCTACTCCTAACTACTGATCTCCAACTGACCTTCTTATCGGGTCCAATATTGAGGTACCCAAAGTGCGATAGGAACATGCGCGCTGTTTGGAACTCTGTTACGGGTTCTGGAGGCACGTATTCTTCACCTGTCTATAAAGAAACCATAATCTATAAACAATAAATTCACCATAGACTAGAAAAATATGTTTTTATTATGATAGAGGAGAACAGACAAACGTGGGTTTTATTTGATAATGACTGAAACATCCCAGCCAAATAATATCTACATTTACAAAACGGGCGCTCGACTTTCGTCGAAACGGAAACGCGATTCAATTTTAGTTTTTTTGACGGAATTTCGATATTCCTATTTCAATACCCAACCGAAGTATTAAAGAGTACTTCCATAATTCTAGTACAAAAAATAAACTTCCATTTCTATTTCGAATCATATTTTTTCAAAGTGCTTAGTGGGAAAGTACTAGAACAACTTACAACATTATCCTCGCCCTCTCTTACGCGTCTCTCTATAGCAGCTTGCTGTTCCAATAGCTTGAACAGCACGGTTGCTTCGGGATCGTTTAGCTGACGGAGTACTGCTTCCAAACTGGGGAAAGCCGAGTCTCTGTAACAAAAACATCCTAAATAATATAACCATCGTATTAATGAAGTAATTAATGGTAATTGAATTAAAACATAGTTTATTGTCAATTTTAAATTAAGAAGGTACATTTAATATGTTTGGAGATCGATAATTGGCTCTATCACAATCGGCCTACGTAACTCTCGGTGCATTCTAATCCCGGGAAAACAATAAATTATATCCTTCGGACAAATCACAGAAGTTCAACCAACTTGTTTGTGAAATCAACGAGGGAACAGTCACAGAAATATGCACCCCAAGAAGGTTTTTTGTCACAATGGCAAACTAAAAACTAGTATTGTATACTATTTATGGGATTGGACTGATGTTATAAAATACACATTTTGTCGACTACTTTCTTTAAAAAGTTATCAACTTACACAGCGCACGGTGGAGCTGCACAGAGTGGTAAGCAAACAGGAGGTGCTCTGGCAGGTGGCTCGAGCATGGCCACAGGACGTGGACACGCCCCTCCCCCACCGCGACCAGCGCACCGCGCCGCTCCACGGCTGCTCAAAGACCATGCATAACGACCCCAACCGTTGCGAATGATCACTATGTAACAAAAAAAACTGTTAGCTTAAACTGCTATTTGTCAGAAGCTATATTAGCAGTGCACGCAACTGAAGCCCCCAAAGAAGAATAATTTCCCCCCTTTTTTCCACATTTCCCTCCGTTTCTTTGCTCCTATTGATCGCAGCATGTTTTATAGCCTAAAGTCTTCCTCGATAAATATCCGATCAACACAAACATAATTTTTCAATTCGAATTATTAGTTACTGAAATGAGCGCGTTCAGACGAACAAACTATTCAGCTTATATTAGTACGGATAGTTTATTTAGCAATTTAAAAACTAACCAACGATAGTGGGCTGCGGTTCCTGACTGTTTGCAAGCGGTTCTTCGAGTAACGACAGTAGAGTGCTACCATCTGCTACGAAATGGCGTAATTTTCCGTGGCCCAGGGCGGACAACCAGCGCTCGTCTAAGCGACACCACGCACCGGTTCCACATGTACCGCTCTGGAATAAGAAAAACATTTAAAAAGATCCGTAACTATTTATTATGGAGCTTGTCTGTATGTAGTTTACGTCAGTAAAACACTTGGAACGATTTGAAAAGCGAAATATTTAAGTTAAATTATTACCAATTTATTTTTACTATGATGATACTCCGCGTTCCAGATGTTTGCTACACTGTAATACCTCATGTGCATTTTTATGCACATGAGGTATTACAGTATAATATAAAAAGCGTATTTCCCTCCGAAAAAACCGTGCATTGCAAAATCTATAATACTTTGTTTATAGCAAAAAATATACAGTGCATCATCTTTGATGTTATCCGGCAGCGGCATTTCACTTCCCATGATGTACTCATCTATCGTAAGGAAATACTTGCGCCAGTAAACTTACAATAATTCGAACACACATTCACAAACCTGTTCTAGTATCAGCATCAATAGCGCTTCGGCCGCGTCTCGCACTCTCATAGACACTGGCTTTAGTTCCTTTTCGTCTTTCATCTTCGTTGGCTCCCCAGGTTTTCCTGTAACACGTATGTATATGGAGAGAGAAAAAGTTAAGCATTGCGTTAAGTGCGAACGAACCAATCTCTTGTTTCGGTCGGGCAGGGCATGTCTGCCCTCTGCCCATCGATTACTTGCCTGTAAATAAAACCGATCAGTGCATCAATCAAATCAGAACAGATTAAACGGACACAGAAGTGTGTTCGCCCCATGCCCCACTGGGGCATACGGAATTGCCCTACTTTCCTCAGATAAGACTAGGGCCATCTCACTCACCTTGACTCTTCGACCCCGATATCCCAAGCTCGACTACTTCCATCAGCGCAGCGAGGCAGTCAGGGTCATTGAGCAAAGCTGGGCAAAGCCAGGAGGCGAGACATGTGTAGGCGGCTACGACGCAAGAGTGAAGGTCGCGGGAATGGGCCTGCGGTGGTCGACTGCACTGAACAGAGATGTAGTCGCAGATCCAACGCACTGCGCGCTTTCGCTCCAACGCGTCTAAATAACAATTAATGTATACTAAAAAAGTTGGCATTCAGTATTGTCTGCAGTTTACGCGAATACACATTTAAATAAAACAAATTTACCAGGTTAAATCACGAAATATATTAGTTAACTTATTTTTAACTTTACAGGGGGGACCCTGACCACGGCTGTAGTAAAGCATACGAAACGTTGTATGTAGTTAAAATAAATAAAAAATAAGTTAAATAACATACTTCGCGTATTAAAATTGTTAAAGTATTTATTTTATTTAAATTGGTGTTCATTCTATTTGTAATTATTCCAATTATTTTACATTTTTTTTATTTTTTTTTCATATTTCCCGCTATATCTTCGCTTTTATTAGTCACAGGACGATGATTTATAGCCTTTCTCGATAAATGCTCTAGCCACAAAAACACTTTTCGTCAATTCGAACCCGCAGTTCCTGAGATTAGCGCGTTCAAACAAAGAAACAAACTCTTCAGCTTTATATATTAGTATAGATTAATTACTTAGATATAAGTTTCTTTGATAAATAATTGTGAGTATATCTATTTGTGTACCAAGCGTATTCCTATTTATTTGTAACCCGAAATTTAACCCAATTGTAACGATATTAGACATCATCCAAAACACATTAGGTCAGTGACGTATAGAGTTCTATATTTTGATTGTCTTACCTATGACAATTTCTGAACAGCGTGCAAAAAGAAAAAAAGACCAATTAGAACATGTTTAATTCTGAAAACATTAATATTTTTCACATGTTATTGCACATGAAGGCACTATATAATTTAAAAATCGAAAATAAATCGGTAGAGCAACAGCACGGAACGCTGACGATGCTGGTTCAAGTCTTGCCCGAGTCGAAAATTTTTTCAATTTATTTTCGATTTTTAAATTATTTTTAATTCTGTTCAAATATTACTCAAAAGTGCAATACGTACCGGGCTTTGCAGAGTGTAACTTGGCAAGACCCGAGAGTAGCTCGAGGGCAGCCAGAGACACTTGTAAATCGCCTTTCCATGACGATATAAGCCGGTGACACACTAGATATGTTGCTCGTGTAACAAGAGCAGCACCTAAAATGTATTCTCTGTACTACTTATTCAGTATGTATATACATACACATAATAAAAAACACTTAAGATATGTTTTGCATTAAAAGACAATTATCTGTGGCTTGGGTGTCTTTTACAATATGAAGTCTACAAATGACATTAATGAAAAATAAAAGAGCATGCTATAAACGAAATTTTAAGGCAAACACTGTGAATAATTTTACTGTTACGGTCATTTATGAGAAATTAATCACATTGTTTCGAAGGGTGGTATCTGTAGGTACTATTGTTTCGTATTATTTAAATTTGCAACGCGCCGCTGCAATAAAACAGAATAAATGTAGTTCGATTAATACTATCAATTTAAATACTGTCTATAGTTTACGCGAGTAGTACACATTTAAATAAAACACTTAAACGGTTTAAAACGCGATATATTAGATAAACTCATTTGAATATGATTTTTAACTTCGGCCGACGTTTCGGATGCTTTGCAGCAGCCGTGGTCACGGGGAGACCACGGCTACTGCAAAGCGGATATTATATATATCTCGTTTTAAACCGTTAAAGTGTTTTATTTAAATACTATCAATTGAGCAAGAATTTCACCAAAAATGGTTTAGATGTTTACAGTCAACTAGAACGAAACTACGGCTTCAAATAAACTCATGCCTAAAGTTGTATATACGTCTGACTAATTCGCTTTGACCAAAAATAATCGATCGTCGTACACTACAGCCAAATTATCCTCAAAGAACATTTTGCTTTAAGTTTTATTTTATTACCTAGAATATTTTAGTGATCTTCAACATTTCGTCCACTACTACTCCTACATAAGGTCGCCATGGGCTTTAAGGAATTGTATCCCATCCAAATTTATATAATTCTGGTGTCCCTGATTAACCAAGAAACTTTTGAGTTTTATAGAACTAGTTTCAATAGATACCACCCTTCCGTTAAGCAACTCAAATGTGCAATTACCGAAAACAGGCGATGATGGATCTAGCTCCCTAACATCAGCTGCGAAGTCATCTTGAACGCTTTCAGCGCTTGCTGGGCCACTGCCGCCCTCTGAACGAGATATAACACCCCTCAATTTAATCATATCGATTCCCAATGATTCAATTTAAGTAACAGCTTTCTTAAGTTGGAACTAAACTGTACGTAAGTGTAATAACTTGGTGTTCGTCGTCTTTTAAACAGAATTATGGAGGTAACTGTACGTGTTGATTGCTTAGCAAAATAAAAACAGCGTGTCGTATGTGTTCATGAGTTGTGTTCAAATAAATGAAGTGAATCTCAAGCTGTTGTATCTTTATATATGTATATAAAATAAAACAACTTCAACGATATTAAACGTAACATCCACACAAGGGCAGATCAAGATATGACGCCAGGAGGCGGTTAAATTGTCGTGGTCAAATTATTTAATTTATTTAACAATATGTTTAATTAGTGGTCAGATTAAGTCCTAAGCCAGCTCAGGTCAGGTCATGACCAGGGGAGGGGGATGTCATGACCCCATGAACTCCTCCTCAACCTGGATCCGCCGTTGCATAAAAAATCCCGTGCAGGTTAAAACTACTAATTAGTAGTTTTCAATATGACATTTGTTGTGTAATATTATATCATATTTTTATCACGGCATAAGCTTATAATATTATTTTTTAGCAACGTTTAAAAGCGTTTTATTTTAATGATTAATTTGAAATTAACTTTTCATTACATGTGCGACCAAGAGAAATCTTAGCTATTAATTGTCTAACAAAATAAAAATATCAAATACCTCTATACTCCGAACAATGCGAGAGAGAAGACCCCGGCGGTGCACTATTAGCTTTGTTAAGAGCGTGTGTGTTGTGACGCACACATAAGTACAGAGCGCTAAGTAGTGGAACAGCGAGCGAGTCCGAAGTTTCCACTTGTACGGCAGATACGCAGATCAGCGAAAGTTTAGCACGAGCGTATTCTCCCAGGGTCATCCCGGCACTAGATTATTAACGGAATACAATAGTTTATATCAGTCATTGTATCAGTAGCTAGCTGTGTCAGCGACTTCTTCCGCGAAGAATATTTATTTTGGGCTTCAACTCTCAGCTTTATATATTAGTATAGACTCGGCGAGGAAAAAACTACCGTCTGTAGTATACGCGATTAGCATACATTTGAATAAACCTTTTGCGGTTTAAAACGTGTAATGGATTACATAACTTTTTTTTTTTTTTTGCATTCGAAACGGCAGGCCTAAATTAAGTAAAAAAAAAAGCGTTTTGAACCGTTATAAGTGTTTCATTAAAATAAGCTACCATTAAAATAACAATAGATATGTATTTACAGAAAAATTGCAAACGGATCTAACTCAACTGACAAAGCTTAGAAGTTATTACATAACATATTATGTAATTGTTAACATCGTTTTATTCTATGAGTTGCATAAATCGTGTTCAAAAGAATAAATAATACTCACTAATCATTGCATCCAGGAAACTCAGGAACTGGCAACCCTCTATAATGATAAGGGAAAGCAACCAGCGACAATAGAAGGCTGATAGCCGCCTTACGCAGTTCGCGTTTGTCTATGGAACCACATTCCAACTTCGGTTCGCGTTCGGATAAAATACGGTCTAGAGCTGTTATGAAATCTGGTACTAGAACTAGAACGCCATCTAGGTCCAATCTGCAAAAGTTATATACATTTTTAGTGGATAGCCTCTAGAGGAAGCGCTTCAAGAGATACACGATAACAACCTGTTACAGATACATAAATTTGTCAGAAGGGAGACAAAGGACTTTTAGGTAAATTTTAATATACGTTTTTTTTTGTGGCTAACCAGTACTTATTAGTTTGTTTATGTTACAAAGGAGGACCGATAGGAATGGGGATCCATCAATAAAAAGTGAAATACCCCAGCTATGTAACTTCCAAGAAAAATGCGCTGCCGACCTTTATTGGCTTTGGATATTTAGAAGTCTAGATTGAACCAGAAACGAGAATAAACATCACGGTTTTTTTATATGCAGATGGTGGTACGTGACCTGGACGGAATTTCAACAGACCTCTGATTTAAAATGAAGATTTTCCAGACGAAGTCCAACATATTTCATGAAAATAAATTAATCGAAGGCTAGAACCCACGTCCCGATAATAAGTAGATTATTACGATCATTAGACCAACGGTCCCGGTAGTTGAGTTTTTCATAACGAACATACCGAAATATATCAGCGGCATCTAACACAACAGCGGCCGCTGTGGCCGGGTCTCTAAGACCGCGCTGCAACGCTGCATAGGTACGTGCTAGGTATGGCGCCAGCACTTCTTCGCGACATTGCTTGGAGCAAATCACACGACAAAGAGTACCTAGTGCAACTGCGCGACCTGATGAAAAAGACATTACATTACTCAATGAGCCTGGAGATGACCAGGCATAATTTCAAGTTCGGTCGGTAAACTAATATATTTTTCGTTTTAAACCGTCAAACGTGTATAACTCACCAGCTTGATAACTGAGTGTGTTGATTTTAAAGGTAGCATCTGTCGGCGGCGGCGGTGTGCCTTCGCCCCTTTCTGAAATTAGAAAGTATTATATCGACTCTAAAAATAAAAATGAATAAAGTAAAAAATCAAGTATCTTAAGAACTTAAGTTGAAAACTGCTTCTAAAAATACCTACGTTGGTTATTAGTCGGGTTGGTCCCTATCAACGCGGCTTCGAAAAGCCATTCCCCAAACAGGTGTAGTATCGAGTTGACTTTGGGACGAAGTGGTGTTAAAGGCGGTTTCTCCGTCTCTCCAACTGAATATTAAAAATTACAAATCCAAGAACTTCTTTACAATAATTAGTAAAACTACATTTACAATAAAACCATTATTAGAGTTTAGTACAACTTTACTAATTTAAATATTTATATATAATTATTTATTTATTTATTTATACTTTTTACACAACACACGCACACAATTACAATGAACTAAAAATAATAATAATATCTATAAAGTATGGAGTGCAACGGGTGACCTTATCGCTATTAAGCGATGTCTTCCAGGCGACCCCTCTTACGAAAATAATGTAAAACAACTTAATAATTTATTTTGTAATTGAGAAGTAAATTGTTATAATACCAAGTTATTATAATTTAAATTATGATACTTACTATGTGTATATTTAAGAGTGAAATATCTACCGACCAAATAATATAGTTTTCCCCGGTTTTGAACAAAGGCCTTCTCTCGCTAAACGCTATGTATTGCCTAAGAAGGCGATAAAAACGTACCTTGAGATGTTATTGAATTAGGTGGAGTGGTTGGGACCACACTAGCCGGTCGACTGCTGCTCAAGCCAATAAGTGATGACCGCGGTGCACCTATTCATAATTCATATTATTATTAACTTGAGCACAGATTTCAGGATAATATTTCCTTGTTATGCGTCAGTTATAAAATATTGGTGGCAAGCATTCAAACTACTTGTGCAAGTGTGATCTAAGTTCTACCAAGCAAGTGCTTAACAAACCGCTAATCTACTAAAATACAGGCACAGTCATGGATCAAATAGCTTACCTTTTAATTTATTATATAGCTTCTATGCTAACGTATTGTATATAATTATACCATATTAAATAAATAGATCGTAGCTTTGATTACTAGCATCTAATAAAAGAGCTAATGATTCTTCAGTCTGTACAGACGGAATATGCTATTTGTATGTTTTTAGCAGATATTACGTGTAAATGTTTGCAAATATATATACTTATAATTTGGCTATACAAAATGTATCAAAAATTACATACAAAGATATTTAATTCGTATGCCAAAGACCACTTCAAAGCAGTCAAAGCAGCGTCATTTTAAAGTCTTACGAGACGATATTGACTGATAAAGCCGTACTTTTCTCGGGTATCTTCTCCCGTGGTCGTGACGTGCTGAACGACTTGGCGAGCCTTCGATGCGTAGGAGGAGTCAGTTCTTCCTCCTCCTTTTCGTCAGTGAGCCCCGCCTGGGCACTACCGAGCCCCGCCCAGCAGCGCTCCTGTCCTCGCCCTGCGCACTCATCCTCTATAGTCTATACAAAACCTAACCCGTAGAACCTACTTTTCTATGATGAACAGACAGATGTACTCGTGGATTTTCATTAAAACCATATCCTTATAAGATGACGTCTGGCCAAAAATTTTCCTTTGCATCGTCTTGTATAAGATTAACCATTATTAAAAGACCCGAGGAATTTATATACAACAAGGGACATAGTTATAATTATTATGTACAATTAGGGTCCCAGCGACCCAGAAGCCGCCGCCACCGGCACATTCATACAATTTATTCATATCGTCTGCAGCTTATACAAAATGTATGAAAGAGTGACTAAGGCCGGTAACCCTGTTCTGCCACACTCATAAGTTATTAGTTAATTAAAGAAAATAGTTTAAGAAACACACCAACGAAAAACTTTACATATGTTTTTCCCATCACGATAACACCCCATTTTTAATAACATTCAGAATTTCATAGAACATACAATAAACCAAAAATATTAGTCATGTTACACCCAAATTGTTATAAGTATAGCATGCAACACAAACACCAAAGTTTCCTATAATCAAAATAATCCCTTAAGTGGAAGTTATGTGTAATTACAAATATTTATAAACTTAACGTGATCTGATACTGCATTGATAATAATTACATAATATTTAAATGATATTTTTGTCTTCCAATAATTATTATAAAAACATATGTCATAAATATTGAGGAAGTTCTTCATTAACAGAACCTTTCTTACTATTTATTAAAGTTAAAACACTGAGAATAATATCTTAAGAAAATATAAATCATGTTACCAAGAAATGCGTCCACATGGGCTGCAAGTCCCAACATGGCTCGGTGGAAGATAGACGGCAAGGCGCTAAGCCACGGGTGTTGGTTGCTCCCTTCTTCCCATCGCATTGAGTACTGAACACATAATGAAAATATTAATGAATAATTAATGCTAGTCCTATTTATATGAGGTGGCCTGCGGCTTTGAAGGTGGCTGGTGGCTGGAATAGAAAGACGTTTTTTCGGAAACAACACAGGACATTTACAAACATAATATAAAAAAAAATATAAATGAAATATTACTTTACTAAGTACATGTAAAATAATAAAAAAATAAAATAGTTGCCTCCGAAAAGGAATCCACTCAACTACACTGATATTTTGTGGCCCCTTCCGAGACCAAGCTAACACGAGCGAGATAATTTCACATTCTATCAATTAATTACTTTATACACAAACACTTAACAACAAGAAGTCTTGTTTATTTAACTTAAAAAAATGTGTTTGTGTAATGGACGGCGTCAACGCTATAAGCAATGTTTATCAAAAATTCACTTATTTATTGCCATTGCGTATGTTATTTGTCAAATATACTTATCTAATAATAATACCTGCAGAAGGTGCGGCGTATGCGCAATGAGGTGCGGGTGACACAAGTCCACGGGATTGCCTATTGTGTGCAGCACGCGATACCAACTCTGCATTACACTCTCTGCGCTCATATCAGCCGGAACTAAATTGGCGTCTTCATCGCCTAGACAAAATGTGAAGGTCAGTATAAAAGAGTGGTTAAGACAGCTTTAAAAAATACAGTAAAATTTTTACGTGTCTTGGACAAATTATAGTTGACTTCTATCATTTGTGTATCATTTCAACATTTAACGGGCTCTGGTCTAATGGTAGCAATGGTAAAAATTATTAGCTAAAATCAACGTGTTTTGGGTTCGACCCCCACCGAATTCACATGTTTCTAATCTTTCAATTTATAATTTTAGTCTGGAAATCTGGATATTAAATGTGTGGTAGAAATATTCATATTCAGCCTGTGAATTCAACAGCACATCTTGTCTCTATCATTAAAAAATAAGCAAATGTGAGCTAAATAATAAAGACATGTGTGAATAAATTTAAACATACTTATAGGCATAGCGGGGAATAGTGGTCCATACATGTGCTTAAGGAGTCTCGCTGTAAGACATAAAGACACCCGTGTCCATGTCTCTGTGAGTGGGGCCCGATGACGCCAACTTATACAGTGTTCGCGTAATGTACGCCAAAGCGGTGGTGATGGGAAACATCTGAAATAACATTCGGCACTACACGAGAAAGCTCTTCTTATATGCTCTAATTAATGTTACAAAGTGCATAATATGTTCTCACATAAGTATGTATGTGTATATGACATAAGTATATGTATATGTGTTATATATGTAGTAATAAAATATCAATATATTTATAGAAAATAGAAATGATTATATTCAGCGTACGAGCTGTGTCAGCGACTTCGTCCGCGTAGAAACGTTATTTCGGACATCCAAATTTGTTTTTGCAACCGTCTTTATCTTTATAAATGTAAGCTATTATCTACGACGTCGGTCGCGTTCCATTGTTCCTGCAAGTTAATGTTAAAAAATAGGAGGACTGGAAAGAATGTTTAATGATATTTTTAGGTTCATTGAATCGTTTTCGCAGCGTACGTACTGGAAACACACAGAGATGACATATGTTCACCGTTTTTTAACACTTCCCACTGTTTCTTCATTCCATTAGTCATATCGCGATGTTTTACAGCCTATAACTTATCTTACCTAATTTACCTCGATAAATGCTCTCACCAAAACAAAATAATTTTTCAATTTGAACCAGTAGTTCCTGAGATTAGCGCGTTCAAACAAACAAACTCTTCAGCCTTATATATTGTATAGATTATATCTTATAAATACCTGTGACATGCCAATATCCATACTTCAAACAAAACACACAGCACTCTTTCGCACAATTGCTCAGCTGCTCCATGTACTGGTGCTGGAGGTGCCAATAAGGCTGACGCCGCAGCCAATAGAAGGAGTAGTAAAGCCTTCCATTCACGAGAACCCAAAGAAGCACTGTCAGCGAGGGAACGCGCAAGGCGAAGCACGCGATGACAAAGAACAGCTTGTTTACTTATTAAGTCTGCACCTGGGTTCAAATTATAAATGATTAATTAACAAACTGTATTAAGGGTGTTCAAAATATATTTGTATTTACTGAAACTGCTACTTTTAGTGCCAGCACTTACTACAATCCATTTGATAAATAAATGCGAGAGCTTGAAACAACACAATAAAATTATTTATATCATCTTGTGCATATATTTTTAAGACATACTCAATGCTTATTTCACCTTATATAATTAAAAATACATACTCTCATTGTGCCGTGGAACAAATAAGTTGTGTAGGTGGCTTAGTATCTTGGTAGCATATTTTTCTGGAGAAGCAGCCAGTGGTGCTGGCACAGCAGGCGGTGGTGGTTGAGCTGGAGCCGCAGGAGGTAAGAGAGCAGATAACCAAGAACAGCAAACACGTACGCAGTCTCTAACAGCTTCATGTTCTGACAGTGGTAATGATAACCCGTACCGAATGACTTCCAGTACCCATTCTACCTACAAATAATGTGAACAATTTTATAAAACTGTTGTTTTAGCTAAAAGTGTATTTCTCAGAGACCAATAGGTAATTTTTTTTTAATTTAGCAGAGTTCATTCTATTAATAATTTTGCCATTATACCAGTTCCACTTTTATTTGGTATTAAATAATTTTTGCTCACTCAAGGTTCTTTATTTGTTCTCAACAAACTCTCAGGGATGAAGTAGTGAAATATAAAAGTTCCAATAATAATGAATTTCTTAACACTATTTGCATTAAAATATCTTTTTACCTCTGAGTCAGTATTAAGTGGACTAGGTTGATGTGAGGCCAACTGCCTCACGACAGCCAAGACTACATCACGACCTCCCACAGCTCCCAAGACCCCACAACCGCCTCCCTCCAACGGCAATGAACTCCACTCTGAGTACATGCCGTCACTCTTCTTATTCTGTAATATTTTTTTATCTAAACATTCTCAATTCTCACTTAAATATATTAGAAAGTAGAATCGTAATTGAAGCCGACTTACCTTACTATTGACTCTGTTAAAAATTCCCACATTCATTAAATCTAACGCCACCAAACGGTAAATTAATAATGATGATAGTTTTTAATTGGTAAGCAACTCTCGTAGGAAATCCAACACCAAAACAATAATATATTTTGTAATTTGTATTGCACTTGTATTTTTTGATTGGCAATATGAAACGTTATTAATATAATTGACAGCTGTCCACGTCAATAGTCGCAGTCTTTTTCACAATACATACACATCTGTGGTTTGACGAATACGATATTAACTGTAATATCATGAAATTAATGTGTTCTATTTATTTACGAAGTCGTTACAGAAAAAAAATACAGGCTTCTAAGATTCATAGCCATACGACGACATAAATTTAAAGCCATCAAAATGAAAATTCTAAAGCAAAGACATCGATGTTCTGCTATACGGTGTCCATTTCAACATGCTTATCCGATGGCTAAGTTTTAGTTCTAGAATATACGAATTTCTTTGCTAAATAGATTACGCACTACACAGGGTAGCCTAACATGGGTAGGAGACCATGTTTCGGGATTGTACGGTCATCATCAGTATCAAACATAGATATGCTTTAAAAGAAAACACTTAAAGCTTTCAATATTTATTTAGTTTATAAAAATCTTAAAAAAAACAGCGATTAACACACACATTATTGCGTTGTCAGTAGACTAGAAACTATTCAATAGTTTAGTTTAATTTCACAATACTAAATACTTTTTACAAATACAAACAGTAAACACAAAATACAAGAAATAATAGAAACAGAATATTAGTTGCTTTATGCAATGATTAAAGTCAATTTGCTTTAAAAATACTAATATTTTTTGGATACAAATTACAATATCACTATTCTAAGTGAAGCACCATATCACATATTAGACTAAGACTTTTTCTGATGGCATTATTTTAAATTGTTATAATATTATATAATTAAGAATTCAAGTGAGAAAATAAATTCAGTCAAGTATCAATAGCTGAAAATAAGAAAATTTTCATCAATTTAATTAAGTATGCAGTATAAGTTTGTTATGGCAGATCCTGGAAGCTATTTCAAATAATAACATATTAATCATCTCCTTGTCCACCAGTGCTTTTACTTATTTCTTTATACTTTTGCTGCCACATAGCAGCCTGATCTTCAAGTTCCTTTATCCTTATCTTTTGTTCGTCTAGTAATATCTCACTTAATTCTAATTTCTGTTTCAACTCAGCCATATCTTCAGATTCTTGAACAGTATTTGCTAATACTGTAGTTTTTGCCATTTGAACTGTGTCTTCAGCTTTTTTGATGATTTCTTGAGCCTTCACCTCAAGTTCGTGCTGTATAATAATCATAGTCACAAGCCTTCTTATGACAAATGCAAGAAATATTGCGAAACCAGTAATGTAAAAATTCCTCTGTGCTCGAAATAATTTCACATTACCCTTCATTTCACTCGTTAAATGCACATGGTCAGAGTTAGAGTATTTTCGCATTTCCCTAATAGCATCCATAAGAAATAATGACAGTACTCCTAAAAGCACATAGAAATAAACACCAACTTGTTGTTGAAACATAGAAAACAATCTGGAGCAAAAGAATGTGTGCCATTTTCTTGGACTAAATATTGGTAACATCATTATTATAACAATCGCTATCTCAAAATAGAGAAAGCCAGCAATAAATGTCCACTGAATCGACATTTTAAAAATCTAGTCTTTTAGCAGTTGGTTGTCGTCCCGAAAAAAGCAACTATTACTCGCGGAGGTCAACAGCTTTGTTATCTTATTTTGAGGAGACCGTCCAAATGTGCAATATAACATCAGTCAAAATCGGTGAGCTTTTAAGCCGAAAAATGCATTTACAGTGAGATCAGTTTTACTATTGGGGTAGTAACCGAAAAATTATTACAAATTGAAAATAAATAAATTATTAGGTATTTGTTTAAAACACAATTCGTAATTATAAACTATCTTCAATAATTTAACCACATTTAACAACAAATTCAAAAATAAAAACAATTGTCACAGAATCATCGAAATTCATGATTCGGTAAACGAAGTTCACAGATGTACGAATACAACTTACAAGCAAGAAGCTGCCGCTTTATGCTTGTTGACATCTACAACAGACTAAATATTTTATATTTAGGGTCAACTGTCCATAATTAAGATCAATATATACAGTCAAACTGACGTTTGCGACATACGGTACTTCTCATTTTACGAAAGCACTGAGATTTTGTTAATATAGATTTCTGTATTTTCCACATGAAAACAGTCATATGTTTTACAATTACAATAGTTGATTATGAATAACATAGAACTCGATATCTGGAGAGGAGAATGGGGCCTTGCCTCGATAGATTTGGAATGCCTTAAAGTTTTAGTAAGTTTTAGCTTAACCTTGCAGTTTTTCAATACCGGTAAATAACATAATATTATTTTTTAGACTTATATGAAATTTATTGGAGTGCCAGTACGCGTTCGAGAAGTCAGCAACCCCTTTTTTACTCCGAAAGGAACACTCCCTGTCCTACGTGATGGTAGAAAGGCTCTTACGAATTTTGAAGAAGTTGTAGAATATTTGAAATCTTTAGTAAGTAAAAACTTAAAGTTATATAAGTTTTTGCGTAATAATAATTAGATTCAAAAAATAAATTTAATTACTTCTACAATTTTTTTTCAGCATTATAGCACAGATGTTCATTTGAATACAAAGCAGGCAGCTGAAGCCAGTGCATTTACTCAACACATTAGAGAGAAATTATATCCTGCATATCAATATGCCTGGTGGGTTGATGAAAAAAATTATGCAGATCTCACTAGGCCAGCCTATGCTAGGGCTCTGCAAATACCATTCAATTTTTATTATCCATCAAAATATCAAAGTGCAGCTAAAGAAATGATTGATGCTTTATATGGAGAGCACACAGATTTGAAGGAAATAGAAAAAACGGTGAGTCAGATATAGTGCTATAAAATCCTGTTGGATGCCTTGATTGATATTGATAAAGTTTTAATAGTTCATTCAATATTGTAGATATACAGCGAAGCAGAAAAATGCCTTAAAACACTATCAGATCGACTTGGTGAAAGTGAATATTTCTTTGGCAACCGTCCATCATCATTCGATGCAACTGTCTTTGCATATCTAGTTCCACTCTATAAAGCACCTTTTCCAAATGCCACATTGGCTAACCATGTGAAAGGAATTGCTAATCTTACTCGATTTGTGGCTAGGATCAATCAGAAAAATTTTAGGCATGTTACTGATGGTAAGGCTTTAAATGAATTCTCTAAATAGAATTTCATAGTTAATTTAAGCTGTTTAAAGTTTAAAATTAAATATAGTGTTGCCGTTAAGTCATTGGCATTATTATTGCAAAAAATTGATAAAAAACACATACTAACTATTTAATTTTTCTTTTTATATAGAATATAACAAACAAAATGCTAAAAAGCAGTCAACAGGTACACAGTCGGATAGAGAAACTGCCAATTTTCCAAACCAGACCCGGAATAAAATACTTGCAACTATATTTGCTGCTATTGCAATGACTGGCTATGCTGTTGCTAATGGCATGTTTCAGGTAATTTCATTTATAATATATTTTAATGAAAAATGTAGTACTAATTGGGTTTACATCGTTTATTTTTCATATTTCATAACAATTAGTGTCCTTCACACCCTACCGAATTGAAACATCACAGATTATTTTATACTCCCTTTCTAGTGTATTTAATTGTTTTTTTGTTTATTTAATCTCCTGTTTTCATTAATTGCCTACTATTAAGTTGTAATCTTTTCATTCTCATTTCTCTGTTCAGGAGTTAAAAGAGTTTGAGCACTCACAAGATTACACCGACATGTTTGAGAATGAAGAGGACGACAACTGACATGATTACCCCATTCCTATGGAACTCCTATGGAACGCAAAATCCAAACTATGTTTTATTTTTGGCAAGCTAAATGTGCATGTTAACAGTAATGCAGTTATTATGTCAATCTACAATTTACTTTTCTTTATTTTCCATATTTTATGTGGCAAATAATATTTTATGACAAAATTGTAAATTTAAATTCTATGTTCAATGTAAGTAGATCTATAAAATGTTATGTCATTTTATTATACAAAATAATAATGTTTAAAGAGCAGGTTATATAACCATTTATTGTGCAAGTTTGTAAACACTGCCATTATTCAAGATGTGTGTGTCCTCGATTAACACACAAAGACTGTATAATTTGGATTTACTGTAATACATAATGGTATTTTTGTGTTGATGACTATATTTTTGCACTAATACAAAAGTAGCAATAAATAAATGCCTTAATAGCCCTACATAGACGTGATATGGAAAGTTTATTAAAAATATTGTAATCGTGTGTTTCGTTGGTGGTCATGAAATTGTGATGTTTCCTACTAGTGCTTTGATTAGGTGTAGTTTGTTAGCTTTTTGTTTGTCTGAGAAGGAGCTAGTTATTTTTAACTTATTGGATGAAATAAACGTATTGGTTGTTGAATTGTTTTCTTTTATAATCTTAGGTTTTATGGTCTTTAAAGTTTAGAACATCTATTTATTTATCATAAAAAATTCTATGAAATGACAGGTTCCTACGTGTAGTCCCACGGGTTCCGCCCAATTCAACACTGATCTTGAAAATTAACATAGAAATGTTAAAATAAAAATTATTTATATCAAATGTAAAAGTACTTGTTTACAGTTGAAAAGATACGTATGTATGATTTCAGCGGTGGGCTACATGGAGCTGGCAGAAGACTGTATCGCTCAACCGATTTCGAATAGCTAAAAAACACTTTGAGAAGTTCAAGAAACTCAATACTGCTCGGAGAGCTGAATCTCAATAGAATTAATTTTGATAGCGTTAAAATATGTATAGACTACAATTTAATAAATTAAGCTGTCAATATGTATGAAGAGACACGCATAGACCAAGAATTAAATTACATTCATCATCTGCCATAAAAAATTCGAATGCTTAACACTTCAAATCATTTGGTTTGAGTTTTGTTGTCTTAAAAATAAATATTATATGTAAATTATGATCTCAATATTGGCTAGATTTGTAAATAAAATTTTCTAGTTGTTAGTATAATAGAGTTATATAGTATATATAAAAGTGTTAAACGTGAAATCAAACAACACTGGCATTTAGTTTCATTTATTAGAACATTTTGCGTTGTCGCCAACAATTAGAACATAATAACAAAACTGTTCATTAAAATTGTAAAGGTTGTGTACTATAAGTATTTACAGTGCAGCCAATACCCCGGTAATTAACTTTTGTAAAAAAGATAGCAACCAATGGCGGATTCAGCTTACGCTCCGGGTGGAGCGTCAATTTCAGTTGAATCTACAGAGCTATACAAAATTCCGGCCAAATATCTACTTATGATTATTTCTATCAGTAACTCTTTTAGTTGTGACGGACCAGGGGCCAGTCTCCTGGATCCACCCTTGGTTGCACAATGTTTCTTATAATAATTAAATCAAACTTTATCAATTTATTATAAATGAATGGCACTTTTAACTGTAGCTACTAATAAGCTATCACGGATAACAATTCGTAAATAAAATAGAGACAAAAAGTTACAATTCAAATTTGTAACGCCATATTAACTTCTACCTAGTATATATTATTGAAATAGATATTTTTACATGAATCAATATTTCTTATAATCTATAATTGTTTCAAGAAGTTTTCATTTGGTCAAAGCGGTGTATGAAGTATTATAATAATTATTTTAAAAAGCTGCCATGATTACAACAAATCCGCTTTTAATGTTTTATATAGAAAGAAATTCTAAATCAAATAATATCATTTACATCAATAATTTGAGTTTAATTACAGGATTTTGAATAAGTGCCAAATAAGTGGATTTAGTTTATCTGCAAGCAATACAAAATAATGATTTATTACTGAATATGTAAACAAATCTTTTAATCTTACATAATTTTTCTATAACAAATTGTATTGGTAACAATATTTATTAATATCTACATTTCACAATCATCTTACAGACACAATTAAATTACTACTAAAGTAATCTATACAAAAATATTTAGAATGTCGTAACATTTATTAATACAACATCATTTCCAGATTTTCTGGACGATTTTAAATCTAACAATATAAGAATAAAACATTTATGCCAATTCGTATGTAAGATCTTTACAATATTTAAAATTCGTGTATTCGCAACTTTCAAGTCTGGGCAACGTTCTCAGTAATTTGAAACAAATATGACGATGAACTAATTGGGCTACAGCAAATACAATATTAATTACACATTATCATCAAAACAAAATACAATCCTTAAATTACTTATGACTTATGTTGCGTAAATCATAACTACTTTGCTCAAATTCTTTGTTTTTAGGTTAGTCTAATTTGAACACTACATATAATATAGTATAAATTAATTCTATAATTTCAATGTCTGTACACATAAATAATAAATTTAGGTTAAATTTAAATGGACAGCGGTTGCAGTCAAAGCTTATCACTATTAATATTGTATGTTTTCAATACCAAATACTAAAGAAGAAGAAATATAAAATATGCAATTAAATAATGTAATAATTACATTGCTATTAGCGATTCTGTACAATAATATTATATTGTTACTCCTAACGGCTTTGTTTCGTTAAAATTATGAATAAAATATTACAGTAAATGTAAATTCTTATTTTCTTAATAAACCGTGTTAAGTTCGTTTCATTAAATAAAATGTGGGACATTGATTTAATGAAACGACCCGCGGACCCACCAGCGTCCCTAGCGCCCTTTAACCATAACCGGCACTAAAATAGTGGTGACAATCGAGTGCCTACAGCAAACTTGCTCTGAGTCACTGGTGTTATGATCTGATGCCTATTTTTAGTCATTGGTTGTAATTTCATCCCACCTAAGATTCCAACCCGGGAATGCATTGATCACTGGATCAATGAGCCAGGTAGAGTTAAACATAATTTTATGTATTTATTTAAAAAATATACTATAATTGTTAATCAATAAACGTAATACATTTTTCATGTATATACTAAATATTAAGGAATAAAATAATGTTACAATATAACACACATAGAATACTTTAACAAACCTGTGATCTTCATACTTATATGAAAATAGTGGGAGACTGAAGATCCACTTAGTCCGGAGCGTTCAAGAGACTCTGCGAGTCCAAGAGTTCCGTAGCGTCAATGAGGCTGACTTGCATGGCGTCCAAATTCCTCGTCACATTGTCAGCTGTCTTCAGGCTGAACGGGTAAAAGCGCGTAAGTGCCGGCGTATTCGTAGCAGCGGGCGCTGATTCGCAGTCGTCGCCGTTTCTATCGTTCATTATTGATAGAGAGGACAGCCGAGCGTTGAGTTTTTGTATCTGTAAAAATTTAAGGGAAATCTTGATTGTTATAAGGTACTTGTATATCGAATGACCCAGCTGCAAGTTTAAAATTGTTTTACGTTCAATACGAAATTCTTCAAATAATCATGTCAGTATATACGTACGTGTATATTAATATATGTATTTACTAATTATAAATTTTATTTATTTTAGTGTATTATTATATTGAAAATATTGTGTGTTGTATAATATTTAATAACATATGTAATATTTACTAAATAATAAGAAACTTAAAAAAACATATATTTTTTATATTTAGCTTTACCTAACTCTATTCTTTGATATTCTCACCAAATTTTAATTATGAAACATCTTTTAAAAATAGTCTGCGTATGTAGTTCAAGACTTTTCTTTTTTGTGACTGTTAGTAGTATTATTTCCTTCTTTTGTAATTGCCTGGAAGAGAATTCTATTAGCGACAAGATTGACTTTCATTGTTAAGCCTAATTTGCAATTAAATAATTTAATATTCGTTACCTGTGTCCTGAGAGCACAGTTGTAAAGATAATACTGGACTTTTCCCGCGCCGGGCGCATCTAAGGGAGGCAACCACCTCTCGTAACACTGTGACCACAGTTCTATGGCAGCTATATTTGTACACGGCTCTAGTCGACCGCTCTCGTTGGTCACGTTTACTGACCGTCGACTGCATACAGACGCCATAGCTGTAAGACCATGAACACTTTCAAATAAACATTCTCTTAATCTAATACACTTAATTAATGTTTAGAGCTTAGACCCACCACGCTGCCTCAGTGCGAGTAAGTAAGTGGGCTTTTACGATTATTACCACTAAATTAGTAATAATATCTGGGACCCAGAGTAAACTTGTTGCTTAACACTGCTACCAGAGGCGCCTAATTTCAAAACTACTACAAGAAAATCGGCCCGTAGTTAAAACTAAATTTACGTATATTTCGTGTTTTATACCGTTAAAATTAATTTATAAATATGTTCTTATTTCTAACTCACCTAGATGGAAAATGGCTATATTTATTTTTATTTTTCATTGATAGGACAATAATTATTGTCTTGTCATAACTATAAAACCACTTACATAGTCTTTGCGATGGTGCCATAGATCTGTGTCCAACGTACAGCGGATTGTAAAACAGGGCTATGTCTTGTTCGCTGAACTGCTCACCCCAATCCCAGATTGGCCTCTGGACGAAGTTCTATTAACCAGTTAAATATCATTGAAGTTAGCTAATATACTTCGGTTTATATCATTAAAAGTGTTGTATTTATTGTGTAGTATTCGCGTAAATTTTACAGAAATCATGTTTTCCCTTGTGGGGCACAGAGCATACAAGTGTCAGTGTCCGTTGCACTTAACGATTTTTTTGACTCCTGTGCCCTGCCCGGCCGAATTTCAATAAAATCTGACACTTGATAAAATACACCAGGCCTGTAACATCTTATTAAGATGCGCTGTCGACCGTTTTAGACGTTTTAAAAGAATAAAGGCCCAATTTTGTCGCTTGAGGTATACTATACTAATATATAAAGCTGAAGAGTTTGTTTGTTTGAACGCGCTAATCTCAGGAACTACAATTTCGAATTGAAAATGTTTCTTTTGTTAGTTAAAGCATTTATCGAGGAGGCTACAAACATCGCCCTGTGACTATTAAAAGCGGAGATACAGCGAGATATGTGAAGGAAATTCGGTAAATTATTCATCATTATGGGTATCCGAGGCGTACGCTGCAAAAGGTTCAAGATACCCAAAAAATGTGTATGAGAGAAAGATTCCTCTTTAAAGGATCTAAAAAAAGACGCTAAGCTATATCTCTATCTCTTAAGATTATCTTGCATGAACGACGGGAAGGGTCGCGACCGATATCGTGGGTAAAACCAAATTTGGATGCCCGAAATAACTCTTCTACGCGAACGAAGTCGCTGCCTCAGCTAGTACATAATATAAAGGATCTGCATCCATGTCACAGTGTGAGCTAAATCTAAAATAAATACCTTCATAACAGCAAGATCTCTATCTCTGGGGCAGTTGAACAAAAACGTGTCGAAGAGATGATTGTGCGCAACATCCCAGAGCGTGGTTAGATAGGTCTTCTACGTGAACTGGAAGGCGCTGCCTCAGCTAGTACATAATATAAAGGACTGCATCCATTCAATTGACTAAATCTAAAATAAACTGCAGATCTCTATTGCAGTTGACCGTAAGGGAAGATTGTGCGCAACATCCCCCAGCGTGGAGAGGTTCTTGACTGGAGGCGGCCGGGAACTGCGACTGCAGCTGCCAGACGCAGTCCAGGAAAAGGAGGAACACTGGCGCCACTTGAGAGGGAGGAGCCTTTTCCACTTCGTCCTTACTACTACCCGGTCTGGGAAGTCCGAATCTGGAAGGAATTATTTTGTGGTCATGGTACTGGCATGGTACATGTGGTTATTTTGAAAGACAGCAGCGTTTTTTAATAAGACACATTTAACTGTTTAAAACGCAAGTGACCAGGCCTGTAGTTAAAATAAAATAACTGATATATTTCGAGGTTTATATCGTTAAAACTGTTTTATTTTAATTAAACTGACCTATCGCAGAAAGGATGTCCGAGTGCCAACCACTCTTTCTGGATCAAAGACTGGAACCCAGATATCGTCCGGAAATATGGATCAAGTAGCAACTGCGTCACACATGAGACTACAGCACAATAGTCCACGCCATCACCTGAAAGAGACAATTATATTATTTATGATTAAAACGAAACTCCGTCCTACATGCCGCATTGTTCTTTCTGTCTTTGTTTATTTCACCGATCGATTGTAATGTAAGGTCAGTAGATAATCAACTTTATGTAATCTGTCCAACAGAGTGTAGGTGTTCGCCAGAATTCGAACTTAAGACAGTTTAACAATATTTTTTTTAATTTTTGCCTCTCCACGATTAGTACTTTATTTGAGTTTATTAATGGGTTATCTAAAACCCCCCTAGGGATTAATCTAAAAAAAACAAAAACCGGTTTCCCTACGTGGGCTACATTTCTCTGTCAGTTCAGTGGCAGTTCTTCTATGGACTGTCTATATCTTATATTTACCCGGAGATTTGAGTAGTACTGAAATTGCTTCCTATCTTTTATGTAAAATAAATTTGTACACGAAAAGAAGCAAGTAACATTTAGGTGATAAAATATTAAGAAAAACCATACTTTACTTTGTATTTTTTGATTCTACATTGGCAAAGTTAGATATAAACTCACCTTCCTGTAACACTACGGTGACATTATCAGTTATATGCCGGGCTGCGTCATCAGCAAACACGATACAATTGCAAACATACCGCAACCATCGGCTTGATTCTAGGATCGAATAATATTGAGAGTCCTGCATCTGAAAATATAACAAAAATATTAATAACCTCTTTTGAGAGAGTGACGAGAGAGGGAATATAAATACAACCGACACATGACGACACAGATGGGAATTTTATAAGATCAAGTTTCCTCAGGTCCAAACGGCTCAATTGATTTTAATAACATATTGAACAATTGTAACTCATACCTTTAAGCACGATATCCTTCATTTTGATCGTAAAAGATTTAAAATACTGTAGTATAGTAAATAGGCAGGAATTATAAAATTAAACATTAATATTTCATTGGACTGACCTATGATATAATATCGCCGGAGTAAAACTTTTTATGTTATTTATATATCTTTATACTGTCTAAGAATATGTGTATAAGAAATCTTACCCAGAACTGAGACAAAGTGTTCGGTGTGCACAAGTCTGCTAGTTTCTTGTAAGAAGCGTTGAGTAACGCAAGTGATGGTAGTACATTTGTACTACTACTATTCGTATAACTGTTACCACATAGGTATATTACATACGGAGGTGTTAATTTTGGATGCGAACGGCGAACCTGAAATATAGACGAATTAGGATAGATATGAATGAATGTCGTGTTAATTTGACTATTCAACTCAAAAACTGAAACGATTTGGATGTGGGTAGTTTAATGCCTGGAAAAGGCGTATGTTATTTTATCTCATTTGAAGCCGCATAAGCTTATGCCTATCGTAAGTATGGTCTAAATCAATAATTTTCTCTTTTAAATATAATTATTACAATGAAAACATAAACAACATATAATAATTAAAATACTTGATTTTTATTTGTATTGTCCTATAAGAAGTTTAGTTAATTTGTCTTTAGAATTACCTAACATTTCTTTCACCATTATTACTTGAATAGCTCGAGATTTTCAACTCAATATCAAAAGAATCTCTATCTAAAATCTATTAAGTATGGATTTAATTTCACTTTAATTTGTCTTTAGTTCTCATTGCCCAAAAATGGATATTATAGATCCAGCATAATTATAATAATTATAGTAGAAAAGTCTGCTATTAGGCACACTTGCTTAAAATCAAATTAATAAATTTATGAAAGACATATTTATACATGACAAGAATCAGATTACACACCTGTTCCAGGAGAACACTTTCTGCAGTTGCCGATAACTCCGTAGGCAGGAGCTCACCGCTTCTTAACAACGCAGCACCTTCAGCTCTCCCCCAAACCCAAACAGGCACTCGACCAGATCTAAAATGTCTAGCGCTCTCCATCAAGTTATAATCCAAAACCGATTTCGGCACAATCAGCGTCTCTCCAGCGGTCAACATGAACGCATCGGATGTTCCGTTAATACAGGTTATCCTCCAGTGCGGACACTCGCATCGCTCCAGCTCTCTCTTCCAATCAGCAGGTCGGAGAAACATATTCATATCTGAAGGTAGAGTCGGATAGTACTGCTCCCTGTATTCAAAAGCAAATAATAAGTCGTGGCGTTTGGGAAATGCGTGATGGAGCAACGCCATCACGACCTGGCGACCAGTGCCGAGCGGTGAGTTCACAAAGTTGAATGACAGCACCTTCATATTCTGAAACAAAGAAATATGGATAAAGATTTTGTACAAAACCAGGTCCTTGTCTTAAATGTGTTATTAGGTATGATGTTTATACACCTTGTCTTCTTTCCTCAAAAACTAAATGATATTTCGGAGATAAGATGAACCCAACTATCTTACATTAACGGAAGCAACTTTAAGTTAAGGTAATAAAATCTAAAGCCGAAGTAAAGTTATTTTTGGCTTTTGACATTGGATTAAAGATCATAGGTTTTCACCTGCAGTCTGTGGTTTTGAATTCCGAAATTCTTATCATTTCCATTTAATATTCAGATTTTCCAGATAGGACAAATATGTTATGTAAATTATATCGTCAGACGGTTGTGCCGTTTTTATTTTACCCAAATACATTCAGTTATAACATTTTCCTTACAACCTTAACAATTGTTATAAAAAATACATCTATGTATTTTAAAAATCGAAAATAAATTGAAAAAATTTTCGACTCGGGCAGGACTTGAACCGGCATCGTCAGCTTTCCGTGCTGTTGCTCTACCAATTGAGCTACCGAGTCCTACACCTCATCGTCGAATTTTTTCAACTTATTGATACATGCACCTCTCGCGCAGTGTAATTTCAACCTTAACACTTGTATCACTTACATCTATGTATTTATTATATATTTGTATTCATCAATGTCAATGTTTTAAGACCAATGTTTAATATCTGAGCTGTACCTTACAGACAAGCTGGATTCCTTTAAGCTTAGCGGGGATATCGGTCCTGGGCATAAGTCTTCTCCGTCGGGTCGTACCTCCATCGGTGAGCCATAGCGCACCCACACAAGTAAGGGGCACATCAAATACGCCTAGCAAGTTATTTCGCTGGCCGTATTCCTGGAATACAATGAGTTTATGTATTAAGAAAATAAAAGCGATTAAGACGTCAATCATACGCTACGTACGTTGTATACTGCTTATTGTAATGCTAAAGTTAGAGCTAAAGTTTAAACAAATCGTTTTTGATAAGAATTTAATACTTACATCAAAATATACTTAATAAATTCGAAAAAAATTTACCTATTTTTTGTAAACTAATTGGACCTTCATTTAAAGATTTTCCCTCTGTTTTAGACTGTTATTAACACTGTACCATATATTTAGTCTGTACCATACAATATTTTTGTTTTATGCATGTAGTGCCTATCTTTAATAGGATATGCAGATAGCTTAACTAATGTTATATTGTTATTACTTTAATTTTTTTTAATAAATAAATAAATGATTTACATGAAATATTGAATCATACATACATCGTTAACCGAAGTGTCAATGGGAACAAAGGATAGCTTGTAGTTTGTGACGAAGAGAGCTCCAAACCGGCCGCGCTCGTTTTCGCTTAATGGAGTCAGCATCACAACACTATGTGCGCCACCTACTATCATCTCCCCTGAAAAAGTGAAGCCTGAATTTTAATACTTGTGTGGCAATTTCTTGTATGGCAGTTTCCTTTGAACTATAGTTGCTAGTAATTAATATATTAAGACGTGAGTTTTATTTCTTGTTCGTTGCTTATACCAGCTCTATACTAATGTAATGTCAATTAAATTGTATTGAATAAATTCATAAATTATCTTAGTTATGTGTATTTTTACTGTTAAGAAACGGGTCATGTCAGTAAAATATTTATAACATATTTTTTGACTAGACTTTATTCCCTTTAATCTTCATTTGATTGAGCATTCTTTCTTTCTTTAGAAACTTTAATATTACTACGGGAACTAACAAAAGATCATTACATAGGCATTTAATCCACTTAGTACATTCCGGGTCATTAGAAAACCTTGGCAGTTGACATTGGACCAGATATCTAAATTTTATTAAAGAAAAACAGAACACGCATTGACCGTGAACGAACACTACTACCTACCTTGTTGAGGGAAAACGTTTCTTTTTAGAATAATAAACTGCTTAAAAAAAATCACCTATTAAGTATATAAAGACAATATATAAAAAAGGGTCCTTGCAAGAAATTTAGGAAAAATAGGACTGATAAAAACACCTTTCCTCCAAGTTCTGAAGGAATTTCAAGTACTTTCTTCGGTACATAGAGACGGTCTAATCTTAAATAGATGCAACAAATATTATATATTTTTATCGAATGATAGTGAAAGAAGTATTATAATAATATTACTTATTTCAAAGTCTATTTTTAGTAGTGTTTTAGTTTAGTTTTAACTTTTTATTTTTACGTTTTACGTAGTTTTGTACAAAAAAGATATATTCAGGTCTTCACAGTTAAAATCATTGACTCCAATTTATACCTTGATTACTCAGTGTACGTAAATGCCATTAGATATTGGATTTGCTTAAGGACAATTTTGAGGCCAAAAGTGTGGTATCGACGTCATCGGTGATTACGCGATAAAAGTGCCTGCGCGCCTTAACTTTAAACAACGTATGCGCACGATTCACGCAACATTATTCAATGATAAAACAAAAATGTCAAGATCGCGATAACGTGATACGATTAATGTTTTAACAGTTACGTACAAAAAAGTATATATTACGCATTATTAAAAAAAAGGAAACATATTTTTCGGTACCTTGCTTCAGCCCCCCCATGTTAGCACCATAACAATGAAATATCAACTGCAGTATAGGACGCAACTTCCTTTACCCAATAGGCGTTACGTTAATCCGCGATATATCGGTGCATCCCATTTTTTACTTTAAATTATCTATGTGTAGCGATGTGAATGGCGCGTCAGTTATTTACTAGTAATATCTATATTGCAAGAAAGGCGATACAGTTAGGCCCGCGGAATGAATACGTAATGCTGTTATTATTGTTATACATCATAGGACTTATGTGTATGATTAAATTTTGTAGTGGAATTTTAATAAACATATTTTTTTTTATATCTAAATGCTCTTTTTGGTTGTAACAATGTTTTTTTTTCAATTGTCTAGCTTATTCATAACTCAAACTAAGTAAGTCACATATAGAATAAACACCATTAGTAAGAAGTTGGTTTATAGAATTATTTGCTGCAAGTGCTCTTAAATTTAATTTAAAGTATGTAATTTAATAAATGTTAAAGATAAGTTTCAGTATTTTTGGCTTGACAAAATCTTTGCACTAAGCATGATGACATTATGGAAATTCAAGAAAATAAGTTATATATAGGTTATTTTAATGTATAAGATTAGCCCATTATTTAACACACTGTTTAATATAAGATAATCATGCACAGTATACAATTTTTTACTCACCATTCAATAACTTTGGCTTTAAGTCGTGAACTGATCCATTTTTTTCACCATTGCTCTGAAAATATAATTAATTTTGTGGGAATCAATGTTGCTAAAGAAATAATAGAATTATACCTAAATCAGTTAAGTACAGGGTTACAATTGGTATGGGGTATCGGTACAGGGTTTATGAATTGAGGACTTTGTGTCCAAAATACTTTATTTAGGATACTTTTTTTTGGATACCTGAAAGCAATATAATAAACAAAGTTAACATTTACCACAGGTGATACGTTGATATAGCTCTTGAAATTCTGAACCAACTTTTTTTCATTCATCATTAGACTGTTGCTCCTAACACTTGACCCACTTAAATCTTTACAATTTCACTTAATTCATACACAATAAACACAAGTCTTAAAAGATGACGGCCTGATTACAGGATACGAAATCAGCATTATTTCCTAATAGGCATTTTATAAGTTTTGATAACAATCACTTCACCATAGAGAGCACTTATGGGCCAACCCAAAAAGGCACTGCATTTTTAGGTCAAAAAGTAGAGGTTTTAAATTAAACTCAATATATCACGCATAATTAATATTTTATCCTCTTCAGCATTTATGTTTATCAAAACTTAAAAATTATGCAAAGTTTTTGAAAAATAATATTTCGTTTAAATCACAATTCACAAGCATAGCTTGTCATTTACATTAGTACAAGTAAATTGTAATGTTGACAATGACAATTAACATAACGTAAAGATTTTAGACTTTATAAAGTCGAAAAATCTTTAAGTAATCTGTGAGTTATATATAATTCCCAGATATTACCCCTATGATTGAAATTGTAATAAAATAAAAATAGAGAAGTTCTATAAAGTTGCATGTTTTACCATTTTCAAGTTTAGTGGGATATAATGAAATAAATTTCCTCGTTCTGCTTAGGAGAGCTTAACTTGTATTATCTGTAAAATGTCTCGTTTCTCTAGTGAGTCTGTGGTCTTCCCCTTGTCTGTGCGTGTTGCAAAAAATGGCGATTGTTAAATTTCAGTTCACTATGAATGAAAAGTGCAAATTTCAATAAACCTACTTGAAACATTTGATATTTCTTAGTGTTATAGTGAAATTTACTTAATAATGGCTGACGCACTCGTACAAAACAGACCAAGGATTCTGTTCTTTTGCCACAGGTGTTACTTGGAATTTGAAGAAGCTTTGCACGTAAAATCAATAATTAATTACAATCATTTTTATGACGTACAACCTAGGATTTGATAACCACAAATAGATCTTATTAATTTATTCAAGGTCATGTTTATTGTAATTTCCATGCCCTTTTGAGAGAAATGCATATCTCCATGAAATATCTGACGCTAAAATTTAACTCGTATATGATCCATTTAGTATTTAGAACTGCATATAAGATTGTGTCAAATATTATTCACTAATCAGTTGCTAAAATTCCATTAGAACGGCTGAAATCATTTTCTAAAAGTCAATGATAGGATTATGTTTGTTATGTATTATTTAAAACATTTCGTCACTTGTGATGCAATAGCGTAAATTGTTTTGCATTATTAACAAATTCATGTTAAATTTTAACCTAAAAGAAATGAACATTAACCAATAAACTAATTTTATTTACAGCAGAACTTTACCTAGTTACTCAGAGTTATCTCTGCTTTAAGATTATTGTTGTCTTCTAAAATTGAATTTTATATAAAATATAATATAATTTTTAAAAGTTGCCAACAGTGCTCATCTGGCTTACGATACAAAAATGTTAACTGAATTAAATTTTATGTCTATTTATAAGTCGCTTAATATTCTAGGATTACACATGTCCATTCTGTGAAAGCCCATTTATTGAGCAGTTGGAGGATGGATCTGAAGGATTACCCAATAATGGCCACACATTTAGCGATGCCAATATGAGCAATATTGATGATGCCAACTACAGTGACAACTCAAACTCGGATCAGCCCTTTTTCCCTCTAAATGTAAGATTTTTTCTGTAATTAAACCAAATTCTGGTTTAATTTCTTTTGTATACCACTATAACTTCTTTTAACTCATTCAATTATTACTATGTGATATGTTTTGCTATCAAATGATTTCATATCAGCTGACTAATGTCTTATAAAATATGAGTCATATATGTACCATATTTTGTATTAGTCAAATAAATTATTTTTTATGAAATGAACTATTTATATGTACATACATACATACTACAAGTATAAGGTGCTTTTTTAATGTGTTGCCTAGACTACATTGCTTGTAGCAGGGATGATGCCACCTAATACATTCCATTCTTATTTATAACTTTTTTATCGTACTTAGAGAAATAACTATTGTAAGGTAGTTAGAAAAAATACTAAAACAGATTATCATATTAACAAAAAAATGTAGTGCAAGTGTGGTTTTATTTCAGAATCTTCCGCCAGTTCTTCAAGATATAGCTTTCCTAATGTCAGGGGATAGGTTTAGGTAAGAATGGAATATTATTAACTAGAAAACTTATCATCAGTATTTCAATGTAGTTGTTATTGCTTGGAAAATTATCAAGAATTAAAAGACGCAATGTGGTCTTAAAGCTCCTTCCAATGGATTACTAAACTACTACTAAAGCAAAGTTCTCTTTACACAACACTTTGGTTAGCATTCTTACAATTTGGTTTGATGAGTGTTCCTTTTTCAGAGATGCGACACGGCATCATCCAATCACAGCTGAGATTGGATGGGCCTTAAGTGGTGGTCATGGTGGCGCTCCGCCGGGCACCATCACCGCCGGAGCCCCCCTGGTCCTCTTGGGAGCACCAGGGGACTATGTTTTTGGGGGAGAAGGTATTGCTTAATTCTTATTGTTTTAGATAAAGAAAATTACTTAAAATAAAGTAAAGATATAATCATCTTCCAAAGAAAGTCTTATGCTATTCTGGTCTTATATATAAAAAGAATATAGAAAGCATATTAGCAGACAAAAAGTGTTACTAATGTTTTCATTCTAAGGCATATTTGATTTTGCTCTGGCTGTACACAAAAGTAATTATATTAAATTTTCAACTGTGACTCAGGTGGAAACGCCCTTTCTGAATGGCTCTCATTGTAATTTCTATGCATTTGAATCTTTCAGCTTTAGATGCAGTAGTCACACAACTACTGGGGCAGTTAGAGCACTCTGGGCCTCCGCCGATGCCGCGTGATATACTCAACTCGATTCCCGACGAGACGGTGACAGAGGAGCAGGTTGCGGCTAACATGTCATGCTCTGTCTGTTGGGAGACTTTTCAACTTGGTAATGGATTGCAACATTTGGGTTGACTCCACGCAAATGCAAACCAAGACAGCAAATTATTTGGACCAAAAAGAAAGATATTAAAAGTTGATTTTGATTCAATCTGACAATTAAAATTTTAAAGGTTTTGTCCTAATATGAGGTTTTGACTTATTTCAATGGTTGAATACTGATAATTAGGTACTGGAACATAGTCACAAAAGCTTTATGTCATTAAAAATACTCCTATAACACTTACAAGCACATGTAATATAATAATATTGCATATGCTTCTCAATAGAGAAGCTTCATGAATTTCGGTAATTTAATTTCTATAAATATTGTACTTTACAGGCGAAACTGTATCGAAATTGGAATGCGAGCACATATTTCATAAGCCCTGCATCAAGCCGTGGCTGGAGTTACACGCCACGTGTCCAATCTGCCGACGTTCTTTGCTACCACCAGACCAGTCTCCTTCTAATACTACTGCAACTACTACTACTCCGAACACAACAAGTAATAGCGCAACCAATAACCCGGACCCGCCCCGGCTTAGGCCTGCGCTAAGTAAGTACATATAATAAGACCTATATATAATTATGTATGGACTCTCGTATATCCGTAACCAGGTTAGGTCATATTACAATGGAGAAAAAATCACCCTGGTATATTTAAATGAATGATTCTGCCACAAGTTAAATTAATGAGGGTAGTTTGTTTCAATCCACCTGTAATTTTACTTCATGACAAATAGTGTTTAATTGATATGTCATTAATCAGTCGGTCAGATTACATTGCGCGTGCATCGGGTTGAAGAAATTCTTTGATGCATGTGAGACACGCCAGTTCAATTTACGACAGAGCCATCGATTTTTTTCAATGTAAATAGTAATCTCACTGAATTTAAAGGTATAGTGCAGTTCTTTGCCCTATTCTGGCAATGATTATTATTGATACACAATTATAAATTTATTATTTGGATTTTTCCAGCACCCCGCGTAGTCATCCGACGCTCGACACACCCCCTGTTCCGTCGGTCGTTCCAAACCCACACGTGGGACTCGCCCCGCAATATGAGCATCTCGTCTGACTCGAGCTCCTCTATAACGACCGGTGGCCTCTGGGCACCACAAACGAGGACCGACAGCAACAGCGACTCTTCAACATCGGTCAGCGACAGAACGCAAAATTATCACACGGACTTCGATTGCGATTAATTTATCCTAGTAATTATTACGAATCGTATTCGCGAAAATTTCCAATGGAACGCTTTAAGGCTTACGTCTCCTGCAAACGCCGTAAACTGCTTACAGTCGTAACATATGGCTAATAAAAAACGGTGAGTTCGGTAAATATCAGTCCCAAGTTATTATTTTATTTTCTATCGGGGACACCCATAGAAGGCCGGATGATCAGTCCACATCATCAGCTGACCATTTCACCCATTTCCTCATTTGTCCCAGCAAGTTTGAATGTTGTAAAATGTTGATATATGGCTGGGGATATCACCTAACATATATATATATAAACAAGTACATCCGGAATGTAGCATGTACGACGAGTTAGAAGCGTGTAAAAGAGACAACAATAGTACTCTTTTATAATAAACATTTTAATTGCGTCTTGCGGCGTTTGTATGAGGCCCCATCCTTACATTCGATTTCTAGGTATTTGCCCTAAAAGTGAGGTGGTCCTATATGTGTGCTGTTATTTTGTTTCGATTTAATGGATCGACCTTTACTGATGACAAATTTATATGGAGTTTTGAATTAATTATCTTGGACTTGGAAAGTTTAGCGTTAACTAATCTATTACACTGCATTTTAGTTCGGTGAGAATGGCTGTAAAATACTAGTGTTAAAATATTGTTTTCACGTCTAGCTCTAGATGCGCGTGATTATTAGTATTAAATTAGTCATAGATTAATATTAGCGGAGAGTTCGAAGGGGTGCGTGCCTTTCATAAATTAAATTATATAAAACCAAACTACCATAATTTAAACGCGTGCATTTTATTCGGAAGATTAACATAGACAATGATTGGTTTATTTAGAATATTCTCGAACAGTAACGGAACGTATTCTATATAATTCATTACTCGAACATCATTATAAATGCTGTATCTATGTCAGTGATGTGTTCCAAATTGTACAATGAATTTAATGAACATCATATTCAGACGTATGTATGTGTTTCGGAAAATGTTTTTTTTGGGTATTAAATATAACCACTTGTACATATTTATTTATAAGATATCTTGCTATCTGTAATATGGATGTAATTAAACGTTATAACCATATAGTCCTTCGTAAATTAAATAACAGTACAATGCATTCTTTTTGTACAAAATGAACGTTTTGTTATCGAGCACTAAGGAAAAACATTAATTAAATGTTCACTATCAACAGCTCAAATTTGTATAAAGCTTGACCTTTAGACTTGTTTAAATAAGTTTAAAATTGTTACATAAAAAATATTTCGTTAGCTACCTACATTTTTGCTTTGCAAAATGAACAGCAATTGTTTTTTATTATTTGTAAATATGTTTTTTCTTTTTTCTTTGCTGTATAGTAAAATAACCTTATGTTTCGCATCGAGTCATTTCAAGCCACATTTTTTTGTGAACCCAAGTACTGTAATAACATTAGTATACGTTTTTTGATTAAATAATTACCTACTTTAAACACTCTTTGACTATTGATACTGAATGTCTACTTTATTTTGTATGCCGTTACCGTGCTGTATACAAGAGCAAAGAAGAATATTTATGTTATCTGTAGCCAAATGTCATTGTTATTTCTTTACATATAATTTCTTATATATATTCACTTTACATTTATACGTTTTCGAGAAGGATGTCGGTGCACAGTTTCTAAAGAGGAATAACAGTAAATACCACATGAACATTGTTTTTTTATTTAATACAATTTCTCTCTCATTAAAAAATTGTATATGTATAGTTATAACTCACACTTAAACTGTATAAAGCGTAATGTACATATACATATATGATATTATAATTTGCATTAAATTTAAGCGTTGTAATATAAAAAAATATATGTTTCAATATTGGTCACACTTAGTACAGATTACCGCAATGTAATATAGACTATATAAATGAGCTGTTTAGGATACTACGATGTTCGTAGTAGAAAAATAGTTTTACCTTCGTTAGAATACAACTAGGTACAAAACAATCTTCGGTCTTAACAAATTGTATGTTCCTATAGATTGACATAGATGAAGCCATATCAGTTTCAGTTATAACAAATATATTGTTAACTAGTAACATACGAATTTCAAATTTGATATCTAGAGGTAAGCATGCGAAAAAGACTGATGTGTTTTAGTAGACGTTAAATTTGAAATTCTATATCCTCATTATAAAGTTGACCCTCGTTAATTCAAAATTCTCTCGCCGTATTAACAATAATCAATAGTATAAACAAATTATCAAATTTGTAAGAATAAATAAATAAAACTTCGATTTATGAAGTGTTGATCGGTTACTTTTTGTTAAAAAGTAAACTTAATCTGAATCTAATCCCTGCCCTGATTGTCAAACCACAATAAAAAACAGCTTGTGTACGTTGATACACGTTCGATCTTATCGCAAAATTAACGTATTATCTTTTCCTATGTAACTTTGAATTGTCGAGTGTTAGACGCCCATGATTTCGTATTTTCGCATCATTTGTTATATACAGCAAATATTTTTTCGTTCCTTCAAGTGCATAGAAATATAGATAGATTTTGTGCGGAACTCGCGGTAACTGAATTATAGAGAGGTTCGGATTATCGCAGGTTTGAACTAACGGGAGTCGACTATAGCTGCTCAAAACTACACTTTACGTTTACGTTTGTAATATACGGTCGCCTTCATATAAAAAAATATGTTATTAATAACTTGTACATTACGATGTATAGTCATTGAACGTGTAAATGTTGAAATTTATCAGAATAAATGCGTAGGTGCCTATTTAGCTTGTTTTATTTAACATTTTTATCCAATATTCAGTAAAGACTAACAAAATCATTATTCTGCTTTGGGAGCCATAATACCAAGATAATATTTCCATATAAAATATCAGGACAAAGATAAAAAAACCGTTTCCCCTACTTTGGGCACGGGGCACACGCATTTTTTATTATTTAATGTCATTTAATGTTTCATTGATTTATATGTTTTATTTAAAGTGAAGTAATAATCTTGACGTATTTGTTAAGTCATTTGTCATATGACAATACTTTACAATGGCCAAAGCCTAGAATATGTGGAAGAATATATATAACTTGGACACTTACTATCATTTAAGAACTGCATAGACATAGAAAATGATCGAAGAATAAAAGACGTCAGGATGACTTCCATAAAGTTGAAGTGAGCATGGACTGGGCACCTGTTACGAGTAAAGGACAACAGTTGGTCCGAGGTTATCACAACCTGGACTCCATTGGACGAAAAACGGAAACGAAGTAGACCGTTCAGGAGGTGGCATGACGAACTTAAGAAAACTGCAGGCATGTACCGGGAACAAAGCGCTACAAACAGAACGGAGTGGAAGCGTATAGAGGAGGCTGACCTGACATAAACCACATTTGACTGATGTAAGTAAATTATAAACGGAACGTTAAACATGTAAAATATGTTTGGTAATAAAAAGCTTTTAAATAAAACACTTTAACTGTTTAAAACGCGATGCTTTGCAGCAGCCGCAGCAGCAGACCACGGGCAAAGCATCCGAAACGTCGGGCCGAAGTTAAAAATCATTTCCAAATAAATTTAAGTAATATATCGCGTTTTAAACCGTTAAAGTGGTTTATTTAAATGAGTACTACTCGCGTAAACTAAAGACAGTATTTAATAAAAAGCTTTTTATAATTTTTTTTTAATAAAAATTTTGACTCCTTCACTCAAATGTTTCCCTGGGATTCGAATTGAAGACTCTCGGTGTAGAATGCATTATTTTTATTCATATTAATATATAAAAAAATGCATGCCTCAATTTAAACACAGGAATGTAATAACTCAAAATTGGGATGGTTATGGTACCTTGGTCAAAGATCTCGTAAGTAAGTTCATTAGAAGTACATAAAAAAATGCGTTTGCGCATTTAATACTTTTTTGAATAATTAATCAGAGCGAATGGAAACCTGGCGTTGCAAGCTGCGTATGCACGTAAAGCAACGTGGATTGATAAACTGCTTCGCGGCAGATGTCGAGGTGACTTTTTCTTTTTACTGTAGGTGTGTTGGGGTTTTTGACCGAAAGTAGCAGGCGGTTAGGAGTTGAAGGAGGTCGTTGCAATTATCGACAGATGGCATGGACACGCGTCGGGTGGGTCAGTGCCGTCAGTATTTATAATATCTATCGCGAAAACACGTGCATATGCAACTGCACGTATGACGCCTCTGTTTGTAATAGTGTGACGCATTCCAAAAGCGTGCTACCGAGTTCATTGCGAAGAAAAAACGTTTAATGATAGTTACATTTTATCTTTTATACAACCTGAAAAATTGACTAAGTTTGGCACAGTAAAATTTTAGAAAATAAACTAATGTAATTTTAAATTAAATAAATAATATAATTCGTATTCTAAACCAGTAAAAGTAATTTTTGCAATCTTAAAATTTTTTAAGCAAACGGGATGAAAAATACTTGTTCTAAGGTTTTATGAAGTACAAATCTTTTTTCACTTGTTATTTGAATAAATATATAGTAAAAATAGTTTCAGTCGAAAATTTAAAAAATAAGTACATATGTATTATTACAAATGATGATTTTAACCTAATTGTTAATGTCTAAATATATTTTGAACTCGAACACTACTTCGTTACAATTATTCGCTATATATTATCGCCATAAAATTGATTGTGTGGGTCAAAGTATTTTACTGATGGCAAACAGAATAAAACGGCGCGAGCTCACCTCAATTAATACAAAGGTGCGCGCGCAGCTGACGTCGCACCTGCCGCCGTCTTTAACATTTCTTTAATTTTTTTCGCCATCGAAGGCATTGGCCTATTTTTTATGGCGCAACACAAGGCAGCTGACGTACGCGCATTTGTTATAGAATCCTTTGTTACCCTGACTCCTGAGAGCAGCGAAATTTTAAGGGTCGTGATATTTATATTTTTATCTATAGAAAAGGGTAAAATTCATGACCAACATCTTGACTTCATCTTTATTAAGCACTAGCGTATATACGACTACTATA